AGATAACGAGCACGGAGGCATTCGGCTGAGGCGATGGAATGGATCAACTGGCAGAAACTTGTTGGGTTCAATTTTTGGTGGTGGCACTCGCATCCCCAAGGATGGTGTTCCTGCAGGCTTGCTTTGTCGAGCCTGGAGCTAAGCCAATCAAAAGCGGAAGGCAATGGGCACGGCATGGCACGGCTCTTCGTAGGTGTCAAGCTCCAAAAGGGTCGGACATGATTCACAGTCAAATCTGCATATACGAGATAGAAACGATCTCTGTACCTCTATCATGGTCTCCTCGATTTCAAGAAATATCCGAAGAAATGATTGCAACACTATGCATGGCTTTGTTTGGTCTGAGCGCATCTGAGCGCTGTGTTCTTTTGGTAGTGTCATGTAGTGTCTCTTTAAGGATTGCTCCAACCTTTGGTGTTCCGGTGCCGTTGGTGCTTTGATGACAACCACGTACTGTACTATGCAAGGAGGGACAGATGCATTGTATTGGATTGGGACTTCTAAATGCGGCCATAAGACTGGGCACTCCATCCAATACCTCAGGCTGAAATCAACATCCTGAGCGCTCTTTTCCAGCATAGCAAATCTCCTCATTGGGTTAAGTTCACACATGAGGTTACGAAATCGTGGCATGTCAGCAGAATCCTGCAACCTTGGTATACGACAGCAAAAGAAATGGGAGAATAAAGGCTTGTAAAGAGCGTTCCTTAGATAAGATGAGAAGAGATGAAGAGTCTTAGCCTCTTGCCTCTCAAAGCCTTCCATCATGAAAGTAGAGTTGAGCCATGTTGAGCCTCTTGAGCACTCTTTATTGGTCATTCCGACATTCCTGGTGAAGTTTTCCCCAGTTTTCCCCTCTGAGGTATCGGTACAGGGCGAGCTTCTGATGCTAGGATGCCACAGGAGATAGCCGCAGCCGGTTTGGGGGGATTGGCGTGTGCATTTGGTGATTATTTTGTCACGAAGCGGAGGATACACACGGTGCCACACTGTGTCACACAGAATTTCCGCATAGGGCAGCACAAGGTCAATGCCAGCTGACTTGGATGAAGTGAAACCTCGAGTTGAATGAGTAACATTGAGGAGTTGTGGCCAAAGAACACTTTAAGACAAATGCAGATTCGCCTCCATGACGGCACGATGGATCATGACGGTCAGCCCAGGGTCCAATTTATGGATTCTGTGCCTCGACGCCGTTTGGCTCAGCTTGGATCATCCCACGGAGTTGTGGCTTGAGATTTCCAGAGCCATGTGCCTTGGCCAGACATTTCGTTGAGGTATTCGTCTGGTGAATTAGCAGGCTGAAAAAAACATGAAGGGCGGTACCACAGACAAAAGATGACACAAGTATACAAAAGTAAAGAATGTAAAAGAGCAGACTATAGCAGACTCAAATGACAAAAAGATACAAAAAGCAAGTAACTTCGCAGGCCATAGCCTCCATTTTACTGCTGAGGCAGTCATCCATTCCATCCATTCGGAGCTCAACGGGCCAGGTAGGGTAGGGAGCCGACTGGAGATGGTGGAAGGTTGTTGGCGCCCTCTTAATGATGGGCCTTGATATCCAATATATATATATATATATCCCCCCCCTTTAACCCTGGAATATTTGGGGGGGGGTAAGGCAAGAAATTTCTGAGAAATATTTCAGAAAGGGACGCTCTCAGTCCCCACGTTTCTCAGTCCCCGCGTTTCTCAGTTCCCACGTTTCCACATGTCTGGACAGACGACGTGACAGATTACATATGAATCTTTGTTAGGAAAAATGTTACGTCTACGGAATTCATGCTTATGAATCTGTAGTGTCACTAACAAGCAGACTTGAGGAACACCTGACTCTGATTATATTTCTAATTCACAGGAAAGAAAGAGCCACACAGAAAACAAACGAATATATATATATATATTTTTTTAGGATGACCCCCCCCTTTACCTCTCCCAAGACGGCCTATAGAGCAAACCCAGATATATTTTTTCTTGTCGTGGAGCTTCTTACATTTGTGTTCTGTTCTTGTTCTTGTTTCTTGCTATTTTTCTTGTTTCTGTGGATATCTCATATGCTTACCTGATGCGTCCTGATAATTTGCTTTGAAGAGTGTTTGCAAACGCAACGGACAGGCGTATAAACTAACAAGGTAGACATACCATAGAAATCCCATAAGAACCCAGTGGAAATCATATAAGAATAACATATGAGACTGTAGCAGATAACATGGCCCAGAGAGCCACCTAGAGCCACCAAGATAGCCCATCTAGGGAGACACTGTCCTGTCTCCTATTCTGTTTGATTGGGCTCTGCCCCATAGTAAGCAGACTGGGATCCCCTCCATTGCTTCGATATCCCATGGCCTTGACAAGAAAACAAAAGGAGAACAGGTATAAAGGGAACACGAAGAATAAGATGATAAAAAATCTGGATGGCTCTCTGGGCTATCTTGCCTCAAGCAATGTCATCTGTCTCTAGGTGCCTCTCTGGGCTATTTTGTCTATTACAATGTTGTCTGTCTCCAGATAACTCTCTGGGCTATCATGTTTGCTGCACACTCGTCTGTACCTTGGAGGCTCTTTAAGCCATTGAGTCTTCAGCCTCATCCTTGTCCGTTACACGTGCATCTGTCTCTTGGCAACTCTCTAGGGTATCTTGTCTGCTAGAAAAGTCATTTGTCTCTAGTTGGCTCCCTGGGCCATCATGCATGCAATCATACTTGAATGTTCAACCAAATAAGGATCACGATCCATATTCTGCAAAAGGTCAAAAAAAATTAAATAACAATATCTATAAAACGCCAATAAATAGAATTATATTCACGATACTTCTAATCTGTAGTTCAGCTGCAACAAATTCCGGATCGCTTGTCACACTGCCAGCATCCACTCATGCTGTTTATTGATTCTGACTGTGCTTTCTCATGTGCAGTCTGGCTCTGCATATCGCTCGCTCTATAAACTTGTGTAAAAGATTCTTCGAAGCAATGGCCTCTGGACCACCTCCTATGCTTTCCGATACCCAGCGTTCCATGAAGAGGACAATGGCGCGAGATGGGATGGTGCGGAAATATGACGAGATCATTCTGCGCTATGCCAATGTTCAACCTTTCATCCCTCGCGTCGATGACATCGTGCCAAAGAACATCTGGGAACGACAAATGCAACGAGCCAGAGAGCTGTTACGTTCCATCCAAGTCTGTGACGAAGAAGGCCGTCGGCAAGATCTTCACCGCATCGTTCGTCGACTTTGCCCATTCGAGGTCGATGAGCATGCTCGTTTTCGTCCGATGTTACCTGATCCCGCTGATGACTGTGCAGATAGTGAATGGATCAATGCCAATCTTCTTTTCTTGCAATTAGTATGGACTTGATCGTCTCGGGCGATTGTTCCAGTGATGCCACATTTATGAACACGTCATGGAAAGACGTATCAGCATATGTCTCTCCGTGCTAGCGATTGGACTTGGATGGTCGGAAAAGAAATTACGTGCACTCTGTCTTGCGTTGCATGTTGTCTTCCAAACATTCTCGAAACTCTGCATTCATCATTGCATGTCAACATTGGCAGCCGCATTTTTGATTTGTGTTAGATGTTGTCTTTCGAGTGTTCTCGACTGTCAGCATTCATCTTTGCCTGTCAAGTATTGGTCCGCATATTACTTATGTGCGCATGAACTTCGACAGTCTCGTCGATCATGTTTGCGTTTCATATGTTTACTCTCCCGCAGCACGCCTGACCAGCTCACGAACTTCCTAAGTTTTGTCTTTTGTGCGTCCATCGTTGCTCATGTCTGAGTCAGTGGGGTTGACTCAAGAGATCGAGATGGCGATGGACGCCGACTATCCGGATGGAGCACATCTCCAAGCCTCATCGCCCGAAGTGCAACCGCCCGAAATCGATGCGCCTCCTGCGAAGCGTCTACGTGGTCGTGATCTGTTTCTCGGACGTATGTTTCCAGCTTTCCAGTATTCGGATTTCTCTAGCCATACAGTTTCGTATTTCATGTTGTTCATATGGCTGTGGCATACCGCTTCATAGACTTGAGTTGTCTCCTGCTTTTCTTTCAGGTTCCGTGCGTTTTCCGATGTGCAGCGCTCTGCCCATCTCGCTCCTCCTCCTCCTGATGTTCGACCTGAACAAGCCAAATCACTCTTGGATGTATGGAAGAACTATCGCACATGGGGTAGCAACAATTATCCAAATCTTCCTGTCCATGTTCGCACAATGATGGAGCTCATGAACTGCATCGCATCCATGAATGTTTCCAACTACCAAATGTCGACGAAGCAGAAGCTTCTTCTCATTATGCTTGTTGATGGTGAACACTGGCGTGCACATGATCGTCAAATGTTCTACTATGAGAATGGTGTGTGGAAGATGAAGCCGTCTCTCACCATCGAAGTCTGGGATCTATTTCTTGCTGTTGAAGGTTTGTTGTTGACCGTCTCGAAGCACTTCGAAGATCAAGAAGGAGATGCAAGACCAGCATGGAATTGGAATGCTATTCGGGATGTTGTCTCTGATACGATCCAAGGACATGTCCATGACGCTCTCCATTTCTTCGGGAATGTGGCCAAAGAAGCAAGTGACCATCTGCGGCAAGTCACATCCAACAAGGCATGGAAAGCACTTTGGCTTCGTCGATGTGCAGACATGCTAGCTTCATTCCGAGTGAATTGGGATTCGAACAAGGTCCAGTCACTCTCAAAGCTTTTTCTTCTTGAATGGGATACTCCATTGCCAAAGTCACAGGGTGTTTGCTTCAGAGACGTGTACTTGGATGCAGATTGGAAACCTGCAAGCAAAAGCCCGTCCAATGACTGCTACATGCATGTGGACTATGCCTTCTACATAGAAAACCTCTTGCAGGAGTATCCGAACATCAATCTCCAACAGCATCAAGAAGGATTACGTTTGTTCTTGGAGTCGCTCTACTTTCAGAACGAACATATCTTTCAAGTGAAACTTTGTTTTTTTACATGCCGCATTCAAAAAGGCTTGCACTTCAAAGATGATCTTCGAGATTGGCAAAGGCGGCGATGGCAAGGGGATGGAAGCTTATCTTGATCGTGCTGTATTAGGTGAAGATCAATCTGCAACTTTGGATTGTGGCGTGTTCTTGGATCGACAGGAGTTCCGCAAGTCTGCCGAGTTCGCATGGAACAAGGCGAATGTGCGTATCCAGGAAATGGATCAGCACGCAAGATTCGTTGCAGATCTTTGGAAAAGATTCATCGTCGATGAAGAAATAGATTGTCGTGTCAATTATGGATTTACATCCAAACGACGATTTGGGTCATCTATGAAAGTTCAGGAACTCAACTTTGAGAACATCCCGACCATCGAGGAGTGTCGAGATCGACTCCAGGCTTGTGAGCATCTCAAGCGTCGCATCGTTTGCTTTCGTATGGGGAAGGCTCGCTTCGTGCTTGACGACCATGCAGTGAACTATGAACACGGGGTTTTCCGTCTCATTCCGCAAGATGAGCTGGTCCCTTTCTTGACACATCCTGCAACGGCTTCATGTTTCTTTCGAGATTGGTGCTTGCCCTTCTTTCAGGAAAACTCTTTCGATGAATGTTTGAAAATGATCCTGGATCTTAGCCATGTACATGAGGACTTGGTCAACGACACCAATTGGTTGGCTTCTCGCTTGTCCGGCTGGAATGGCCCTCCTCCAGGCACAGACATTGACCTCCAGACAGAGAACGACGAATTGATCACGATCGTGCATCGGAAAACGCCCATGAAGACATTCATCAAGGAGTATCTCATTTCAAAGGTTGAAGATATTCCAGGAGCTGTGCAGTCTACCCGTGGTCGACGAACCAAGTTGCAGTTCTTTCTTTCTGCCTTGGACCACTCCACCATCAAACTCTTTCGTCAACATGATCAGCATGCTTTCGAGAAACTCTTGGTGGATTGGGCTTCTTTGGCTGCAGCTATGCCAAGACGATGCAATTGTTAGCTTATTCTGTGAATGCTGCTAATTTTTTTATTGCATACTTAATTTTTGGGCCAAGACTGATGTTGCTGCAAAACATGACATTTTGCAGCTCAAAAGGCTGATTTGATAGCTAGTGCTGTGTTTGCAGGCGTGCAAGCACATTTCTGAGCAAAGTTTTTTTGCCCAAACAAGTGTTTATGCGACTGGCCGATGCCTTTCCGGCAATCGAAGAACAACCCTAGCAGTTAACTGAGTTGTTCTTCGAGCGGTGTACAAATACATGTATACTGTGCACACAAAAAAAAGGGTAAATATAATAAATATAATAAATATAATCTATATTTATATATATATATATTGATACATATATACCTATATACCTATATACATATATACATATATACATATATATATATATATGTATGGGATCTTCAAACTCAAATTTCCCAAATCCCATCAGATGACATGCCTAATACGCTCCCCAACAGTATTTCCAAACAGGTGCTGTCACACACTTTGGTGTTCGGTCCAGATCAGTTTAGGTCAGTTGTGATACTTTCACGCATCGCCCCCGTTGGGGAATTGACAAAATCTATTTTCTGTTTGTTTGGGTATGACCCTGCATATCAAACACAAGGGGTAAATGACAATTTGTTTTTGCTTGCCATGTCAAACGATTCATAGGTTTTTTTTGGCGATGTTGGGAAACCAGTGCCATGCTCGGGTCCAATCAGAAGTTCCATCGGCCGCACCGCTGCGCAGACCCATCCTTGGCTCAGTGGTTTTGCGGCTATGGAGTCGCGTTTTGTAGCCCAACATGCGGCAAGGGTTGCAAAATTATGCACTGCCATGTACCAGTGCCTAGTTCAACCAGATGCTGGGGAATTCTTGGCGAGAACAGGGTCGTTGCTCCGAGAGCGACACTTGAGAACTAGAAGAAACAGGGTCGCATTCCAAAATCTCATTTTACAATGTCATGAAGGTGAAGATCAGGAATCATGCAGGTTTTGGACTCACAGTGTAGTGCGACATGCCATCTCCCGTGCCAATGCAAACTTTATTGAACATTTTGATCCTTCCGTTTTCTGATTTATAGGTTCAATGTTTTTTCAATAACATATATTCTGTTGGTTCGCGATTCCTCTACTTTCTAAGGTATGCTGTCTGAGTACAAGCTCTCAATCCCGCAGTTGCCCGGTTTTGACATGGATAAATGGGTTCAAGGTCAAGCCAACCTTATCCAGAATCTCTCCAAGAATGCACGTCGAAACCACAAAAACATAAAAAACAAGTCGGGCGGTTCCATGGGTGACGCTGTAGCAACTATGCCCTACAATGTTGAGGACAGGTTTTCCAACGATGCCAACTGATAGTTTTCTTTTTGCAATGTGTCAAGTTTCTTTCACCAACAGATCCATTACATCTTGTCGTGCGCATCGATCCCGCCAGGAGTCGTTGGCCGAGCTTCCACATGATTCGCAACCTCCTCCTGAAGAACCGATTGAAGATCCTTGGTTATGATTCGACTTGACATGATCCAGCCCCAATTGTTGGATTTAGTTGCCATGCTTCGTTGACAAATCGGCGGTATATGTGTAAAAAGAAATACCTGTTTATTTTTCCAAATGTGCATCACATATATCTACATATATGTACACACACACATATATATATATACACACATACATGCATGCATACATACATACATACATACATACATATATATATACACATATATCATCGATTGGGTTTGCTTGTGCGCATACAATCGCTAGAGATTCAGTCAGTTGCTCTCCCCTTGCCCCGAGGACGATGTGGGCATGCAGCGGATGAAATACCAGCATCAAGTTCCTGAGTTCCTGGACCTGTGAACCTTAAGATTCTTGACTTTGAGATATCTACAAAAACTCTGAAAAACTCTTTGAATCTATAATCTGTATTTGTATACATATATAGTCGTTTTTGACCAGGGCACCGTCTGACAACAATTTGGCAATTGCCCTGCACCAGCCACTCAGGCTGTCTCAGACCGAAGAACTTGGTGCAAGCAACCCAGCATCTTGATCCAGCATTAAGAAACCAAAAAACAACGTGTTGGTCCAATCTTGAACCTTGGACCTCGATCCAAATATTTCTGGAAATTTCCTTGTGCAATTGTAGGTCCCCCCAATTATGTGACCCTTGGTTTTTGACTGGGTTAGGATAGCCGGTTTTTTTTTGATCTTGACTTGGTTTACAAATCAACTGAGAACGTTCATTTGCACTTATATATACCATCGGATCAAAGTATTTGGAGATCTTCGCCCTTAAAAAAGTGTGGGATTCAATATTAATATAATTCAGCCACATGTAAGATTGTCACCAGTGATTCAAATAGCATAACCTTGCAAAAAAAAACGCACACTTAGTTCCACGATTCCCATGCGATATAGCCAAGGGTCGATCTAGCCAGCCGCAATGGTTCAATTCCCAGGAAAGCGATGCAAACGTGGACGCCAAGAAGCCTGAAGCCAGCCGAAGCAGTGCTGACCAGGACTTGGGTTGAACTCTGTTTGGCATGGTCCCACAACATGAAACACCATTCAAACATTTTTGGGTTACGAATGTAGGCAGCGCCAAGGGATTGAAACATTTTCTGGATGTCGTGTGGTAAAGATATATATATAATATTTCAAATCTCTGAATACCTTTATTTGTAAACCTCTTGGGTCTCGAAATCACCCTGCATAGGAGGCTTCCCGGCCCCCAGTGGAAGTGATTGAGATCCATGATCCGAAATGCTGGTCCCCTTCCTGGCTAGACTCACAGCCGATTGAGGAAACGCCCCCCTTTGTACCATCCCAGACATGTGACACCTAGTTGGATGATGAGGAGATGAAAGACGAGGGCAACACAGGGGTGGTGGACACCGACGACTGGGTGTGGTTACACGATGGTCAACGCTGGTGGGTCGGATGCCCACCAATGATGACCCGTGACGAAGCGATGTCGGCATGGGAACCTACCAATGGTGAGATTGAGGTTGCATCCCATGACGATGGTGCTGACAAGCCCAAGGTGAATGACAATGGCAATGAGACTGGTGAGAATGAATCCCATGACAATGGTACTGACAAACCCAAGGTGGATGACAATGTCGCCAACCAGACCAACAAGAATGGTGAGGCTGAACCCCGTGCCAAAGGTGCCGAGGAGAAGGACAAGACCAGCGCCGTCGACACCAAGGTTGAAGAATCAGTTGTGGAGAAAGAGAAGGCCACTGAAGAAGTAGATCCCAAGGATGTGGAAAAGACCCCGACCAAGAGATGTGGATCCCCTGCGACTCCTGGAGCACCTGAAAAGAAGTCCAAAAAACCAAAGAAAGGGGACACAGAGGCAGGGGACATTTCATGGACACCATTGACAAAAAGTGGATATGCTGACTTTGTGCATTCGTGTAACGGTTGTGGTCCTGAAGTGCACGCTTCCCCACTTCTACATCAAAAAGTTTCAGAAAAAACAAAAGAGCCACAGGTGATTTGGAGACCATGCACACAACCTGGGATAGCTGCGTTCAGTGAGTTCTTTGGGCAGGTGGAGCCTCACAACATGGCTTTGGGCGACTTGGTTGCCTATGTGCACAAGCTGAACGGTGATTGGGCAGCCATTCCAGCCACAACTCCTGCCTACGTTGTTGAGATCATCCAGTACATCTCCTACTTGAGGGGCCAGTGGGGGGTTGAGGAGGTGTCGGATGTAGATTACTGGATGCGCTTGAGGACCGGTTTTCAGAAAAACTATTGTGTGTCTATTTGGGGATCGACCTTACGACTATAGAAGCTCCCATATGTATATACCCACCTGTATGATCAGCGCTCTGTCAGGAATGAAAAAGAATGGACGGAAGAAAGTTGGGCTTGGTATGAGTCCATTTGCAAAGAGGTTGATAAGGCTGGAGGGGATGGTAAGGAAGATGATGAGGAAAACGTGAAAGGGGCTAGGAGCACTGCGCAACCAGTGCCTTATCTGGCTTAGAGTGACAGCGCAAACATTTGCAAACATTTTTGATGTGTATAATGATTTGCAACTCTTCCCAAGCCATACAATTTAGCTATATATATATACCAAGGACGGCTATACCATTGACTTGGACGACATTCCTGAATGCAGCCATATGCAACGGGATCTTATTGAAACGTGCTTGCTCAACCAGATCCACAAGCCGATCAACCCCCATTCTCAAAGGTTACTTGTTGCTTCCAAGAAACCCGCAGAACCGTTGCCAAAGGCACCCAGCAAGAAACCTGCACCGAAGCCAAAGACCACGAAGGCAAAAGAGAAAGCCAAGGCAAAGGCAAAAGCGGCCCCAAAGAATGAGCCGAGTGAGTACTCCAAGGCAAAACAGAAGTTCTTGGAAAGCCCAGAGAAACCGCAAAACATAGATTGGGGTGTCTTATTGGTGGTTGGCAATAGCTATGCAGCAGCACTCTTTGGTTTACAGTTTGGGTGAGCACAGCCTCCAAACAGCCATTTCAACAAGTGACCCTGGAAACCTTTTTTTGGAACCCCAAACCCAACGTTGGGTCACTTGGTAAAAAAGCTAGGTAAAGCACTTGGGGTAACTGGTGTCCATCTCAGGATCTCCGATTTCAACCGCAAGAAGCAGGAGGAGCTGCCCCTTGTCAAAAACATGGTGGTGCCATGAAGCCCCATGGACAATTTTAATTTCACTGGTTGCATCTTCCCAAAGAAAAGATACATTTACTCCCTTTGACAAAAAATGCGCCATAAAAGCTTGAAGGATTCCCTTCTAGTTAGCTCATACCGATCATGGTGTTACTTCGGTTCCAAGGTGGAAGCAAAGTGATGTCTTTAAGGAGCTCATTGAGAACATGGGCGAGGGTGAAGCCAAGAAGCGTAAGTTCATTTAGACTTACACGGGTCATGCGCAAGAAGCCTGATTGGTGATTAAGACTTCTCATCGTGCAACCCCAAAATGATTTGCAATTGGACAACAAGAAAAAATTGCATGCAGGCTTTTTGCGAGTCAACTTTGGGGGAATAGAGTCGCTTCGCCATGTCATGTTTGGCGAGGTGTAAAACTTGTGACTCGAACCCATTGTGATCCAGGGCGCCCGCAGGCATAGGTACCCGAGGCAGTTGGATTTACAGTAACAATATGTTTTCATTTTACTTGGTGGCACTGATGTGTTTCAACAGATAGATATGTATATGTGGCTCAACTGTCAAATTGCTTCTTCAGTCCCCGGGATGGCTTTGCTGGTGTTGTGACTTTTGGGGTTCTAATCCAAGCTGGGTATATAGACCAGCGCTTTGAGAGAAACCGTTTGGGGTCGAAAAAGATCATTGCCCTGCCTCTCCATGATCTGAACTGCGCAGTGGATAGTCTTGAAGGTCTCGTCCACCAATATATCGCCAAAAGTTCCTTGGATCAAACATCGATACGCGTGCTTCTCACAAACATGAGAAACAAGAAAGGTGTTGGATCTCAATGGCGTATATGTAAATATACCTAAATGTAGTTACTATATATGATAAGTGTATGTATATATAATATAGATATAAAAGTAAACACATATGTATATATTATATATCTGTATATTTATATATGTATTCAAGTATATATTTCTAGGCATCATTTTGAGTGACAGGCGTCAGTGTTTTGCGGGCTGCTTTACATTTTCCTGCTGTCCATTTCTTTCCTTCGGGTTTGCAGCAATGCGATATTCCCACATTGCAGTTCTTATTGCGTGCCTTTTGGCCAGTGCCTTGGTCGCACTTGTTTGCGAGTAAGCAGAGCTGCATGTGCAATCAGGATCACTGAGAGCACTTTGCTATGGATATGCAAATTTGTTGCCTTGCTCCCGGAGTGGTAGCAAAGGCTTTGGGGTTCCACGTGAAGAAGATGCTTTACATTTTCTTGAAATTTTCGGAGGCCAGTCAAACAATACTCCAATGCAAGCTGTTTCTTTGAATACATGTGTGCAAGGGGCGGTGGGCCTCCCAGGGTTTGTTTCAATTCTGGCAGAAATCAGCTTTCCTGGCAGGTGTTGGTATGCTCGACGCTGGCTGCAAATTTTTCCAGCTACGTTCCGTGGCAGTGGATGTCCCTTGTCTCAACACATCTTCTAGTCACAGATGCGTTTTCCAACCCATGTTGGCTCCAACATTTCTGTGTGCATCCCAATCCAGGCAGCCTATCACAAGAGGATGGATGTGCTGACCAATATGGGGCTGATGTGCCTGTTTGCATTCGCAGCTTGCTTTTCCAAGTGTTGTGATATTTGTTGACAGCACAAATCTCATTTGAGCTTATTTGGTATGCTTGCTGAGGCAAGGAGATTGGTACCGGGTGCTACAGCGTGGCTGGCGGTGCCATGTAGTTCGTGGGTATTCATGTGCCTCGTTTGCATTTTCCTGCCATAGTTTCATGCCGATATGGGTTCGGAAAAGCAGAACAGTATGAATGGGTTCCTGTAGCTTTACATGCATGTCGATATGTGGTCTGGGATCAGCTAGGTCCCGTGGGTCAACCCACAGGAGCTATTGGCGGGCGTCAGGCGTGGGCCTTCACCCACTCAGTCTTGACCAATTTCCTCAAGTTTCCGAACTGCTGTGTCATTTTAGAGATTGGCTTTTGGCTCCACCTGCAGGAAATGGGAACTTCCCTAGCGTGCAGGAAGGTAACAAATTGTGCCGGCGTATGTGTTACCTGTGTCTTGGCTGCGCCAATCCGGACGGCATAATTGTGGTGTATAGACCCTTTGTTCCATCTAAATTTCAATGCATGCGCAGGACACACACACATGCAGATTGGCTGGATATAGGTGGATGGATAAAAAGAAAGATAGATATGTATGTATGCAAGTGTGTCTGTTGTTATGAGTATGCACTATATACATAGAAAGAGAGAAAGAGAGAGAGAGAGAGATCTGTTTTATATTTATAGAGTCTATATATAGCCCAATTGTTTTCACAGCATCTAAGGCTGGTATACCTGACCCGAAAGGGTGTTACATTCGCCATTGAAAATCCAACAGCCAGCCTCCTCTTCCGATACAAGCCTCTCCGGGATACTTGGAGTCAAGTCAATCAGTATTTCTCTGACTTCTTTCTCTGACTTCTTTACAAAGCTGCCGATGTCGTCAATATGATTCTTTTCAGGGATGCCTGGTTTCATTTTTTTTGCACCAATCTAAGAAGCTGCTGAAGAAACTGAAATGCAAATCCTTCACGGTGTCTCTTGGAGCCTATGGTGCCCTTACGCCAAAGTATGCTGCTGGTCTTTATTGTGCATATCAATCTGAGGGTTGTTTTGTGCAAAGCATCACTGTTCACTTAAAATGTGTACTGGTGGCCCAGTTGCCATCATTCGTGGACTGCATCTGAGGTGCGAATCGTTGGAAATGCTCCTTGGTTGGGCAAGCTCCGAAAACAACTCACATCACAGAGGCGGCTCCAGCTGAAACGCGTCAAGAAGTTTTTGGGCATCAAGACCACGAAGGTTTACACATGCACGTCCACAGGACGTCAAAAATGTGCAGGGGTCCTAGGTTTCTTTTTCCCAAGCACATGATGCTGAATTCTCGACTGCATACACCAGCTGTTTCGATAATCTGAAAAGAACTTGAGGCCGGAGGGCCAGATCTAAAAGCCACGCAAGAATATCCTGGAAACTTGGGGCTCATGGTTCCTGGGATTGCAAAAACTTTTTCAATTCACCTGTATATGCTTGAATTCGTTTTGGCTGGATTCCCACACTGACTTGATCGCGGTCCCAAATTGCATCCATGGATTCGAGCGCCCAGGTTGGTCAGCTGATGCGAGACCATATGCGAAAGCATCCATGTCCCAAGGAGCCTTTGGCCGATGACGGGATGGAATTTTTTGACAGTGGGTCGGAATCTGATGATTCTGGCTTGGCTGACCTTATCGACCGCTGACTTCTGGTCGGATATTGGGCATGGTGGTAGAAAAATGCACATGGGTTTCTTTCACACACTGTGAATGAATTGAGTGAACATCTATTGAACATTTCAGCTGGCCCACTTAGATCGACTTGTGTGATCTGCGCAGCCCCACTTGCAGTTCAAGCATCATACAAGTCACAATTCTTGTTTTTTAATATATGATATGCAATTTTTCAAAACGTGTCGAAACGTGTCGAAACGTGCCATTGCAAACTTACTTAAATACAGGGACCGTGTCGAAACGTGTCGACGCGTGTCGGGGGCGGGGCGAAACCTACTACCATATGCAGGGCATGTTTAAGTGGGAAAGTTTGGTATATTTCACCCTGATCCATTGTAGGCTTAATTTGCCTGCCAATTCGTTCTGCCATGCCGTCGCTTGATTTGCCGCAAAAGCGCAAAATGGAATCACCATCCTCTCCGGCCCAATCCTCTGGTGATCCTTTTCAAGAAGTAGTTGAGACGATGCAGTCAAAAGGTAGGCTGCTTATTTTTGTTCCAGGTAATTGTGAGCACATCCATGGTGTGTCATTCATGACAACATCAACATGGAGCAGCGAACAGCTTGAATGTCCAGGTGCTGGAAAGTCAAAAGGTCTTGGGAAAGCGAAAGACGTGGGAAAGAACCCTGAAGAATCTCTTCGCTCCATTGCGGCCATGCAGGCCAACCAGTTCACCAAGGGCAAGGACAAGGGAAAACTTGTTAAGGGCGAGGATCCTACTGTGTTGAAGGGCAAGGGCATGGGCAAAGGACTGAGTGAGGATCCTACCTTGTTCAAGGGCAAGAGCAAGGGCAAATCAAAGGAGGCGAGTGAGGATATAGATACCTTGTTCAAGGGCAAGGGCAAGGGCAAATCAAAAGAGCCGAGTGAGGATCGAACCTTGTTCACGGGCAAGGGCAAATCAAAAGAGCCGAGTGAGGATCCTACTTTGTCCAAGGGCAAGGCGATGGGTAAGGGGACTGAGTCGGGTGGATCGCTCGAAACCCTACCAATGTTACCTACAACACCGAAAATGCTTCCGTCACCTGTGGATCACGGCAAAGGATCTCCAGCCCCACACAACAAGGGCAATGAGAAGGGATCTGCACTTTTGGATCAACCAGAAGGCAACAACAAAGGGAAGAAGGGTGAAACTTCGAAAGGAAAGATCATCGAGAAGGGCACCGTTAAGGGGGACGGCAAGAAGGGCTTTACCGCGATCAAAGGAAAGACTGCAGTGAAGGGCAAGGACAAGGACATGGGAAAGGGAGCAGAGAAGGGTGAAAGTACTCCAGCTACTCCACCTGTCACGCCAACAAGGAGGTTGGCCTTGCCAGGGACGCTTGCAAAAGCAAAGGGCTTGAATGCTATGGCCGGATCAACCACTCCCCAGTCAACTCCGTCAACCACCGATGAGGGCAAGGGCAAAGGAAAAGAAAAGGGTGGTGAAGATGGGAAAGGGAAAGCCAATGCTGCCGAAACAGTGGGTGAAGCTGTCGTAGATCAAGTATCACCAGGAGAGTGATTGGTGTCGCTGGGGGGTGTGGAAAAAAATAGCCGCACTGCTTGCGCTCAGTTATATAACATTCATTTTAAACAGTTTTTCTGTTGAACAAACCATGGTTGTTCCCAGGAGCTTCCAAAGAGCCGCTTGATCAGCATTAATATGGCCAACTCTTTGCATGTCCAAACATCATTGGTCAAATGTATTATTACAAAGAATCACAAAGGTCAAAGGTCAATTTGTTGGTCACTAACCTATAGGTATACCTTTGGGATTGCATTGCCACTTCAGCTCAGGCCAAGCAACTTGAACCGGGGTCTCTCCAGCGTCAGCATTGATCAGATACTTACCTCGGGTCAAAACGGCAAACGCATAAAGGCACTGACAGAGGAGCAGAAAGAGGCCATAAGGTCTCTTCAGACACCGCAAGATCTCCCGTACCCAGAGAGGAAGCGCCAGTTTGCTGCACTTGGTCGCCGGCTGGAGCGACCCTGTCCCCCAGGTGTGCTCCAGAAATGGGAAGCAGCCAAAACGGATGACGAAAAGCTTCTCATTCTAAACGATGATTTATGGGGCCATGATTTTGCTTTTTGTTGGCTACAACTGACACATTTGTTTCTCAAACCGCGCGCATCCATCTGAGGTTTGAATTCTTAAAGTGCTTTATGCTTGACTGCACACTTTCGAACGTGACTGTCGAGGCGTGGCACAAGGAGTCAGAAACTTAGACCCTTGGGTTTTCAACGTGCCATTTCTTGCCATATATATATATACATATTTAAGTGCAAGGTATTTTATATATATTTATATTATGCATATTTAAGTGTGTATGCATATACATATATAAACCCGCTTGGATGTCCTTTCATAGATCTGGTTATTATCTGAAGATCAGGTCTTCCAAAAGGAAGCGTGAGAACCAGTGGATGAAGAAGCCATTGGATGAGCTGGAAAAGATGTATGATCCCGAGTGGCTCCAGGCCAAGGTGGTTTCACAGCAGAAAGGGCAGCCACATCCCCAGGACTGTCCAGTTGTAAGATGCACCACTTAATCATTCCTGCTATTGCAACGCTGGCGTGATTGCATGGGGTGTCTCGCGTTGTGTGGGCAGCACGTCGCGTGTGCACATGGCATATTGCATGGCGTGCTGCGTGGCATGTAGCGTGGCGTGTTTTTCATCTTTCAATCATTCGACGATGTTTCATTCATTTCACAGTTGAACGGTGCTAGTTGTGGCATGTCAACTGTCGCATTTTTCCACAACAGTTGCTTTTTGAAATAGCACTTGGTAATATGCAGTGCATCCCGCTGAATGGTTTTGGCAGGATCCTACGAACCCCAAGAAGATGCTGTACAGTGTCTACATTGGGGGCCAGGACACCCATGCTGAGTCAGATGAAACTGGAATGCAGCTCAGTGCCAAAGCAAGGATTGCCCAAAACAAGGCAATCAGGTCTGGAATCGCTGCTGTTCTTACGCAAAAGGCCGCACCACAGTCATTCTCTTCGCTTCCCTCTGGTGATCTTGAGATCAAGAAAGAGGCGAAGGTGAAGGTCAAGAAAGAGAAGAAAGAACCGACTCCGGAAGAATTGAAGCAGAAGGAATTTCAAACTGACTGTTCCAAGTTTCTCAGCTGTCTAGATTCCATGCATCCAATAGTTTCAAGAAGCATTTTATGTGTCTGATTTTTTTCTGATGGTTTGTCTGCACGCATGGACCCCCATCTTAGGATTTCGGCGCTGTCCAACAAGGCACGCACTGTGGCAATGAAAATCAATTCCACGGGCATCCAGCACCAAGAGGCTATGCAGTCAGCACTTGAGTCGCAGTTCAATGAGCTGCAGAAAATTCTGCAAGAGTCAAAGCCCCAGTTATCTCTTTTATATTATGTGCATCTTTCTCTTGTTGATATCTCGATCAGCTACAAAATCGACTTGGTGAGATGAAGTGTCCATAAAATATCAAGTGAGCAAATTGGTCAATGGCCTCTCGTGTCCCGAGGATGAATTCTATGACGTTCAAAGGAGCAACTCTTGAAAAATGCTTGGAAAAACTGGCGACATATGAGGATGTCTTGAAGGCAAGTTACTCAAATCCATTTGCCGCCACATCCAGCCAGAAAATCGATACCAAAGATTCCTTGGCGTTGCAGGAATGTGACAAAAAGATCAAGGAAGGAGAGATCATTGTGCAGGGGCATGAACGGCGTAGAATGCTTAGATCACCTACTCCTAACAGTGAAATCTGGATTGATCTACACAACAAGATCCAGTAGCATCACGTCGTTTCTGCCAGGTCAGTCGATCGAGAAAAGGAAAGCTGAGGCGAAAGGCAAAGCAAAGTGCAAGGCTAAGTCAAAAGGAAAGAAGAAGAGTGTCAAAGAGGAGGAGCCAAAACAAGTTGAAAGTCATTTTGCGGCCTTGCTGGACAAGGACTATGGTGACGAGGACGCTGACGACGAGGATGTTGATGGATCCGCAATGGACGATGATGACATTGAAGACAACACAGAACCGTAAAGCTGTTGTGGGCACAGTTTCTCTTTTTGTAGCACTGAAATGTGCACTGTCGGGTCTGGTTTGGCAGTAACGCTAAAACAATGCGGTCTGTGACATTCTCCAAATCAATATGTTCACTTTGGTATCTTGTTTGGGGACTGACTGCCATGAGACCAGAACAATTTTGCTTTCACATTAATGCGGGATTTCGAGTCACTCAAGATTCGAAGGGCCAAGGCGCCAGGGTGGTGCGATCACCATCTTGCCGAGCCAGCTGAAAACAGTCAGAGCGTATACATAGATATGTTCCTTGGATTGCCGCGATTTCGCATGACCCCTTTCATGCTGCATGCATCCCTTGGAGCCTTCTCTGCATTATCAAGAACATTGGAGACAAAAAACGAAGTTGAAAAAACGATCCGCCATAGACTTAGATTGAAGTTTACCTTGTTTGAATCTGGAATTTCAAATCAAAAAAGCACGCATGTGCCAGCCCAACATATCAAATGCTTTCAGACAAACGGATTTATATTCATACAGACCATATGCATTTATATATATATATACGCATACATAGATATAGATATAGATATAGATATAGATATAGATATACACATAAATTGATATATAAGTTGAAACCGTAGTAATCGTAAGTTATGTCTATAGTCTCTACGTGCATGCATGAGCACAACTGCGCCGCCGTCTGATGCGTGGTCTCTCCAGTCGACCATCCACGGGTTGGTTAATGAGCTGTTCAATCTTTTGAGTACTGGCTGCGTTACTTGGCCATCTAAACTCGATCAGCAGTTTTACAAAAGCACTAGCATCTGAAAGAAGCATGTGTTGCTTGCATGCAAGGCTACGTTTGGTGCTGTGCAGTCGCTGGTTACCAGGCTTCAATATCTTCCACATTCTTTGGTGCCGAATCTTGCCTGCATTAAACCCCAAATTTACTCTTGAAAGAACAACCCAAGCAAAAAAATGATGGTGTGATTTGTGTAAACGTAGACCCCCAGGTTTTTGATTTAGAATACCTAGTAACTCGCGCGCATCGATGCATCAGTTTTTCTGTCTCACTCTTATGTATGCATATGTCTATATTTTGATAATGACACATGGATATATGTATATTATATATATATATATGTGTGTGTGTGTGCAAACCTATCTCTCTGAACATATATATATATATACAGTGAAATTTTGATTCTATCAAATCAAATGTGTTTTCCATGGGAAAACCTTGTCATCAATGCAGCACAGGACGCCAGTGCTTGACCTAGCCTCTCGCCTCAATGCATCGCAGAACGCTTGGGGAGCCACGAGAATCTTTGACCGATGGATAGGGCAGCAACCATGGAGCTGCTCGTCTCAAACCATAATGCAACAACATGCCAGTATAGTTTTTTTAAGTCACAGTCATCACCAGAAAAAATGTGAAGCTTAGGGCGGAAGCTTCCTGAGACTTTTGGGTTTCATGTTCAATCGGACCAGCCCTCAGACCTTCACTGCTTGAGTCAGACAAACAACAGCTACACAAGAAACAAATGGTCTTGTTTGCTTTACATGCCAGGACTGGCATGACTCCCATGGAAATCCGAAGTCTACCCTACAAGAGCTGCTCCTGCCGCATGAAATAGTTGCTACGTTTCTGTCTGTGGGGGAAACTTCCAGGATGGTTGGTGACACAGTGGCTCAGCAGAAAATAAAATTGATTTGCATTGCATGCGATGCATGCTTCCTGTTTCGATTTGAAGTCATTGACTGGTCTGAAAAACACATGGCAATCAAGGATTTGGCGCTATACTGGGAGAAGGAGAAAAACACACGCTGGTTTCAAAACCACCCTGTTCTATCCGAAACCCGGCTCAAGTTTGAATCCAATCCATCAGATTGAGTTTTTTGATTGCTGGCAACCTTGAACAAATCAGGACCCATGCTGCAACCTCTCGAGAACTATACCTGTGAGATTGTACGGAGATGGCGCCGAAAGCCAGCGACCTTTGTTTGCATTTTATTCTTATAATTTTTGGCCGACAGAAAAAAGGTCTCAACGGTTAAACTGTCGAAGCTAGCATAGCAAGTGAATCTTTTCATGCGCCATGGAATCTCAGGGAAACAGAAGTTTGAATTATTGCTGCTTCAATTTCCTCAATGCACATCGAGCAGCACGATCGACAACAGAATCATGCAACCAAGCTGCAACAATGTGGACGAAGTCGCATCTGACAACTCAAAGCCGTATCCAATGGATCGCCATTGCTGCAGCTGCAGTGGCCCCACTGAGGCTTTCAGTCATCAACACAAATTATAGCAAAGATGAAGCCCGGAAAAATTGTTTGGAAACTTTGGCATGGTCACTAAACTGCTTGAGTGCCTCAGCTGATAAACTTGGAGATTTGGAATTTGAACAATTTGCACATCAAACCTATGCTGTCATATGGTGATGCCAGGGTTTCTTCAACGCTGTCTGAATCACTTGACTTGACTTAGGTGCTGGAACCTTCCCAGACCGCGACCCTTGGGGAAACATCTTTCATGAGAAGTACTATCCAGCCAGGGCTGCATTGGCAGGCCGGCCTCTTTCTGGTGAAGGTTTCATTGGAATTTTGGAAGGAATCCAAGCGGATCAGGATTGGTTGAGATCGACTTTCGAGTTGTCGCGTACTGCTAACCGACAACTATGCTGTTACTATTGCGACTGTGTTCAATGGATTTCGACAAAACATCATCACATGTACAATGACCGCAACAACCTCTACACGATATTTGGCCCATGCGAAGCTTCAACAACGATTCTCATTTGGAATATGCTCGCACTTTGCAGGATTAATGCTTGTTTACACACCAACAGGTTCTTTCTCTTGAGTAAACAGTGACTGCATGAGAGCTGGAGCCAAGGATCGTGACAGCGGCTGAGTTCATTGGCTTGCATGGCTGCACACCTCTCTGCACTGTGTGTGGGTTCGACCCAGAACGAGCCTTTGTCTTTTTTAAAATAAGACTATATATTAGGAGGGTTGAATGGCACTTCCAAAGTTGTATCTTAAAATGTGGTGTCTCCCCCCCAAAAAAATCATACATGGCTAATTTGGCCACAGCTTAGGACTTTATCCAGACTACATGCATATAGTGCATTTGGCATGCGCAGTCGATGCTATATCTTCAATCCTTTTGGATTTGGTGGAAGCACCCAACCTCGACATTGCTGGTGGCACCAGGGACCAAAAACTCGAAACACTGTGGCACAACTACCGGAGTTGGGCAGAGTCAGCTGGAAGCTAGCATTCAATGTTGGTTTTCTTTGGCTGTGGGTTTTGTGTTTTACGAAGGTTTGTTTGTTTATAGTTTCCAGGGATCGAAGGTATGATATTTGGTTTATCACCTCTATATCGCCCACACCTAAGGAGTTCCTGACCGGGCTTCCAAACGCATGTTCCACACCTCTGTTCTGAGACCAAAAGGAGGGGCCAAGTTTTGCGAGATCAGCCAGAAGATCCTTTCAGCAACTGCTTGCCGTTACATGATCTTCTGGGTCAACGCATTACTGCAGCAAGTCAACACAGCCGACCTGGCAGGACAGCATCTTGGCATGAACATTTTTAGCCATGCGCGTTTTGGCATGAACATTTTTCCGTGGCAAATAAATGGGAGTTCAATCCCAAATTGAAGACAATCTCCAATTTTGAGAGCCCCACAGCTAGATCGCTCAGGTGGCGGGCTGGGTGCATTGGTGGGCTCGCGACAATGGAGTCGGTCATGCTCAACAACGGCCGCTGGTTGGAGCCCGAGGCTGAAAAGGAGTTCAAGTGTGGATACCTCATGTTTCGGGCCTGCTTCAACCACCTTGCAGACAGAGCACTTGCCCAACAGGAAGTCAAATACCACCATCGACCCAAGTTGCACCAACTTGGTCATCTTGTGTACCACTTCTTGCCACGGAACCCAAGATACTTTGCCAATTATGCTGATGAGGATGCGGTGGCCCGGTCAAAACGACTGGCTGCAGTTGCGCACCCGGTGCATACAAGCAGATTAACTTTGCAGAGGTATATCATACAGGTATGCCTTCGATTTGCAGGTGGCATGTGAAAAAAGACTTCACCGGGAGAGCCGGGAGAGCCAGGGTGATCGTAAAACTCGTGGATGTTTGCAACGCACAACCCGTTTCCAAACATGTTGTTTTTGTTTTGGAAGTTTGGTAACAAGGAAGTTTCTCTTCTAAATTGGCTCAAGTTCAAGTGGCGCTGCTCAAGCTTGCAAGAGTTCAGTGGCAACAAGTATTTTGCACACTCCTTGTGCAAAACCAGTGGCTGAAAACCGTTTCTTTATTCAAAATGCTTTGGCTTTCAAAGCTTTTGATCTGCTGATGAATGTTTTTATGATCAAACTTGCGCAGTTCAGACTGCAGAAGTATGGGTCAATGGTTTTTGGTGTCATGCCAAAAATGATGATTTTGACCATTGCTATCTTAATTTTTTGTTGCTGCTTAATTAGGCAGCGAACCTCTCGTCTTGGTGGATGCTCATGGTGGTGCGCTTGCTTTCGGTCAGTGGAAAGATTGGGGCTGCACCTTTGATCTGCGGCATCTGCAGCAAGAATGGGAGTCAAATCTCTTTGTGGACTTGCAAAATGAATGTCAAGGAAATGTCACTCATCACGGAAGTCTCTCATCTCAAATCCGGCCGACTGTAGCAACATTGCAGGAAACAGTGGACTTGGAGGCTTTGCAAGCCTACTTGGAAAGTGGCTCAGACAGAAGGACTTCGCAGCTTCGGGCCTATGTTGATCGTCATGCTTCTGAAGGAGTTCGCGTGGGGCGCTTTTCTACTATCTCTGTCGAGTACTACAAGGCCCCCAATTATGGTCGTTTACTTGCTCGTGGCCCTGCTGCACAAAAACTCACTCGAGAAGCTCGTGGAAAAGCCTTCCCCCATGCCATTGAGATTGATGCAGCTTGTTGCCATCCTCGTCTTCTCTTGCGAAAACTTCGAGATATGGGATTGGACGAGGCAGGTAGTTTCCAGATGCTTCGTCTCTTCTGTGAGAACTACAAGTCATGGCGGTCAGTTTTGGCTCAGTATCTTTGCGTTGATGTCCAGGAGGCAAAAAAGGAACTTATCCGCATCTTCTACGGTGGCAACCCGCGTTTCGATATTCCATGGCTCCGCAAGCTTGGGGAAGAAGTTCAGGCAGCTGCTCATCTGATTCTACAAGATCACAGACATACTCATCTTTCTGATTTGTACAATGATCGCAGACATCCTGAATTCAGTCGGCTTTGTTCTTTGCTATCATTCGATGAAGCTGACCTATTGGACACCATTCGGACCCATGCGCATGTGAAAATGGAGGTTGCTCTCTTTGACGGAGGCATTGTGTCGTGCACATCTGTGCAAGATCTCTTTTGGTTGCATCGTGCTTGCGCAGAAACTTCCCACAACATCATCCCCGTCGAGATCAAAAGTGAGCCGCAAAGTATGAAGACTTTCTTGCATATGTTGGTGCGCAAGAACATCGTGAACATGATGGAAGTCGAAATTCCTTCCACTCCGGCAAACTGTTTGCTCTTTGCTGTTCAAGGTGTTGCACCTCATGTTGATCTCAGTAGTTTGCGCCAAGTTTTGCAAGACAAGCCAGAGTCCTCGCTTTCCGCTCATCAATTCAATGGAGCTTTGGCAGATGCAGACTCTGCAGCCGACACTGCTTGGCAATTGCATTGCATCTCCAAGGATGAGTTGCTCTCCGTTGTCCCAGCGCACCCGATCCTTTGTCATGAACGTTCTGGAGAATGTCAAGGACACTGGTGGTCCTTTGTGATGATTGAGGATGAGGCAAGGCTATTTGATTCTGAGATTCCTTCTTTCGAAGTGACTGCTCGATGGGAAACCTTTGCATCTGCTTTGGAAAAATCTGATGCATTGACTTTCTTCGAACTGAAACAGATGCACTTGAAGACGGAAATGTCGATGTCAGAGGCATATCACTTGCAAGGTCGTGGCCGTGCGGATGGATCCTCCACAGTGAAGTCCGTGCGAACACCCCTCAAGAATTGTGCTCTGTGTGGATCTTGTCTATATCCCAAGCGCAAACAGTTCTCTACGGCAACAGTTTATAGACTCGAAGGTCCCGAGACTGTCCTGCACCAGCCTATGCGATGTGGACAGAAGTCATGCCAAGCCTCCCACTACTACAACTTCGTGTGGAGCAACGGCATCAAGACCAATTCGCTCGATCCCAACCAGGCCGAGTATATCTTCGTGACCGCCAACACCGGGTTCCACGTCTCCTTCCTTGCTTATCACGATGCCCTGCAATTCAGAGGCTACTTGAGCAATCACGCCATCGCCTGGTCCCAAACGAACGCATTATGGGCAGATGACCATGCACATGCTCGTTTTCACAAGGACTATGCATTGGCTCGTCTCTTGGTATGGATGAAAAAAATTGCTTCAATCTATTAACCAGTCTGATGCAGTACATATATATATATATATTTAATTTTCGTATATGTATGTAAGAGAATATTCATATATATATATATCATTATTGTTTTCTGTTGAGCAATTACTTAATACTATTGGTAGCCCTATGTGTATATTATCAGTTTCTCCACTGTGTTTGGAACGAGTCTGTCATGATGAAACAATCAATATGTAGGAATATATATGCATTGTTCTGCAGCATTACAAACAAGGTCTTCTCTGGAATGTCATGAGCGAACTGTCGGTCATGTGGAAATCCACTATGCCAAGCACTTCCATTCAGAAACTTCGCACAATTCGCGTAGATGATCCTGTGCATGAAGGGCATCTTCGGGACTTCCACCGATGGTGGCAAACCATCGAAACTCCCCATCGCATGTCGCAGTCTGTCAAAGAGATCGCTGTCGATGGCCACGAGAAGATCGCCACAAAGTGCTATCATGAAGCACCAGCTCGCGGTGGTCGTCCTCGGAAGGATGGCCATGTCAAATTGTTCTACAACGGCTGGTTCATGGCGACACACCCTGGGACCGGAGTCATCCTAGGCCTTTTTGAGATGAAAGATCCAGAGAATTCGGATGTTGCGCTCAATCTTGTGCAAAATTTGCTACCGCATTATCCCAAAGTGGATGCAGTACTCTACGATCGAGCCTGTAGCATCTTCAAGAAGGCTAAGAACACACAGGATTTGAAGCCTGTCAAGTTCTGGTGTGTAGACAAATTCCACGCAAAGGGACATTGCAACAAATGTAAATGTTCCCCGTCTGTGGTGCCAGCAATCGATAAGCGACTGAAAAGAGTCAACACATCGATTTCTGAACAGGTGTTTTCGTGGTTCCGTGGGTACAGCTCCACATTCAACTCCATGAACGCGAAACACCAAAGATTCTATGTGTTGGCTTACTCGCGTCGACACAATCATTTGCAAAAATTAGATGACATGCAGCACCTCAATCCTTGGTCTGCCCGTAAGTCCACTTTGAAGCGATCCGGCGTGCTGCAGAAGCCAGCCAGCCGCAAATATAAGTGTAGGGTCAAGAAGCAAGCCGTCTTGAAGAGACCCGCACAGAAATGATTTGATGATGTGGACTAGAAGATATTTCCAACATCTTCCCAAACCCAAACTCTTCCGCCATCATTTTGCAATTCCGTCATTCGTTGGTGCAATGCATCAAATCAAAGGTGCCAGAGCGGTTCCGCTTCAAAATCTCTCACAGCTGTCTCGCTCGTCGGACAAAAAAGAGAAGATGCACGCACTGAATCGTTACTGCTTGCTCATGAAATCTTCCACGTCTCAATGCCATAATCAGCAATAGATTGCAACACGCCATACAAGAAATTGTCCATGTGAATACACATATTGTTTAAATATGTATAACCTAGAACTGCTAAGACGCAACCCCTTGTAACATCCAAATAATGGATTTCCATAAATCAGAGAAGCAAAATGAAGCACCGGAAAAAAACATAGATTGACATTAACGTTTCGGAGTCTGGGTACGAAATTTCTTCTTTCCATTTGGTACTTTCTGAACCTTCATGCCTTGGTCCTCTTTTTCTTGGCCTTTGTTTCATCAGGTGGCTTGCAGCTGGTGTTCAGCTCATCTTTCTCTTCGTGATCTTCCTTTCAAGACTCCTGCAACCATATCATATTTGATTCTCTAAGGCACTGTCATATCTCCACTTCTATCGCACTGGCCTCCACTCTATCGACTAGCATTCTCTATATTGCTCTGCCATCCCATTGCAGTGACATACCATTGGCTTTGAGATCCCTTTCCTTTGACACTCCTTTGCTTTGGCATCCCCAATATGTAGCATAGATTTTGTTTCGTCATTATTTGAATTCAAATGCGATTTAGGGTATGTGCCGCAGTATATAATTTTAATAAAAATGTTCATATTATGTCTTAACTTGATGAACTTAGAATAAACTTTGTCATATCTAGAACCATACTTAATCAGTAAGAATTTATTTGAAGAAATAAAATAAATGCATTAAAAATAACAAAAAACAGCTAAAAATGACGTAAAAACTGGGGACCCACAACGTCCCGCACTCAAATATTTCACCTGACTACGTGAAATATACCCCCCCCCCACGTATTTTTTTGGGCTTCTAAAAGACGTGGGGGGGGGGGTTCCTCCGGACGCTGTTCCTTTTTGGACCTTTTTAGTCCTCACGCGGGTAGGGCCCATGCGCAAACACTGACAACTAGGTAAATGGTAACTGCCGGTTTCCAAGAAAGTAAATAAGAGAGTGAACTTGCCAAACAGCCTTCAGAACATGACGTTCAGCCTTGAATTCAACCACGCCCAAAGCCATTATAGACCAGATTTTTTTAGCTGAAATATTTCACTTTAGGGAGGTGAAATATTTCTAGGTGTGTGGGGGGGGGAGACCCCCCCCTAAAGTGAAATATTTCAGTTTTTACCCCCCTCCCACCCCCCCCTTAAAGGGGGGGGGATATATATATATATATATATGTATAATATTTGATGAGACATGATGATGGATTATAATATGTTATAATATGTTATAATATGTTATAATATGCTGCAACTAGCTTTGTTCCCCATCTGCCAGGCGAGGGTCTCTAGATTTTATCTCAACTTCCCGCTCTTCCTCATCCTTCGTCCTTCTCCCCGCCAAGTCGCGAAAATCATAAGCCAACGTGCCAGCTTCCTCGCCAGCACATCACTGCCAGCTTCCTCGCCTATCCCAGACAAAATGTCAGAACGTGTCAGAATATAGGTCACATAGAATGCAAGATAAAATGTCGGGGTTTGCTGATTGGAGTTGATTGGGATCGTGGGAACGAACTGACCAGCATGGTAGTACATCTATGGACCACCAGTCGGGGTTCAAGGCAGTTCAGATTCAGTATGGATTGCCTTGAGGTTGAAGACAGAGGGTCTGATAGTCGTTGGGACCCACATGAATTTTTCTGCCAGTAAATTGAATTGCACTGTGAACATCTGCTGGTTGTTTAGCGCAGCAAAATGTTGGTCTCTTGGTCTTGGCCTCTCGTCTTTTGGATATTTATATGTGCATCAGGTTTTGGAAGGCTTGGGTTTGCACTGATGATTTCTAATCACCATGTTATTTTGGCTCAAGTACCTTGATCCAAAATAGCATCTGTTTGCTTTTTGGGTCTAGGTTGGCTCGTGGGATACATGTCAGGCTGGAGTGAACAGCTACCCAAAGCAAATCTTGCGAGCTAGCAGGTTGAACGACCTTACAGCTTGGAGGGAAAATATACAGCTGTCCATTAGAGTAGCCTCTCGGGTGAAGAGAAATGAAACATCCTTTATCTCGGAGCACGGTATTTCAACGTTTTTCGCATACCTGGGTGACTCAGGGACTATGTGGCCAAAGATTGTAGAGGCAGCACTTGAACCACCAAAAATGAACAGATCGTGCACGCAGGTGATTAGCCCATGGCCCTATCAGAGCCTCTCCGGGCAAGTTGCTTGGCAGAGCCTATGATGTGTTTGCAGACCGATTGCTGCTGTTCAACAGAGAAAGTAATGTTTACATAGATCTACACAATAGATGTACAGACCATCCGCTATAAGTTAGGATTCTGTCTGGTTCATGCTGTTTACACACACACACAGGCACACACACACACAATGTTGGTTTTACGGCATGGCTAAATCCGGTGAAATCCCATAGAAAGAAGATTCAGCTTGAAAGAACCTGTTCAGTCGTTAGAATTTACCATCTTGGGCGAGCTGACCAAGGCTGGTGTCCAGCCAGTGGCTTCTCGTCAGGTACTGGAGTAGCGAAGGAGGGCACGGGAGAACATAAATTATATTGTAAAGAATATAGTATAATTGCATAGTACTACAGTAAATCTACGTTAGTATTGCATACAATTATGACGCACACATATATCATATATAATATATGAATGTATTGAATGTATTTGTATATGTATATCCACATATACGTAAATGTATAGCACAAAAGGGTTTTGTTCAAATTGTACTTACTTATTCTGCTGATTGGGTTAAAAAAACTCTAAAGCTTTCAGCTAACCTTGGAGGTTGCTCTTCATTTGATCAGGTCAGTGGGGTGATGCAGGCCATGGGGCTGATGGTGATCCTTTGGATACTGGGGGGTCTTCTGCTTCCGGGTTGACTTGTAGGAAAAAAGGTACGCCACAAGAGACCAGGAACAAGAGAAGATCTTGAAACTTGCACCAAATACGGAGATTACACAGAGATCCGAGTCTGGGGATGTCTGGGGTGTCTTTAACCAGGCGGAAGTCGTGCTCTTGCCATTTTGCGACTGTGCATGCCCAACGTCCACAGAATCACCTGCAATAATTTGAAAAAAACTGAAACATTCTGAACATATCTGCTATCTGCAGAATCTGCACTCCGACGTCAGGGAGGAACTCCAGTCTTCACACCGCTGGCGACTCCGTTGCAAACGCCACTGACCACCCCAACAACGCGTCTGCAGCCGGCGGCAGGAGTGACACTTGTCCAGGCAGAGCGGTTGGGGTTTCCAGAGAGTTTCGTCAGACCAGAAAAGGCACCACCACATCAAATATCAATTGGAAGTTTTGGAGAGTTGTGGAGAATTTTGAAGAATTTCGGACTGGACCGGGAGTTGTCATCTTCATGCACGTGGCACTGTCGATCTTTGTTGTCCCTACGTTCGGATGCCTAAATCTTGAGCACTGAGTGGCGTGGCGACCGCTGCTGCTCTGCAGGCGTTGGGGACGACTCAAACGGGTGCTGCGGTGCCATCAGCAACGTATGTGCAGGCAGGAGGTCTTACTGTACCAACAGGGAGGAATCAGGGGATGAATTTGCAGTAATGAGATCAAGCCGCCGCCATAAGAGATCTCGTCTCCTGGTCCACCACTTTTTGAGACACTCTGCAATGAATCTTACTGTACATGTATCCATCCATCCATCCATCCATCCATCCATCCATCCATCCATCCATCCATCCATCCATCCATCCATCCATCCATCCATGCATCCACTCATCCACATACATGCATTGCATTGCATTGCATTGCATTGCATTGCATTGCATTACATTGCATTACATTACATTACATTACATACCTACTACTTACTTATTTCCTTACTCACTCACTTGCTTACCTACTTTCTTACTTTCTTACTTTCTTACTTTCTTACTTACCTACTTTCTTACTTTCTTACTTACTTGTTTACTTACTTACTTACTTACTTACTTAACTTACATTGAATCTTAGGATACTGCAATAGATGTATGATCGCGTGTTGCAATAGTGTTGACTTTGGTTTTCCCGCCATTTGCAGCTACCTTTATTGTCAGTTTCACGTTCTCGATTCGCTGGATCTGGAGGCTCCTTCTGTGACAGCACCTGCGGCACCACAGGCTGTGGGGGTGGAGTCCCAGGTTCCAGACATTTCTGAGATTTTAGTGGCATCGGAAGAACGTAGGACACATAGAACACATAGAAGAATCGTTGAGCATATTTAGTTCCGCAATTTTATCGTTTGATTTCTGTCAGCCGCAAGTCAGACTTAGTTGAAAAGACTGAAACCCAACAGGGTAGTTTACGCTTAACCATATCTCCCAACAGCTACTCTGCAGCTACTCAGACTGGCGCGGTGCTGGGAGTTGTCAGCAGTGACATTCATTCCAAACACTTGTCCTGACAATCTCAAAGTCAGGTGCGCACAGCTGCAGACGGCTCCCTTCCTCCCAGCGACGCCATGAAAAGGTTGCGCGAAGGCTGTTCCGAGTTCCAAGATGTTCTGTTGCGGGAAGGGGTCCCCAGGGTGTGGATCAGGGCCACCGCAAGAATAACATCATTCATCATTCCTGTTGACCCAAGGAATTGCGATTGTGAGTTTTCGCGTTAAATCGCAAACGACATTAGACCAATAGCATGCTCACCATCAAGTATTGTCAGGCAGGAAATTCTTCCGAGCATTGGTTCGGATCAGTTAGGACATGAATCAGCCCGGTACGCTTCTCAGTGGGAAAACCTGCTCACTCCCGTGGCAGGCAATGCGCGGTTCGTGCGAGGCACACCCCTTGCCACCAGGAGACTGGGCATGGATCATGGGAAGATCAGGAAACCAGGAAAGTTACCATTCCGACAGCTGAAGTATGTTGCAGATCTCACGGATGTTGATGGTTTGTCTCCATTCTCATTGCCTCAAAGAGAAAGGGAAGCAGATGCTCATGTGATCTCATTTGTGTGGTTAGTCGATCGAGGGTATACAGATATCAATCAGATATCCAGATACAAACACTCCAACAAATGCCACATATGCCACGATTGCAAATGGGACACAGACACCCGGCGCTGATCGAATGGGAATGTGATGCAGGACCAACCTTAGCATGCGCACCAGACTTGTGGAGGAGGGTCAGGCGTCCGGATTGAACCGAATTTGACAATAAATGACATGGCACTATGATGTGTTCTGTCATGGTGTCATACAGGTTGATTATAGGCCCATGTCAAACCATTACTCACATAATGACATCATCTTACATACTTTTTTTTTGTACATAGAATATGATGATGCAACATTCAACTCAACGCTTATATATAAGCAGGCAAAGTAACTTTACACTACAATCATATACAGATCATACGCAGCTAACCATGGCATACGGCAACCGAGAGCGAACATGCCTTGGGTCGTGGCCTTTAGCTTGACCCTCTGAATGACCAGAGCTGTGCATTCCACTATGGTGTCCCACACATTGAGCCCATTGTAGAGGTATCTTGGCCAGTAGTATTCAAAATTATTGTGCAAAACTCGAACACGGCATACTGCGGGGGTGTGCCAAAGATCCATCAAAATCACCTTATCCCAGCAGGTTCAACAGGTCCAGCAGGTCCAACGGGTCCCAACACTGCTGGACCCGTGTGTTGGGGTCGCACAGGCGCCTTTTGCCGCAATCCTGGGTTGTGCGGACTCGCGAGCACCGCTGGAAAAAGTCTTTGATGCCTTGTGCCTTGGCTTCGACACAGTCCCCTGGTAACTGCATGGCTAGCTCAGCCACCTACAGCTGTGGTTATGTAAATGTAAACAAAACATAGTCAGGCATAATATGCAACAAGCATACATACACTATCATACAGTATTACAGCATAAGTTGATATATGTAAATTAATCTAAATGATGTGAAGGCACAGACATGCCATGGTTTTCTTCCCTCTTCCCAGTTCTTCCGATCACAGATCCCTCCATTTGAATCACAGAGACATGACTCAAAGGCCTGGCGACATCTTCGTGCTGCGAAATGCTGGCAACACCTGCACCCACGCTGAAGGCTCACATGCATGACATACATGAGATCAAACAGTGAGACATAGAGCATCGTAGAGCTAAGGGCTGCAACCCCCATTATGCAATTTTCAGCACTTTTCTGCAGTTGAACCGGACTTACAGAGTGGGTAAAATAGGATTTTTACAGATTTTTCAGGCGCCTCCACGGTTCATTAAGGGTTGTACAAGCTCTTTGTGACCTGGCAAGAACGGCATTGAACTTTGCACATGTTGTTTGTAGAAGCCATTTTTTTAAAAACATTCCTGAGAGATTCCTGAGATGTATGCGATGTCATCGCAAGTGGAAACACTTCCGTTCCAGTGTTTCCCCGGCCACGCCCAAAGCCATCCAAATCCTTGGCCAACTATGCTAACCCCAGCCATTGTGGTCAGCCTTTACCAGGTAGCATGGTTGGAAGCCTGGAGTTTGCCACTGGGAAGTTAGGAGTCTTGGCTTAGGATGCTTAGGCCTTCAGCCTGACCTGAGAGCGATGTTGGATGAGTAGGGGACGTTGCCTAGCCTGGAAGATCCTGAAAGTCCTGGTTTTGGTGAAGAATTGCACTTTCAAAAATTAAAAAGTAGCAATTGCGCTGATCAACTGTGATGAGGATCTCGTTTGATCCTGGTGCTGGGCCACACCAGTTGCGGAGCCATCAACGGTGCGACCCAGGTGCTGGAGACAGGTTGCTTTTTGGAGGTCGTTTTTCATTTGTATCCGACAAACCCAGCTACAAAACGTGGTCTCAAAAAAATATTTTACACCAGCAACGGGCACCTTGAAAGCACCTTGCGGCACCGGTGTGCAACCGCACGGCTGCGGCTCCAGGCCTACTTGTCCAAGAAGGACGGTGATACTTCCGTGGGCTCGGCTTTGGAGGGTTTGCTGCGCGACCTGATGGAAGTTGCCGAGACTTGGAAAGAGACTAGCGAGACTCATAGACTCATAGACTCACATGGCCTCATGGTGATATTCATGGTGAGATTATCCAAGATTATGATGCTTCTGGAGACTGAGTTCCATGAGATTCTATGAGAGTCAGGGCCAGATGTTCCGATTCCGCGCCTTGCTTGCTCAGTCACTTGCATTTCATGGCTTTCAGTTGAATGTGGGTATGCAAAGAAGTTACACTAATGGTGTTGTCGCTAAGGGACTGCCTGCACACCCTGACTCACTGTATGTATAGAATTGTCTATGTACTTACTGTACACACACACACACATATATATATATATAGTGATGCTATGTGCTTCAAACCCGTGTATGTACCTTTCTGCACTTTATCTCTGAACTCAAACTCGCCTAGCAAAGAGAAAAACGAGTGCGACGACATATCAATACAGTATGATATAGTACAAGCAAGATGACATGCAATGATGATGGTGATGATGGCGATGATGGTGATGATGGTGATGATGGTGATGATGGCGATCATGATTATGCTGCTGCTGCTGCTGATGATGATGATGGTGATGATGATGATGATGCTGCTGATGATGATGATGCTGCTGATGATGATGATGATGACGACGGCAACGATGCTGATTATGCTGGTGATGTTGACATAAGTGATGACAACGACAATGAGTATCAGGATCATGATTGCAAATACAACGAGGAGGATGGAATACAATGGAATACATTCTTAAAGCTGAGCATCCAGCAGATGATTGCATCCCAATAACATGAGCAGCTTTGGCCTAAGGAAAGTGCAGCGAGCGATGATGGCACCACTGATTTCGACACATTGTCAAAGCGCGCTGTGAAGACAAACGTGGCTCAGCTTCAAGTCTTGGCAGTGGTAAATTGAAAACCATTGAAAAACCATGTGGGTTGGGGATTGCCTGTTGCCTTGCATCCGAGTATGCAGAGTCACATGCATTGATGTTCCTTCATCTTAATTATATAGATATTCACCAGTGTCGTATCAGGGACGCGACCTTTGCAGAAACGCTTTTGAAATGAAACTACTGAATGTGAATCTGACCATTCACATTGTGGGCAAAATAGGCAAGCAAATTTATATAATCAGTAATCAGGCAGAAATTATGAGGAATCATGACACGTACATTTCTTCATTTCTTCTCTAGTGTGGGACCGGAAACCCAGAGTAGCGCAAGCAGGTGTTCCACACCATGAAGTTCCTCTTGAAGAGCCTCGGCAGATAGTCTTGAGAGACCATTTTCCACTGCTTGTGGAGATGGCTCTTACATCAAATGCTGCACAATGAGCCCATCGTCTTCGGTATATACCACAATGTTCTATTCTATTTCATGCATGCGGGATTACATTCATGTTGTGGACATGTCTGATCCCCACTGACAAATTATCACAAATTACGGAGAGCTTTCCCTGTAACTACTCCGGGTAATTACTGAAGGTAACTGCCTCACCTCGATCTAATCTTGAGACCCTGTAAACTGTGGAGTTGTTGGCAAGGCACCCATATGATGTTACCATGATTCCATGATATACCACTACTTTGATCCGTTGCATTCCCAAGTTGTAGCTCGTGACATCTCTCATCAATTTTGGTTCCTTGAGGGTTTTGTGTACATCTGACTCTTCGCACCCCATGTTGGGTAAACTTCTTGTGAGGTGGAGAGTTCTAGGAGATTGGAGCGTCAACCCACATGTCTTCAGAAGAGCTTAGGTACAGTAAGACCATTCGCGACTTGGTGTCCAGCGGACAAGTTGATTTGCAAGGAGGCATCTACAACCTCGAGACAGGCAAGCCTGCATGCTTGTACCGTCTTACTTGTTTGGGACGGGCCATGGTTACATTGTTCATGAATTTCATGAAGAGGCTCGAACTGCGCAAAGAATACACAGCCTACGTTCCAAAGGCTTTCGTGCCATTTTCAATGGCAGATGGCCACGCTTCCGCAATCTGTGGATCCTGTGGTACAGCATGGTACAAGTATGTGGGGGTCCGGTCCGGGGTCCAACTTGATACGTTGCAGGCCAAGTGGACTTCCTTGGACAGCACCCGCAGCAGGACTGGATCGGGGTGAGGAGACTTCCTGAGGATTCAGCGGCAGAGCCATTTCTGCGACATAGATTTGGGGAAATTTATATAACAATTTTTAACTAGTTTTAAGAAATTTTAAGATGTTTTAAGTCACTTACGTCCAGATGTTACTTGTCAACAGCTGTCAGACTTCCAATCATTCAGAATTAAGTTTTTTCTCTGTCGTTTGTCTCTGAAGAGATATAGATGTTTGGCTTGCTAGTCCCGACTCACTCAACTCCTTGGGTTCGTGTCCGCTAGTGCTGGGAGTGCCTCAGAACGATTTAGATCGTCGCTCGCAGGAGTTTCTCTTTGGATCCAAACTGGAATTACCTCCATCCATGTTCAAGCAGGACTGGTGGGTCTCAAGGCGTTGTCATCAAGCATGACCAACAATACCAAGCACCCTTTGAAAGACTTCTGCGAGATGACTGAACATGAGATCTGTTTTGTGCTTTCAAAATCATTCAGAATCTTTTACATATTTTCATACTTTTCATACTTTTAATTTAAGCCTTTAAGCCTAGTATCGGGGACTATCCGAAGTGATTAGTATCTATTTTGGATGGGTTGAACCCACCCACCAGAAATCAAAATTGCTAAGATTCCAGACTATTTTCCAATATTTCCAGGTTTTCCAGGAGCCTCAGCCCATGTCCCAACGTGGCCACATGGTCACTGGCATGGACGTTTGGGAGAGGACAAAGCCACTTTTGTGCGTACCACGGAGTCCTCCGCTGTCTCGCCATTTGAAGCACTGAAGATCCTCGAAGAAGGCAATAAGCGCTACTTTGAGAAATACGGCGTTTGAGTCAGTGTCCGAAGTGTGTTGGGGGTCTGACTTGGCGTACGTCATGCGAATAACAGGAGCACTTCTCCCTCGGGGATGCCTCTTGCCCTCTCTCCTTCACTTTTGATTCGTACTTGGTACTTGACTGTACTTGTAGGATCTTCTGGCTCGCAATTTCTCTTAGGCTCTCCCAAAGCTGGGCCTAACGGCAATGGCTGCTAACATGTTGCTTGTGAACCAGTTCGTTCAGGTCTTTTTGAGTGTTTGCAAGGTTGCAATCCTTTGAACATAGACTGCAAGACCATTTGGCATCATCCTTTTTCTGTCACCTGTTGATGGTTGGTGGCAGCTTGAGCTGACCTTGAGACTTCCACCAAAATGGGGACATCCCAGGCTTTGTGCTGGGTCCGGGATCTCAGTTGCTGCATGGGAAAGAGGGTGACGAGACTTTAAGGGCTGCGGTCACCCGCAACGCATTACCAAGAGCTGAAAGACTGGATTAAGGTCTTCGCATCCGCATCCACATCATTTATGATATTTATGTAAGTCTAAGGGGACAGACGATTTTTTTTTCTTTGGGAGGTGCGTCTTGATGCCAAATAGACCATGAACTGGCCATACAAACTTCAAAATACTGTTTACCGCTTTGCACTGAAACACTTGTCGCATCTTGGTTGCGGGGGATCTGGCAAAACTAACACGCCGCAGTTGTGGTCGGCACGTTTATTTGCACCTTAGGAATTAGCAAACTTCGCAAACCATGGAACTTTCCAGGTAGATACACTACACGTATGCACGCACGCAAGTTTTTGCAGGTTGGAACATCTTGGAACACTTTCTGACACAGAATAGAAATGAATAGAAGACATTCCCAAGCAAAAACTGACTGCACCAAGCCATTGGCTTGGCTACAGCCATCTACAGCCCAATGCTGCGAGATTTGTTTCATCAGGTGCTCCAAAAACCTCTGCCACGCAGGTTTCTTGGCAGAAGAATCTTAAAGGATTCCTTGAAAGTGGCAGTCACCACAAGTGTTGGAGGTTCACTAATAGAAACCCACATCAGCATTTAAGATATTTATGTTTGAAGTGCAGAGGATTTCTTTGGCAGTCTTGGTAAGAGAAGACTGACCCTTGGTTCAGGTGAGGCAGTTGCATCAACATATATCGTCATACAGTCATATATCGTCATACATTGTCACAAATCATCATGTCACGCAGCCTTGACTTTTGGTGTTCCGCTTTGCTTCAAAGTAGCACAGAAGAGAAGTCGTGGCTGAGGACATGCGAAAGGCCTTGGTGGACAAGGGCCAGGCTCCACATGCAGCAATCGTGGGATGTCCACTGGTCGCAACAGAGAAGCAGCCGGGGAAGTTGTAAGGGACGCATGACATTATGACATGTGTTCAAAACCATCTGTGGTCCCTTTATACTGGTTGGTTGATAGGGATTCTTCTAATGAAAGTGATTAATGTATAATCCAGTATAATCCCCAATATATTGCTGTGAAGAATCCCGTATAATCATCAGCCAACCGAGGTTTTGAACACTGCTCACATCAATGGCAGGATTGACCGTGATTGATGGGGCTCCAAAACGTCCAAAACTCCATTCTATCATCGACTTTCACCATGGTTTGGTCTAGAGTAATGTTAAGGGCTATTTATTGGAGGAGACTCGCAACGGCTCCACCGAACTCCACAGGCCCTGTGATAGGTTTGCGTCCAAGGTTCCGACTCGAGGGCTCCGATTGAGACGGTCTTTGATGCAATGCCTGGAGATCTCTTCGTGTGCCCCACTGGGCAACGGAGCAAAAATGCATCGGGAATTCCCACAGCAAGACATTTTTGGGGGCTACTGTACTAACGCAGTATGTAGCAAACTGAATCGGCCAAATCCAGCATCTTCTACTTGAACTCGCGCATCAACCAGCACTCATTTGGGAACTTCAAACAGTGAAAGCGGAATATGCACCACGGGAATGATTTAAAAGCAAAGTCCTGGCTGATTTTGTAGAAGTCTCTTCCGGTATCTGCCGTGGAACACATTGGCCTTGTATGCTTTGGCTGTCTAGGCTGCGCAATGCTGGAAACACCTGCACGCATGCCGAAGGTGCGCGTTTGGGGCAAAGATTCGCACATGAGATGGCACGATCAGGGTTTTCCCGTCATACTACCGCATGGGCAGGTTTGATTTGCTTGGATCACGGAGGTGTGAAATCGAGTATTAACGGAGAGATCATGGAATGCCACATGCTCAATATACTGGTAGGATCTGGTAGGTCTATGATCCCCGAGAATCAACTGGCAAGCCAAACCAGTAGAGCACTGCATGCACAGCTCAACTAAATTGTGATATATATATATGAATTATATTTGTATGCTCTTACTAGAGAAGAATCCTGCACTGCTCTGACAACATGATGTTGGTCACCCTGGCGCTCTTTGTTAATTTCTCTTTTAAGGAAAAGAAACAACGCTGTAAGATGCTGTAGGACAACATAGTCTTGCACAAGCCTTTAAATCCCCAAACTGACCTCACTATGCAGGCGCTGTTCAGGATCTCATCCAGTAAACATATCTGACATAATATGCACGTGCTTCTATGTTCCCAATTTGGCAGTTGTCTTGCGTCTGGATCACTGATGCCAGGCAGCATTGTTGGGAGTTTGGAATTCTGCGTTGGCAAACTTGGAATCTCTCCTGCAAATTCTGCAAGCTGACTAACAATGCCGATGTATGTCATGGGCTCTAAGCTTCATTGTCGAAGGGTCCCAGATTTAAGACTCCTGACTATCATGGCTTCTATGCTCGTGTGGAGACTAGATTCATGAAGTAGATAGGATTCCAACATACTCTTGAGCGGGGTCCAGAGCAACTTCAAGTATGACATCCCACTTGGAAAGCAGTAAATCACTTCAATCTTCTCTGGCATTATACTCTAAGTGTTGCGCAGTGAGTTTTCTGGCTGTTGCAGCATCCCTGACTGACACATCGAAAGGTCTCCCAGGCAAACTTGATTAAACCTGCCGCATGTTGTGTGATGTTGTGTTAATGTTGTGGATCTCCTAAGGAAGCCGATTGATTCTCGTCATGGGCCACACCGCGTGCGGCGCCATCAATGGCGCCACCGCGACCTACCTGGCCGATAAGACTGCTGTAACCAGAGTTGGGGAACCTGGTGGGGGCCATCCTGCGTGTGGAGTTGCTCATGCCAACATGCAAGTTGCCAGGATTGGATGATATGATTGTATACTGTAATATTGTACACTATATTTATATATATATATACACAATATATATATATATTATATACATTACAATATGTAATGTTAATATCACTTTACAGCATATACTATAAACATCAAGATACCGTATTCACTATAAACGTCAGTATACAGTATATATCAGTATATATTAGTATATATCAGTATATATCAGTATATATCAGTCATACTATACTATCCGGTACATATGATCTAATATACATGATAATACTTCATGCCTATCTGCCATACCTTCTATTACCCCTTCTATTACCTTCTCATCCATTCCTCTTGCGCTCAGGCTGAGCCCACCTGTGCGCTCGAAGGATTGCTGTTTGGATTGACCAAGGTCGCCCAAGATGCGTACCAGGTGCGGAGTGATTCGGCCATCACTGCTCATTTCTCTGGCAATTGTACAGGAGTGATAAGAAGTTTTTTCAGATGGTCGTTTCAAAACCTAATGTGGGGAGTTGGATTTTTTCTCGGGCTTCAACATGTTTCAACCATGTTCAACCCCTCATACCCTCCCCATCTTGCCGCGTCAGGAACTGGGGCAGAAGGCCAGCGAAGAGCAGCTCGCAGCGCATGCTGTCAAGGCGGTGCTCGGGTGGGAGCCAAACGGCTGCTGAAAATGGGGGGAAGGGGGGGACAACCCCCAAACACAGTAATTTTCAAGACGGACAAATATAGGATAGCCTATTGCGAGAAAAACCCAGGTAGATGTAGATACTTGTCTCTTTTGATTCCTTCCGGTATGTGCTTGAAGGTTCCGGCAGGTTTCATAGCCTTGTCCTTCGGAAGACCGAGTGTCTTTGATTGATTTCGTCTTTCGTGCTTCGAGAGGATTTTGAGGCATATTTTGTCATTTGCTCTATGTTTCTAGTCCATGTACAACCATGTGGTCTGATTGCGAAAAAATGTCTCCTATTCAAAAGGATATTCAAGCCCAGCCCACTTACATGATAGTTGCGCACGTAGGTCTCGCAGGAGTGTGCAGGGATTGTCGTCCCACCCTTTGCGTGGACGATGCTTCTCCTTGGTCAAGAATCACTGGAAGCTGCTACCGTCCCGCCCAAACTTCGGCACTTGCTCTGCCGTCATTTGCCGTTAGGTGAACGTTTTCCACAGCATCAACTTCCTTTTGAAGTTCAGCCAGCCCATCAGGGACCGCTGAGAGCTTGACGGAAACTGCGGGTTTGGTTCAATCCTTTTGTGGATCAACTGGGAAACCAAACGATTTGTCTCACTTTGGGATCTAGGCACATACTCCGCCATTGCTGCACTTCTGAAGCGAGACTGAGCCAATGTCAGGACTTGGTTGCCAAGGGCGAGTTGGAAGTGCAAGGCAAATGAGATGGCTGCAGTTGACCCCCCAAAAAACGGCAAAATGCGTGCCTCTGGGTGGTCCAGAAGGCTCTCTCTCTTTGTGGGTACTCTTTTGTGAGACAAACCGACAAACCGATGGAGCTACGGACATACCAAAACAGAACCGTACAAAGATTTGATTTGTAAATCAGCTTCGCTTGTTTTCACCGCCAGTCATACACGCGTGAGCACACTATTGGTTTAGAGAGCCACATTTCTGCTCGATTGCTGGCGAGGAGCCATTTACAACTTGGAGTCGGGGCAAGTGAAATTCCTGGGGCAGTCGCCCAAACAGGCAACGGCACTTTGGGAAACCGACTTTAATGACGTTGCGAGCAAGCCTTGCATGATTCTGGATTCATTTTGCAAAGCTACATAGTACTGAATCAATCTGAATCATGCACTCTTGAGACTCAACCATTTGATAATAAAGGGCTACGCCCCCTGCCGCCGACCCCAGGGGCTGCGGCCTCGGGGGCGGTGAGCGGGGGGTGCGTGTCGCCGATAAAGGCGTAGAAGCAAATACTGCAACCATTCTGCTCAGGGAGTGATGGATCTTTTGGAGACGACTTATTTGAATCCAGGTATTGTAAGTGCTGAGAGTATCCTTTGGGATACGATCCACTGAGATTCATTCTGTGTTTTTCGGTCTGTTGCCCACTTCTTTCTGCTTTTCAGAACAAGAGCAGGAAGAAGAGGAAGAGTAACAACAAGGGAAACAACAGCACAGAAAAACCGGAAGAAGAAGAAGGAGAAGAAGGAGAAGAAGAAGAAGAACAACAACAAGAACAACAAGAAGAGCATAATAGTGAAGGACGGAACGGGCCTCCGGGCAACGGCCTGTAGTGCCTAACGTCGCTTTCTGCACCTGCAAGAAGCTACAGCTAGCTGTGTTTTTGCTCTTGCCGTTTCTTGTCCCCTGGTTTCTTGAACTTGCAGCTTGCCTCTTGCCCCGCTTGTTCTTGCAGCTTGCTTCTTGCCCCGCTGATTCTTGCAGCTAGCCTCTGGCCCCTCTTCTCTGACGTGCCCCCCTGCTGTCGGCAGGGGTCGGCAGATATGACCATTGAACTCGCTGCTTAAGGACATTGTTGGAATATTTATTGTGTACGTGTGAACAGAGAATGCATTCATTGATTTGTGATTCAATAAACATCTCCCAGAATGGTTTTCACGGTTTTTAGGCAATTTGCGCGCGGACGTTGCAATGATGTAGCATTCAGACCATAAACCAGAGAAACTTGTACCCGAATGGATGATGGTCAAAAAACCAAAACAGACTTTCGATCTGTTCATTGCTGTCGGTGGCCATCAATTTTGCAGGCTGAGCTCCTGGCTTCCAAAATGAAACTTGGAACAACGGCCTGAGTTTGTTGCCACTCCAACTGGGGTCAAACACATTTACTTGTGGGGCAAACTTTGAGTGCTTTCTGGAACTGGACATGTCATCGACACAGTTGTCAAGGGGACCTATATGTTTTAGTCTGCGTAAAATTGATGCAGCCAGATCCCGCCTCGTCAGTGATCTTGGTTTTGGAACAGTCGATGGCCTTTACTGCATACAATGATTCTCCAGTCACGGAATTCAGTAAAGTTCAATCACTGGGCGAACATTCTCGCGCACCTCACAAGAGTTCTACCAACATCCCCAATTTGACGCGCAGGCGCATCCATTCTGTAAGGGCTTAAAAGATCTTAAAAGCATTTCTGTTCCACAGTATGAATGAATACAACATCTATATACATCTATATGATGTATATAATATATACATATAGATACACTGGCTGGACATATGTCCAAGACTATTTGCATATCATATACCATAGATACCTATCCATACAAGGCACAGCCTCTGAGGCATGTGCCTCCGGGCGTGGCCGGTGCATCTGATTCCTCGGTGCTCTTTGGTCTCCATGGCGTGCGAACTACAGAGGTCGCGCTGAAGCCGGTGGTTTGCTGCTGTAGTAGACTCTGTATTTTTAGGCCGTATGGTTGGGGGCATAAACGGCATAAACTATATCTCGTCAGGCCTGACAAAGACCTTGCGGAAGTTAAATATCTCCAATTGAGGTACCAGACATGGCCACGCGAAAGAGTCGTACGGAGTGGAATCGAGATCTGATTTGCGCGACATGCACTGCTTTGAAATGTGCTAGAAACTGCACACTATTTGCTCTACCGGGGTAGCAACCTAGTTCGACCTAGTTCCATGACCTCTCTGCAGCTTCAGCTTCAAAGCAAGCTCTGTTTCACCTGACAGGGATGGGTATGTAAGCTGAATCACTTTTGGAACACCTTTCTATTTGGCGGCCATACACGTGCTCAGTTGCAATATCCGGATATCCATGGGGGACCATACAACTATACACGTGCGATCATGCATGCACACTATGTAAATAAACAAACAATCAAACAAATATTGTATATGTATATATATATATTTATACATACACATACATGACCAGGCCACAGAAGCATGATTTCACTTGCGAAGTGCACATCATTGTAGGATATGGGTACATAATTTACAATATGCTTGTAAACCGAACATCTTTGCTTTTGCAGAATCCCCGCCCAGCATGAGTGATGCGGAAAGTGATTTGGGTGGCTTGAGTTGTGAAGAGGAAATTCAGGAAAGCAACGTGCGCCGTTCAAGCAAGACAGACTTAAACTCCTGTTTGGGTCATTTACTTTGCCGTTTCCAAAGCTTGGACTCCGATCAGTCGGGCAGCATCACCCATGAGGAGATGGCGAAACACTGCCTGGATGCTGCTCAGGAAGCAGCGAAACACCCATTGAATGTCTCAGAGCAAGCACTGATCGTTGCGAGTGTTCAGCGGAATTTCGAGCGGATGGATCTCGAAAACGATGGTTTCGTCACGAAATTCGAATGGCTGCATGCTGCGCTGTTGGAGCTGCATCCACCAGATGCTGTGAATGCAGAGATTATCACGAAGCAGATCAAGAAACGACCAGAACTGGTGGAGCAGTTGGTGTGTCGCTGGTTGGAGGTAGATGAAAAGGCCGTTGGCCTGGTGACCCGGAAATTGCTCCGCTTGACTTTCCAGAACTTTCTGTCAGAAAACCATTTGATCGCTGCCATACATGAGTTGGGTACAGGAAACATGACCTATGCAGAGTATGTTGCTCACGTGCTGGGATTGAAATTTAGCAATGTGACTCTATATTACTACGATTTGTCGAAGCGTTTCGCCTCTGCTTTGTCAACAATTTTGCTGGATCAGTACGAAGAAGGTATTTGGCACACCAGCGTTGGAGTCTTTGGGAAGGAGCTGTACTATTATGGCAACATCTTGTCCTGTGAGCCTGGAAAAAGCCAGTTTGGACAACCAACCAAAAGTCTCTCTTTGGGCAGCACCTTGCGTAGTCTTGATGAGGTGAATGAAGAGTTAGGCCGAATCTATTTTGACTATCGGCCACATTCCTATGATGCTTTTGACCACAACTGTAACACTTTGAGCAATCACCTGGTCCAGTTTTTGTTGGGCCGCCCGATGCCCGAAAGTGTTCGCTCCATGTCGGAGCGATTGAAATCCTCTGGTTTTGTGAAGACATTGCGGCCAGTATTGAATAGACTGTTGGGGAGACCCAAGCAGGATGGTGATGACCGGATGTTGGAGCTTGAAGAATCCGTGCGTGTGAATCGCATCAAGCGGCGGGAAGAGTCAGAGAGACCTTTGCTGCCCAAGCTTGACAGCAAGGCTGAGTCTGAGGAAGAAGATGGTGATGGTGAGCCCCTCTTCACTAGTGAAACTGCTATGATTCGTGATGCAAGTGATGCAACCACGTCGGATCTGGTCCTGTTTCACGCGCCCGGTTCCCATGCTGCAGTTGTTGCCCGTGTGGTTGTGGAACATTCTGATGGTTCTGCTGAGATAGTGTGGTTTGATCATGGAGGCAAAAGACAGCATGCAACTTCCATGTTAAGTGAACTTGAACCCTACAGGCCAGTACTCACCAGCATTTCGGGCATCAGAGAGGAAGAACCTCCAAGGCTTCCGCATTCTTCCAGCACGGAGGCCTGTACAGGAGACGTGGAAGCTGCTGGTTACATGACTTGCCCTGCTGGGCACGTTCTGCTGCGCAGCCGGCCTGGTTTCTGGACTGCTGGAATCAGTTGCAAGTCTTGTAGACAGAGTATCCCGCACCGGCAAGTGAGAATGATGTGCCACAGTTGTAAGTATTCGGTTTGTGGCAGTTGTTTTTTGCAGAGCCGCAACCCTAGTGTTGGGCAGAACCCTGCAACTCTTTCTACCTTTGAGGATATGGATTCAAACCTTTGTGTACGGTGCAAAGAAGGACACCGCTTGGAGCGTTTTGGCGGTGGGTCACCAGATGCTGGTGCTTGCTGCAGTCAATGTAATGCCATGGAAATTGGATCTACAGGTTCCTTTTTCCTCACTTGCCGGCGCTGTGTATTCCAGCTTTGCTACAGCTGTGCACGAATTTCCCTTTGCACGTTGATTGATGAAGCTGCATTTCAGAGCCTGTGCGATGACAATGGTATAGAGGACACAGGTGAAGCCGTTAGAAGGTGTTTCGCTGAGCGCGTGCAGCAAAAAGATCCACGTATAGTTTTACAACATCTTACAACCAGAATGTGATGAGTCTTTTGGGATCTTTTCTCCAGGCTGACTGCTTCAAAACTCTGAAAGGCAAGATTGATGAATCACTCCCCTTTAATGATGGAGAGAATAGAAGGAATCATCGATTTCCTGCTGTAGAGATGGAATGGAGCTTGCACGAGTCTTTGTGCCACTTTCAATACCAAAATCTTGACTCACCAGTGAAAGAAGTGTTCCTCTTGTGTACAATGAAGAGCCCTTACTATAGTAAATTATGGTAAGATCATGTTCTTTATAAATGTGGAGGTATACAGGGCACAGGGACGCAACCTGAAGCCTGGACCCATCATTTCGCGTCAGGATCCTCCACTGCCTGGACCGCAGGCATTGCAACTTCTGAAGGAAGGTGCATTGTTTGGCCGATGGGTTGACTGCACTGCGCTAACCGTGGCTCTACTTGTGGATAGATTCCAGATGATTCCAGCATCTTGCTAGTCAACATTAGTCAACTGCACGGTGGAAAAGGAACTATGTTGTTGGTGGTTGTTTTAAAACCAATATAAGTGTTTTTTCTTTCTACTCACTATCCCAGACCAGACTCACAGAAACCAAATTAGACTTGCACAGCCAAGGAGTTCTATGCCTTCCAAATACTTGAAATTAAGGTCGAGAGTGTGAGCTGATTCGATTAAAACACATGCGGTGATTGCACATATTCAATTGTGAATTTCGCCACATGTCAAACATGTTGGATTGACCCATGGTCATTGACCCGTGGCCATTGACCAATGTTCATCCATGGTCCTGACAGAAATTGCCTGCAGGGAACCTGCGGTTTGCGAAGGGTGCGCCTGAAGCAGGGAAGGTGGATGCACAGATGAGCCTCAGCCTGCAGTGATTGGGATTTGATACAAATTATGCAATTAGGAGACATAGTTTTTTGATGCAAGCCACACAGCATCATAGATCATAGATTTGACAACTTTTCATAGAACATAAAAGATATAAGTCTCTACAGTCATTACGTCATTACTCATAAATACACATCACACAATCAAAGTCAGGCAAACCAGCTATCAGTGGCTGAGGCGTAAGGCACTGGCCGATGTGGGCCAGGCACCTCACACTGCTGTCTCTTGGTGGCACAGGGGGATCAGGAAGGGGATAAAACTGGACGGTACGGAATGGTGTGACCAGCAAGATTTTGTTTGTCACCGAAAATAGTTTGGGGGATGCCCCAAAGTGAAAGTGGCGTTTAGCTCCCAAAATGCAATGGCCTTTGTTCATGCTTAGTACTGCTTGGTAGTAAAAGTGACCAAAGTCTGTGATCTTTTGGACCTTTGAATTTCACTGATGCCACAGCACTGATGCCCTTTTTGTGTGATTTAATGACAGGTATGAAACGGTATGAAAACCATTACAGACAATGATAGAAGCATGATGACATCCAGCTGCATCATTTGACATATTTTGAAATCACAATTTTTCTCGACCCTGCACTGGCTGTGTGTAAGGGTAGCCATCCAGACCTAGACTGGACAGCAACTGAGTAACTGGGAGCGCGCCAAATCGCATCCAGGTCCTGGGGTGTGCTGACTCACGCGTTCCGCTGGAACTGGTCTTCGATTCCTTGCCTGGAGAGACTTCCGCAGCAAGTGAGCATGAACCGAACTAGCCAAGTGCCATTGTAAAGGCACAACATGTCACATCTGCCAGCATCTGCCAGCATCTGCCAGCATCTGCCATTTGTATGCTACGTGAAATCTCTCTCTCTCTCTATATACATATATATATATACTAGAGTGAAATCTTGTGGAAAGTTTAGGGGATGTTCTGCTTGATGTCGTACACCTCCAACGATGACTTTGGGAGAAGCAAGTGCTTCAATCCTCTTGGTGACCGCGCTTTCTTCTCCAGTTGTTGTTTTCACTTGGAAAAATGCAAGATCAACAGGCAGCGAAGGATGCGAAGTTGACGTTCACGGCAAACTGAGGACTTGTTTGTGCTCAGGAATGCAGGCAACACCTGCAGCTTGGCTTGCTTAGATTGGGAGGTATCTTCGGAGACGTTTCACCATTTACTGTTTGAGAAGGACGCAATAGATGAAGCGCCAAGATGCTTGCATTATTGTGCATATCAAAGAAGACCCTTGGAACTCTGATTTCAGTCTTTACGAACCAATCTTGGGTTACGTATGGTTACGTCATACACCGGCGCTACGCAAACTCATCACGTGAAGCACGTGTTTTCTTTTCATGCCCTTGACAATTCAATAGTCAAATTTCACTCGGGATCCTTCCACGTTTGTTTGAATTGAATGCCAGCACGGGAAGAATCTTGCTTCTGGTTGATTGAGGCGTGCACTCGGAGGGCAGTGTTTTGGGTTCTCTTGAGTGGGGTCCTTAGTAGAGGTGGTTCATTGAAACACACTTTCTGCCAGCTGCATTTTCTGGAGCCACTACTTGTGCTTTTCTCAGATTTACATTAAGAATTCAGCGAATCCGAACTTGGTCCGGACATGACATTGATCCTGAAAAAAAAGACCCTGGGCGTGGCTGCAGAACTTGATATTCCGACTGCAGTACCTGGCTATGGCGGTTGGGGAATTGATCTCCTAACAGTTCCACATCTGTTGCTTTTTAGGAGCGGGCCAAATTGTTGTGTCCACTGCGAAGGGCTTGAAATTCAACAAAATTCGGGCTCCATTTATAAAGTATTGTTCACTAGTTCACTTCATGCAAAATGTGCCAGAATTGACTTTGCACTCGAGATTCAAGTCTCCGCCACATTGGTAGACATTGTGCATTCTCCGATGAGGTTCTGTATTGGCGCATTGAACACGAAGCTGATTGTCATCCTGGGTCACACCAACTGCGGGGCTGTCAAGGGTGCCACTAGCCAGTACCTCAAAAACAAGGGCAGCACGCCTTCAGATCCTTGTCTCGAAGCGGTTGCGTTTGATTGTCGAACTGACCAAACAATTCGCTTTCAAGGGAATCTTGTGATGGCCCAAAAGGGGAGGTCAGCGTGGATCTCATGTTCGATCCATTTTTCATAGTTTTGAGCATTTGCAGTCGTGGCAGGATCCTTTTCCATAAGCACATATTATGAGATCATATGAGTATCCGACAAAATTATTGTAATACTCTTTCTCCACCTTCACCTTTCTGAGGGGTGTGCAAAACCTTCATTACCAATAGGGTAAGTAATTAATTTTGTGCGCTATTCATATATTGTACCTGAACGCCATCTTCCAGTACTGTCCATGTCATCTGCCTCCCAGGAGCCAACCAATGCCCTGGGTGCGCTGCTCATGGGCCTCAGTGATGTGGCCGGGCAGGCGCACCGGGTCGGGGGGTATCCATTGTTGCATCATACGTAACATTTGAATGTTTACTGTAATGACATTTGAAACATGTCCATGCACGTCCCAGGTATGCGATTTTGCTGCTTTTAATAGCAAAATCGTTCTTTCAGTCGACTTTTCTCAGCGGCGTCGTTTTGGATCAATTGCAAGCTGGATGTGTGCGAGATTGTCGCAGGAAAAAAAAATCTGTGACCGCACCTGCGTCAGCTGTAAAACGACGGGATGGTGGCATATAAAGCAAACAGAACAGCAGGAGCTGCCTGCTGACGAGAAAGGGGCCAAAGCGCCTGTCGAACTTTGTGTTTTGTGTTTCAAAGACACGTGTGTTTTTCCCATGAACGGCACTTTTTTTCTGCATTAGCGGATAAAGCAAACTGACGACTCAAATTTTGCTATGTTCTCATGATCATGGTCTATGTACCTAGCAACACCACAAAAGGAAGAATTAGCGTGGGTTTGTCCCTCCAATCCAAGGGTTTATCTATTTGAAACAGTAACGCTTCATGTTCCTTCATGTTCCCTATTAAGAAACCCCACATTTTGCATGTAATTCCCCCATGTTTGGAATCCCTTTCCGCACGCGGCTTGCGCTTCGACAACGCGTTGCGCAGGCGGAGAAGGAGCTTAGCGCCAGCGGCAGCAAACCCAGCGAGAAAGAGATCTCGGACGCCGCAGAGCCTTGGCTCATGCTGGGATGGATGGGATGGTGGATGATTTTCAGGTGATCCATGGGGTGATCCATGGCTATCCCATTGACAGCCAATTGACATGTGGGTGTCTAAATCTCTCTTAACACATCTTTAAAAAAACATGATAATTGAATACAGTGCATGTTATTGCATGCTGTTACCAATTTTTCAGTAGTTGGGACATGTTGGGACATGTTGGGACAATTTGCATGAAGACACTTGCTGCTAACTCTGTCTGTGACGGGGATGGCGTTGATCAAACGATATAGCATGAGTCTTGGATGCCGGAAGCACAGATGTCCTTTGTGAGGAAACGGCTGCAATTTTTCAAACTTCCCAGTTCTGAACCCATCGCCGAGACAGCTGCTGGGGTCTGTAGCGCATGCACTTTTTGGCTGTTGTATATATAAAGGTGGTGCGCTTCGAAGGATGAAAATCTGAGTAAAGTCCCAAAAGTTCTGACAAAAGCAAGTCCCAGGGCCATGGTCCGGGGCTACGGTTTGGGTTGTCAAGGTCCTGATCGGTCTCAGACCCAATTCCGAGGTCAAAGTGAATGTCTTCAAAAGCATGGACTACCTTGTGGACAATAGCAAAGTGGTGGGGAAAAAGGTGAGGGTGCCAAGAAATAACGGGGTGCCAAGAAGGGTGCCAAGAAGGCTTACAGATGTGACTCCGGTCCTACCCACAGGCTTGAAACATATTACCTCGCTTTCTCCTTCAAGTTTGAGCGCTTCAGAAACTTTTGCACAAACATCACAATACGAAGTGTGCGAATGCCCCCATTGGCTCCTTTTGACCACATCTTATGTCAGCACGCAAGACCAGCAAACAATGCTTGATATGTCTCTCGTGCCAAGATTGCTTGTCTCACTCCCTAGTTACGTTTACACATGTTTTTTCCAGGCAACACTGGTATCACCAGCGGACATTAACATAGGATAACATATGTAACACATGTCATACTTATCAACAACAAAAATGAACACATTGAACAGATAATATAACAGAATATAACATAATATACGGTAATAGTAATATTGAATAATTCTAAGATCATTATAGGATCATATAGGTACAATATAGGTGAATATTACTAAATATTCTTGGTAAACCTTTTGGGTTGCGTCATCTTTCCACCCGTGGACGCTGCAGGTGATCTCCGGGGAGGTGACTCTCGAGGGTGGCGTTTATGCCTCCAAGCTGAGTTGCGTGATGTCTTTTTGTTTTTTCCCCTGTTTTAAACACATACTACACATTTGATATACAAATAATGTCAAACAATACATGACAATATATATATATATACACATACATATGTATATATATATATATGCATATACATATACATATACATATACATACACATATACAAATCCATATACATATACATATACATACATACGTACGTACGCGTACGTACGTACGTACGTACGTACATAGTTACATAGTTACATAGTTACATACATACATACATACATGCATGCATGCATGCATGCATACATACATACATACATACATACATAATACATCCATACACCCATACATCCATACATCCATACATCCATACATCCATACATCCATACATCCATACATCCATACATCCATACATCCATACATACAGACATACAGACATACAGACATACAGACATACAGACATACAGACATACAGACATACAGACATACAGACATACAGACACACACACACACAGACAGACAGACATACAGACATACAGACATACAGACATACAGACATACAGACATACAGACACACACACAGACATACAGACATACATACAGACAGACAGACATACAGACATACAGACATACAGACAGACAGACATACATACATACATACATACATACATACATACATACATACATACATACATACATACATACATATTGACATATTGTAGATGATACTATAGATAATATTGTATATAATTAATGCATATTTTTTACCATTCAACGACATGAGAAACATGTTGCCCAAAGGAAAACATCTATTTGTTGAATTTTGGGGATACAGACAGTCATGGTCTTCCACTTTCATGTTTCATTTGACCTCAGAGCGTTACAAAGAGCACAGAATAACATGCATCGTGCCATTTGCATGTGCATGTGCAGCCAGGTCATGTGAAAAGGAACAAGGGAAGAAAGGGGGTACTCACTTTCTGTGTCATCAGACCTGTCATGGTGGCACTGGTTGATGTTTGTAGGACGTCAAGTGCGAAAGCCAGCACCGAACCAACACACGCACACACACACACTCTTTCACTTGAATATTTTGCTTGGCTGAACTCAGAGCTTCATATTTTTGGACATGTTTAGAACTGTTTAGATACCTTTCTGGCTCTTGAGTCGAGGACTTGCTTACTCTTTTGTTGAATTCTTCGGCATCGTATCGTCTCAGGATTTGGACACTGGACGAGTACAGTGGCTGGGACAGAGCCCATATCTCAAGAGGCCTGACGGTCACGTGAAGCCAGTGAAAACATGTGAAAACCACCTGTCATATGACTACTTTGGAACAGCGCAGAATAGCTGCAGTGTCTGCACTAATCCTAATAGGTGGGTGTAAGGTGTGTCTGAAATGGGGTATACCCGTTGCATCGCTATTTAAATCTGGAAAACATGATGATAGACAAACCATTCGGTTCTTGCAAATCCCATTTTCAGACAAACCCACATGGAGCCTAAGGATTTTGCAATGATCCTAGTCGTGGGTTCTAATATCATTTGCTGCTCACTCCCACGAGAGCCACAGGTTGCGGGGCCTTTAAAAGCCCTTCAGGCACACCGGGGAAGGAATCTTTGGTGACTGCCTTTAGCGGACCAATTGGATGTTTTCTTGATGCACATAAGGCACATAAGTGTGATTTGGGTCTTTTGTGTGAGGAACATGAGTCAGTTGGTTTCCTATATTTGTGAGCTGAATCAAGATCTAAAGCTGCTGTGTGAGTTGGACAAGACTCAGATCCACCTTGTGGCCTTGTGAGGCGGCCTGGCTGCTTCGCGCTACTCTGAGTTTTAGGAACTTCAAAACTGGCGTCAAAGATTTTATTTAAACTGAGTTCTGACTTGGAGGAATCTGGGTTTGACTCGTAGCATATTGAGAGGAAGAATAGGAACATGGCGTAGAGGGCCTAGAGGCGATCTCAGAGATTTCTACCCACAGATCACAACTCTTCAAGTTATCATCATAAGTCATCAGCCATCAATCCAGCCGGGCGAGGAATTTAGAGGGCAAACCTTGGATAACCTTGGAACCAAGCAGAACACGCTGGTAACCGGTGCCTTTGGTGCCGGTGTCTTGGAGCAATAAGCATGTTTGACTGGAGCTACGAAGCGCGCAGCTTTTCACACCATTGGGCTCCTTTGACCTGACTTGCTGACACCAATACACCTTAGCGAGGATCAAAATTGACGACGCGATTTCCATACATTGAATTGCCCATATTGCCCATATTGCCCTCTATATTCATCGAGTAGAGCATGGGTCATCATGGGTCTTGGAGCTTCGCCACCATTACACTGCAACCTAGAGCCCAGGCAAGTTCAATAAAATTCATAACGGTTATACACCGTGGTGTTCAATTTTCTCTAGGCAGTCTTTTCCAAAGAAGGGTGAGAGACGGCAACTCAGCAACTTTGCTCACTGCTCCAAGATAGATCGATAATCGATAACTTTTGCGCAAAGTGCCAATGCCAAAAGTATACTTTAAATCACGTAACCACGGCACTGGTGTCCAAGCTTGGCGAGAGGCAAATGGCCTAGCTAAAGCAACGACACTGGTGTTGTTTTCTCGGATCCTGCAGATGCTTTTGGGTCAAATTCCCTACCACCGGATCATTTTGAAAGAGGTGCTGCCGGGTTGAGTAGAAGTGCTTACCCAGGACAGTAAACAGTTGGTAAACAAAAAGTGTGTAGGCAGTGTCACGGTCAACTCTTAACGGAGATTGGGAATCAGATATTGCACGGACAGGGTGTCATTCAATTTCAGAAGCAGTTTTACATTCGGGTCCAGTCCAGAACAAGATCAAAGATTGCTCGCTATGAATGATGTCCTGGGGCAATCAGCCTGAAGATGTGTAAACAGGATCGACAGGGGGTGGGCAACTCATGGCAAATCAAAGTCCTTACTCAAGCGGCAGCGAAGCACTAGCAGGTTTGTGCAGCATTTTTTCGCAGCACCACAAGAGGCTGAGACGGAGACCCCATGGAAAGCAAACAGAGTGCACGGTCGAACAGTCTGCAAGTCTGCCGCACTCCGCCGTCAGATGCCTTTGGCATACTCATTCCACCGAATGTTGAATTCCAACTAGAAGGGATTACAAGGGGCCACAAATTAGTTCAGAAGTACAGGGTCATATTTTGATACAAGGGGGAAGGCATTACTTGTGCACATCCAATCTTTCCAGTTGCTCAAGTTTGGCGCGCCTTTGCTTGAAGCATTCACCTATTCCAGGTCAGCTGGGGTGTGCCATGTCCTATTGGGGCCAGAAGAGACAATGGGCTTTTCATCCACAATCAGAATTTTGAATTGGGCAGCGCAACGAGGCTTACAGGCCTTTTCAAGGGCTTATGTTTTGTTGTTCATTTCCGTCACTTTCAACTATTTGCCATCTCCTGCTATCTCCTGCTACTGTAGACGGAGATTTGGAAGTTGTGACACCATTCGTTCTGCTTGTTCGGCCACTGCATCTTCTTAACAGGAAACCTCACGCTTGACTGTCCAGGAAGCCAACATGTCTGGCTATACTTCGCTGCCGCTGAGCAAAACTTATCAGGCATGACCAGTGGAAAGTCAATCCATCCACTCGATTTGCCGAACTTTGCATGAACAATTCGGGTGATCAACGCAGATTTACTATTTCTTCCGTCCACAGTTCTTTGGGTGAAACAAGAAATCATAGTCAATCAATCATAAAAACTGTATCATCAGCAATGCACCGGGATATATACTGAAATTGAATGGTATGATTTAATGATGCAATCACATATCAAGCATACGTATATAATCGAGTCTATTTTACAGATTGAAATTCTCTGCTGGCTGTTCGATGTGTCCATGCTGGCAGGCAGTGACAGTGCAGGGTGCTGGGCAGGCTGGCCAGGCAATGTCGCCGCGCGTGTCTTACCCAATCTCCCATTCCTTTGTGGCACCAGGTGGGACACGGTGGGACGTCTCTTGCCGAAGTCTGGAAACACGAGGACACATTCAGAATCAGACAGAGATGCTACTGGCTGCTACTGGGCTCTGGGAGGTAGATGTATGTTTATGCCTTAGGACAGCATTGTCATTGAAACATGAACATAGATTCACGGGTACTTTAGTACTTGCTTGTTTGCCTTGTGCTTTCATCGGAAGCAGTAATGGATGTATTTCCTACATTTTCCATGACATTCCGATCTCGAAGGCTAGGGCGCCTTGAAAAATAGATCCTTCAACAGATCCTTCAAAACAGCTCCTTCAGTCCTTCAGAACTGCCTTCAACAGTTTCTTCAGATCAGATCCCAAGTGCACAAGGCGTCGCCAGTATGCCCGCCGGTGTGCCCGCCGGTGTGCCTGGCGTGCCCGTGTCCGTGCGAGTGCCAACGTCTGTGATCCAGGCGCCTGTGTTGAGAAACGCATGAGATTCATTGCAATGGATAAAAAGACGATGGAAAGATGAAAGTAGAAGAGATAAGAGAAACAAAGAGCGACTTGTTCCTTTTGTTCAGATTGGGCTGCTGACATGTGGGATTCAGTCTCATGGAGTTGCCCTTACAAGGAGCCAACAGTGGGAAAATTCTGACCCTGAGAGTTGCTGGACCATGTTAACTTATTATAACATATTATAACGATAGAAATTTAGATTCCTTTCATTCATCAGACTTCATCCATCAATATCCATCATACGAACCCCACAAGGCCCCGGTGACCGCCGTTTTGAGGCGCAGGGACCTGGGACCAAAGTGCGGACCTCACAAGACCCGCAAGTCCCACCGGGAGAGGCTATGAAGATGCTACGTGAAGGTGGGGCCATGGGGCCATGGGGCCATGGGGCCATGGGGCCATGGGACCATGGGCCATGGTGAGGACATGGCCATGCAATGCCATGCATGTCCTGATTCCTGATACAAAAAAGAAACAAACACGTTGAGCACTGTGTGTATATTTAGGAGTCAGCAAGATGGCAATGGACTGAATCTCGTGACATGGGGGTGAGTGCTGCAGAGACAAAGTATGAATGCCATTTAATACCATTTAATCCCGACATTCATCATCATGCCTCTATCATGCCTCTTAGGCACCGTATGATACTGTAATCGCGGGGTGCCCGTTGGCATTTGTATACAGAAACATGTTTCCAAACCGGTCCGAACCATCAAAATGATAGATGTGCGGCGCGCAGTGTGTGGTTGATTTTGCTTATTTGCAGCTCATGACATCCATCAGTGTGCCCATGTGTTTTGCCAAATCTGGGGTGGCTTAATGCGCTTGGGTCGACATAGAGCGAGTGTAGGTGTTTACAGGCGGCTGGGGTGACTTAACGATCTTAACGCGATCTGGCGATCTGGGGTGACTTACGGCACTTACTTGTACGACTTGTACGGTGTAGTCGCCCCTGTAGGGTCCCTGTGGCGCTCCCGGCGCGAGGCAACCGCCGATTTGTGCAGGGCAAGCCCGTGGCCACGCGCACCAGCAACGGCATGCGGCTGGAGCTCGTGGATCAAGGATCGGCTGCCATGGATTCAGTAGAGAATCCAGATGGGGGAAACATCGAAACATATCGAAACATATCGAAACATATCGAAACATATCGAAACATATCGAAACATATCGAAAAAGGTGATAAATGCTGATAATAGAGAACAGATAACCAGTTTTTGTACAAAACATGTAAAAACAATCAACAATGTGGTAAACCCAATTGCATAAACCTTGAATTGGGGGTGTTGAAGAGCAACCCATTTCTGATAAAATGGGAGATGTTTTATGGTTTTTGGTCGCATTAGGTTTTTTGGCATGTTGACCAAGGAAATTAGGGTCTTGCCATGTGCCCGGACGGGTTGTTGGTCTTGTTGATGTTGTTGTTGCTGCTGTGCTGGTGCTGGTGCTGGTGCTGATGGTGATGATTGTCCGTGATTATACAATATTATACAGCTGGTACCAAAAGTGTTTAAGGATGCCACGTTGAAGTACCAAAAGCATTATTCCCGCAGACACGATTGACGACCTTTCCCTTTCGTGCCAGGCCAGGCTCCTCACACTGCAGTGATCGGCTGTGCGGATTCCCGCGCACCGGTGGAGTCCATTTTTGACGCGCTGCCAGGGGATATTTTTGTGCTCCGCAATGCAGGCAACACCTGTACACATGCAGAAGGCGCCTTCAGACGCTGCAACGGAGTTTCGAGAAATCACGCCCAAAATATCCCAAAATCAATCATTGCCACTGAGTTTACATGTTTGTACAGTATGGCAAGTCTTGGGTGGCGCTACGTCCAGCTCGGATCAACTCGTGTCCTTTTTGTACAAGAACAACCTATTGGTTTATCGGTGCAGGTTGAAGGAACAGGCCCATGCTACTGGTATCCTGTCAGTCGATTCGCACTTCTAGATCCAATAGCGAGTCAGGCATCCCACCCGCGCTTCGTTTTTTTCATAATGTTTTGGGCTTCACGTTTTATGGCCTCCAAGATCCTCCAAGAATCAGAGACATGTTCTCATCCATGACTTGCACCACTTGTATCAGGCAGCATGATCGGCAGCTTGGAATTTTGCATCGGCAAGCTGAAGTCGCGGCTGGTCGTGGTGTTGGGTCACACCAAATGCGGTGCCATCTATGGTGCTACCAAAGAGATTTGGCTGCAGCCACAGACACAAGCAAAGGGGATCAAGTATGATCAATGATGATCAATTGATATACTACCAATACTATAGTATACTACCAATAGTATAGCTGGTAGCAGAATGTAGCAGATTTCATGTTTTTTCGTTTCCTGTACCTACATGATCCTGTCAACACACACGCACCAATGGCATTCAGTCTGATCATGGATCAAATTGGAAACACCCTCCAGCGACTAAACCAACTGCCAATTGTTGTTTCACGGATATGAATCTGAAAGTGTCCAACGTGAACGTACTGATTATGTTCTGTGTACCTACTGAAACATACTCTTGGCTGGCAACGGCCAAACCACCGGGAGAGCGGAACTCGTTTTGAATTATGTTGTTCCTTTTTCTCTCGGAAGTATTACATGCAGGACCTTCCAAATCCACGTGATGCCGCGTGACACTACTTCACAGCAGTTCTTTACGACAGAAGTTTTGGAATCCAATTTCACTCCTCACTGGGAAGAGTCGCGTGTCTGAAAGCTGAGACCTATTTGGCGAAGAAGTCAGATCCTGCTGCTGCAACTACTGCGTTGGATGGTCTTCTGTCTGGCCTGGCAGTTGTGGCAGAAAAGGCGGCCGTTGCTGTTGCCCACACCCTTGGAGCCAATTCTACAGGATAAACAGCTGAATTCGGTCAGAGTTGACTCGACCTGTAAATCGTCAGGGTAAAGCACCTTGAGATTCTTTCTGTCTGAGAACAGAGCTCCAGTTGTCTCAGGCAGAGTACGATATGGGGCCCATGGCTGATGAAGAGTTTGTGGCAGCCCATGCTGTGAAAGTGAACGTCTTTCATACCATTGACTATTTGCTGCAGTACAGCGACTTTGCCCAAATCAATTCGGTGAATGTGAAATGACACATGAGTTTAAGTTTCTTTGTGGCATTCTAGCATGCTGGCCAGAAGGCCGGACAGGAAGCTTTTCAGAGGTTTGTGCAACCATGCTTTGGCCTGACTAGCCCCAAGACATAAAAAATTGAGGTCGTGCCATCCGCGAGGGTGTGGCTAGTGGGAACATCGAGATTCAAGGCCCGACTGAGCAAAGTAAGGACTTCCTTTCTCCAAGATCTGGTACATGAGGTCATAGAGTCATAGAGTCATAGAGTCTTGAGAGACAGACAGATACACCCACACAATCCATTACAAATATTACAATCCCATATACGAAAGCCACCCCATGTCACCACGACTGTAGCATGTCAAGTCATGGTTGGGACCTCAAAGGTGACCGTTTGATCCGTTTGCTCTCCAGGTGCCGTCTATGACCTCTCCACGGGCCTCGTGGACTTTATGGGAAGATCCCCTCGACAGGAGACGACAGACATGCGACAGACATGGAAAAGTATGAAAATCCAATGGTAGCTGTATGAACTTGTATGAACTTGTATGAACTTGTATGACTCTATCCTGCTGATAATTGAAAACCATCGATGGTCATTGATAATCATTGATAATCATTGCAATATTTAATTTTGGACACTTCTGCATGAATTTTGTTTGCACAAGAAGATGCACATGGTTTTTCTTTGTGCATATAATGTATATAATATATATATATATGAATATATGTGCTGAAAAGGCCGCAATGGTCTTCGCAGCGTTTTCCTGGCCTCACCAGGCTGACCTGCTAAAGTCCGATGTGGCCCTGCCGCCCACTGTAGTGATGATGAGAATCTGGGATGCATTGGATGCATTGGATGCATTGGCACAATCCTTCAGTGTCCCTTGAGATGAAAAACTAAGCCGCAAGAACTCTAAGACTCTAAGGATCTCTAAGGTCATTCCCGCGCTTGAAGACCACCGTAAGCCTTCAGGTCATGTGAAGGTATCAAACTTATCCAAATTCAGATCCAAATTCAATTTTGTACATCCATTTATATCACAATATCATCATATATCCATTTCACAATTCACAATTTTTCACATTTTCTTCATAGATATCGCCAGCATTTGTTCACCCTGAGGCAATGCTGCTGTGAGGCGAGGCAAATTGGGCGTGCGCACAGGGGTAGACGTAGCACCAGCACCGGAGGAAGCGTTGGATCTGCTGATGCAGGGCCACTTGGAGCTGCTATGCGTCAAGTCGTCACAAGTCGTCAGGTCATTGGGGCACCCTTTGGCTGATGATTTCCACATGTCAAATCTGGTCATTGGAGCCAAATTGTTAAAAACCATCCATTTTTCATCCATTTTTCCGGGGCCAGTCATTTTGATTCATGCCTAGGTGGCCCCACATGGGATTGAAATTTTGGAACCACATTCCATCCCATAATTTAGAACACCATCATATCATCATATCATCATATCCCTTATGTAATGGCCGTGATGGCCACCGAAGCCGAGGCAACTACAGATACGTCGCTGGCAGCTTGGTACAACTTCTTGCAGGGCCAAACCAGTCTTAGTCGCGTTGAGCGGAGCCTGAATAAACTCCGGCTCTGATTGAAATCTTGTTGAACAAACAATCTTTAAGGGTTGACCACATTCTATCAACACATTCTATCAGCACATGTTGTATCATTCGGTCTTGTTTACACGTTTTTGGCCTTTTGCTGGTGAACTGCCCCGTGACATCAAACCTTGCTCATTACTTGGCAGGTCAACGCTGCAGTGTAAGTCCAGTATCAGATTATCAGATTTATTAAGAATGCATTAAGAATGCTAGACACAACTCATCCTGTGTGATGCACATATCGTCCATTGATTCACCCAGGTGAACCCACTTCCAATGCCACGAGTTCGCCCATGCGCAAAGCCTTGGTGAAGAAAGGACAGGCGCCGCACACCGCAGTGGTGGGCTGCGCTGATTCTCGCGCGCCACTGGAGACCTTGCTGCTCGGCACTGGAATCACCGGAGAAAGCGCAGATTTAAGCAGTTTCTTATAGTTTCTTGCCAGGATGAAACCTACAATTACCGTCAATATCCATCAATTACCTAAACAAAAATGTCCCTTTTTATCCCTATTTTACAATTTTTACCATGCGAGGAGTTACCCATGATCTAATTATGGGGCTGAGGCTCGGATTATTAGGTCAGGTTTCCAGCAACGGAGACGGGCAACCAGTATGAAACTCAAGTCCAGAGGAGAATCCGAGCACATCCGAGCCATTCTTTTGCCAGTTGATCTTACATAACAGATTCAGTGGGCCGTGGAATTGGGGGTAGAATTGGGCTTCAGACATGCAAACAAATTGGAAACCCTTTATTATTTCGATGCATGCATGCATTGCTCGCATTGCAAGGAATGCATAGTTTTTCCTGCCAGCAGTTGTACTGAAACATACTGAAACGATCCCATGCAAGGAAGTTGCCATGTCAATCCTCAAAGGCTTGCAGGGTGCTTTCAAAGCCTACGTAGGGAGTCAGTGCTTTTGAGCGGTATTTTCACAACACTTGCCGTCTCGCTGGCAGACCGAGGTTTGACATGATGCCAGGAGAGCTTTTTGTAGTCCGCAATGCTGGCAACACCGCCACTCATGCGGAAGGCCTGCCAACCAGCTAATTTCATTCGAGCACAGCAGGAATGAACTGAGGACCCAACTTCTAAACTGGCGTGATGTAGTGCCTCGTATGTGCCTCGTATGTCCAATCCCACCGTGACACTGTGCAGTGGCATAGAGAGTGCACCAGGCAGCATGGTGGGAAGTTTGGAGTTCTGCTGTGGGAAACTTGGAACGCGACTCATCATGGTTACTTGGTTGACTCCAGCTGGGAGGGAAGAGGGACACTAATTAATTCGAGTATATCCATGAAAGGACAGGCATCGTCGGACAAACAACCTGAATTTCCAATATTTCCCAGCAGCATGGAACAAAATCAATAGCAGCTTGCCCTGTGGATCATTGGGGAGAACATATCTTCTTGGTTGGAAAAGAACCCAACTCCACATGTGAAGAATTTTTATGTTGAGCAGGAGCAGTAGGAGGAGGAGTCAAGCAAGAACTGTATACTGTGCCATGGGATACATGGGACGACCATGGACCCGTTTTCCAACAAGTTGTCATACGAGAGCTTTGGCAGCGATACGGTGCTCAGGACATAGCGCTCCGTAGCTCACCCATGATGCTAATATTGTGGTTGCTACCTGGGTCATTATGTTGCGTTCTAAGCTCCACGAAGATATCTTAAGATTCCGAAATGTAAGAAGGGAGAAGGAGGCTGACCGGAAGCCACCATGCACGACGATCAAATGGTCTAGGTGCTCGGCCATACGCAATGCGGTGCTATCGTGGGGGCCACCGGCACCTACCTGGCCAACATAGGGAAGCCACAAATGAAGCCAGGTGCCAGTGGAATCGAAGGGACAGGGTCAGAATCGGGTACTGTATATATATATATATAATATTATATAACTATCCACCAGTTGGACAACATTTCATGGTCAATCTCAAGAACATTCAAAGACTTTGTGAAACTTTGATAGAAAACTCATCACAAACACTGCGGCTTTGGGAACCTCAAATGTTGAATCTTGATCCATCCAATGCTCATTATCCCATCAGGCAGCGCCTTGGAGGGTCTGCTGGCAGATTTGACTGGGACCATCAAAAAGGCCAGCGATGAGTTGGGACCTGGAGCCTCCAAAGAGGAGTTGGCGGCACATGCCGTGAAGGTGCCATGCCGCTATGGGGGGGATGTCAAATGATGTCAAGGTGGAAACTTGGGATATCTTGGGATGAAGTGATGCACTTAGTCGGCTGGGCTTGGCAGGTAAATCCAAGCACTCATCAAATCTGTGCAGCGAAAGAGGCTGCCAAAGGACGGATATAAACTTAGTGCAGAACCATTGTGACACACTCAAGAGGATCCCGTCTCCATGACAGTCCATGACTTGGCCGGTCCGGATACCTATAAGAAGTGTATCGCAAAGCATCGCAGAAAATCTGCTGCGAGGTGAATGTGTTTGAGACCATGAACTTCTTGCTGCAGAATCTTGGACGCAGAGCATACAGATCTTGTCGACAAACGTGTAGCTGCTGTCAAAATCGATGTTGATCTCAGGTACAGCGAACCTCTCAGGCAGTTGATGAGCGCTGGCAAAGTGGATCTGCAAGGTCTGATTGCTTGAGCACCAAGATTGTAACGTCGGTAAGAGAGTGGAAACAAAGAGCGGAGATCTGCTCGTTTTTTAATGTTTGTTACTCAAATATTGAGTCGATCTGAGTCCATTGACTTGGAATATTGGCCAATCATGGGCAATCCATGTATATCAACCTATCAACCTGGCCTGATCTGTAAATCCGCCCTACAATGTTTCTTATCGCCAGGTGGTATCTATCATCTGGAGACTGGTCGAGTGGAGTTCCTGGGCCGCTCTCCCAAACACCAGGACAGAGCTTTGCTGCACTGAGTGTATTCCAATGCATTGCTGAAAAACTATGAAAGACTTGATTGGATCATTCCACGTTTAGATCATGGGTTTAAATTGCGGTATATAACCCAGTTTGATGACTTTGATGGTTATATAGTGGCATCTGACATTTTTGAAGAGCTTAGACAAAAGGTGTTCATGGACTTTGGTCGGAGTCCCTCGTTCTTTGCTTCCCGGAGGCTAATGCACTTTGTTCCACTTTGTTCCACACTGTTTCAGGAGCTGTTAGCTTCGAAAGGCAGTTTACCACCTTCTATGCAGATCCCTGGTCACACTTTTGCGTGTGGGCGGGCGTATTGACCTGCAGTCACTGCAGTTGAGACTGCACACATTGTTTCTCCATATCACCCTGGTTGACGATGACAATGTTGCAGCAGGGAGTTTTGGACTTCGTCAGTTCAATTCATGTCAATGCCATTTAGAGTTTTGGGCGTCGAACGGCTGTGGGCCGGCTACAGAACTTCCCACACTGATGATGCGATACTGGACTTCCTGGTTGACTCTCTTAACCCATCTTAACCCACAACACTTTACTTTGCGTTCAGAACTCTAAACTCTAGACTCGACATGACTCGACATTCAGGACGCACAAAGTAGTTACCGCCGTAGTTGACATCGCCTAAGCCAGTTCCGTGAAAAGGTCTGTTTTGCCCTGGATTCTGTTATCGGATCGCAACCTAAGGAAGGAGATGACACGTGCAGTGCGCACGACGGATGACAAGCCAATGGAGCCAGAGGTTCGCAGTCATCTTGGTAACGAAACCTCTGCATGCACTCAACACAATCTTCTTACTCCACTTAGTTCAAGGATGTTCAAGGTACTTCTTGACCAGTTAGCTTCTATTGCGCAGACCGTGTGCAGAAGCATCCTTTTGCGAGGACTTCATGAAGCTGGCTACCTTAGAGATCATTTTATCCAACAGATTCCAACAGCTTACATTCCTGGAGATTCAGTCAGCTAAAGCTCAGTGTTGGCACAGGCCGCCCTGAAGCTGATGAAGGAAGGCAATGACCGATATTGCCATGGAAAACCCATGGCTGGGAAGTTCGACAGCGAGATGCGCTGCTCGAATTTCACGGATCGGGAGTGACATCTTTTAGAATGATGAATCCAGATGATGAAGATTGATGAAGATTGATGATTTGGCAGGAGATGACAGGAGTGCAGCGCTTGACAAAAAAAACATTACACTTTTCAGCACAAATGAAATGAAACTTTCTTCGACTGTTCGTGTATTTGTCCAGTTCTAGACCGGACAAGATGGTAAGTGAAACTCTCCTGTGGCATCCAATGGTCATGAAGACCGATCTGAAGGGGCAGCATTTGGAAACCACGGCCTGAGGAAAAGCCCTCTCCACTATTGGACAGGCACCACACACAGCACCTTTGGAGAAACTACAGTGGTTTTGGGAGTGAGAGTTACTGCGTCATGGCCTGTGTCATTGAATCTTGTGCGGTTTGTTGCGAATTGTTCCTTTGAAAATTCATGTGTCCGCAATCAAGCTTGTGAGTCTCTGCAAACTCCACAACCACAAGATCATGCTTTCCACCCATTGATGGTGTTTGCCGCAGGGTTGCACCTCCTGTTGCAGCCGTCCTTTTCCAAGTCATTTGCATGTTTGAGAACTACTTCAGCAAGAACTGAATCCAGTCTGGCTACAGGTTCTTGGTTTCCCTATATTTTCCCAATTTGCTACTCAATGGCCAACTTCCTTCAGGCTCAATTACGAACTCCTAAGCATTTTGAGATGTTTACCGTTTTACCATGATGGCTGAGGCGGTAGTAGGCTGTGCTGATAGTCGGGTTCCCCTGGAGCTGGTCTTTGATGTTCTTCCAGGAGAGGCGGAGGGAACTCATTCATCCTATCAATCATACTATTATTATCATATTATATCATTATATCATATTTATTTAGTTACATATAATCATTTCATATATTATATTTATTAATCTTTCATGATATTTTGCAGTTGACAAATCTGACATGTGGCACACTGGTCCTGAAGTAATTTCTCTACGCCTATTCGACTCTTGGTTAATGCTGTCATTTAGATTCACCTTTCAACGGGAACTTCCAAAGGAAAGATTGGAATCGCTGGACATATTTTTGAGATGTGGAAAGCCAAGGCACAACCAGCCACATACTCTGGCCCTGAGATTGTGTTGAAGCACCACGAGATGGCAACACCAAGTTGAGTTGCAGAGCTATCATCCATAGTATCACCTGTGGACATGACTTGCCATACATCAGATTTTGAGATGTCTCACACACACAGTGTTCATCAAGACTCACCATATTCCCCATTAGCACGTGAAGAACCAGCGGCCTGGTCAGGAGACCTCTTTGTGATGCGAAACGCCACCAGGATTGCAAGTAGTGCCTGTGTGTTGAGCGAAGCTTTTCAATCTAGTGAGACGAGATGATCCAGCGCTGTCAGTCCACCTGTGCTATTGCTCCGAATTAAACACATGTTTTCGTGGTCAATCCTGACGGACGACCCTGAAGTACGCCATTTTTTGCAAAGGGGGGATGCTTCAAAACAGACTGCTGCCAGTATGCTTCGACTTTCTGCCTCCCTTTGCTGAAGTCATTTGAAGTCTACTAGTTGTTTCAGAGTACACACTTTAAGGCTGTTTGAGCAGTTTTTGCAAGGTATGACACTACGTACTGCAAAAAACCTATTAGATAATATAGAGCAGAATAAAGCATTTAAAAACCAATGACATATTTGTTTGAAACCATGTATACTGTATGTGTGCACATGTTTGTACATTTGTTCATTTGCCAGAAAACAAGCCCTCGGGACATGCACGCACACCCGGGACACTCTTCTGTAGCAGCTCGTGTAGCCTTGCTTTGGCATTTCTGCAGTGTAAACATGGTGGTGCCCCACCCCCTGCAGATTGAGGCTGGCAACACCGTGACCCATGCCAGAGGCAGTATCATTGGTAGTGACTTGACATATAGTGACGAGATGCCATGAGCATAGGCAGCAACTGTTTTTTGATGGTTCTCTGTTGGCGTGAAGGCACCCTGTCACTGTCTGACTGAAAAAATATTGATAAACACTACAAACATCTACAAACTATGGGAGTATATAGAATCATAACATGCAGACCTTGTGGCCATTCCTGCATTCCAACTTGAACTGCTTGCTCTTGGCTTGCTGTGTGAATTGACCAGGTCAGTTACGTTAAGTGACCCGCCCATTGGCCATGATTCTCGCAGCCGAACCCCCGCAGAAGAGGGATCCATGAATGTCTTTCAAGGACAACATTTCGAGCCGCAGGACCCCACAAAATGGCATAAAATGCTATCAAACACATCTGAACTCATTTGAGACTCGCTAGCAAAATTCTCCAAGACATAAAACACGACCCAATTCTGCCATATTCCACTTCTGGAGCTAATTATTATTAAAACCCCAAACAATGGCAAGTTTCCAGAAACAACCAATGGAGCACCCAACAAAGACAAGCTAATCGGGTACAAAAAAGTCTCAATGTGTCTCTACAAAAAGAGCCAGCTGAATCCCAGCATTGGCACAAATTCAAGATTCGCCAGAACCAACTCTATAATGCATATAAGTACCACGTGGCGGATATTAATTGCTTATAATTATTGGGGCTTGGGTGGCTTCAGCCTCCAAAACGCACTGATAACCATGAACCTGCGTGGGAGAATGCTTTTGCGCTTGAACTCAGTCTTGCACAGACGTCCTCCAAAGCAAAGTACAGACGATATACCACCCCACAGACTGGTCTGAAGAGCAAAGGCTCTCCACGAGACTTTGTGTGCAAATATCTTGATCTTCCACTTCTCGTACCTCTCATAACTCCTTCCAACAACAAGTGTGCCTAGCGTAGTACTGTAGGAGCGTATGACATGGACAGCTGCGTTTTGGACATGAATGCCCATGTTCCATCATGTTCCACTTTGTGAATTTCTGCCCACCGCGAGTGTTGTGCTTTCAGGTCTGGAGTTCTGCGTCACGGCCTTGCGCACCCGCTTTGTCATGGTGTAGCTTGGCACCAGGGGATAGTAATGGATCGTAGTACAACCGACCATTTTCTTGGAGAGAGATGATAGAGATGTCTACAATCCAGTGGTGAAGAGTAGATCAATCTTTTGTTCAGATCTGCGCAACTGAGGCTTGGGCACACCAACTGCGGAGCCATCAAAGGTGCCACTGCCACATACCTCAAGAGCAAGAAGGGAGAGGCTCCCGCGAAGGACGGGGGTTGCATCTTTTCAGACATGGTGGCTGCAGAGGTTTCTTAGGACATCAAGGGCAGCAAAACCAAATGAAACCACCTGAAGCAAATATGGACATTATCGTAGCACAGGTAATTGAATATGCAACGTTATAGGTGTATTATAACTGTAAATAGTCAGATACAGATACACTTTATATCACTTTATTGCACCTTCATATATTGGTACTTTAAGCCTTTAAATAGATGACCATAGAATCATAAATGATCATAGACGTATGTACTGGCACCTCATATTTTTCTGAAGCCCTGCGCAGGATAGCGGAGCACTGGAGGGCTTGCTGGCTGGTTTGAGCTCGGTGGCAGGTGATGCCGCCGCGCAGTTGGGGCCTAGTGCAAGCGAAAAGGCGGGGCCCAGATCGAAGATGGCCATGGGGGTGTTGTTCTTAGTTTTGAAGAGACTCTGGCTTGACTTTGTTGAGGCGGGCAACATTGGAAAACCGATACTTCAATTTTCGGGTTGGTCATTGGGTAAGTGGGGTATGGTTTACAGTTGGGCTTATCATACATGATTTTAAATGAATTGATGTTGATGGATTTGCACTTGATGAGTTCTTTCTGTTCTTCATGGGATGGAGGAACATGTTTACTGTAGTTATTGAACCATAGGGGAAGTTAGTCTATCAAGGTGCCTCTTCGGAAGAGAGATGAATTGCATGAACCAATCATTTGAGGGCGGGGAACAAATAGATAGCCATATAGCTATATGGATAGCTAGAAACTGCAAGGTTTGCAGTCATTTTGTCCCAGCGCAGGAAATTGCCGACTTGGCAGTCACTGGAATGCATTTGCCTCTGGATTGGGTATGTGATGAACCAGCCCTGTCTGGGGAAGTGTGTCTTTCGCAAACAACAAGAGATGGAGCCCGAAAACCCGTGCTAGTAGTACACAGAAAGAATATCATGATGCTTTCATATTCTTTCCATTCTTACCATCTTTTGAATCTTTTAGGGACTCCTGCTGCCCTCTTCAATCTCACCCCAGAAAAGAGAGTCGTCACGAGCCTTGCATGCCTACACTGGCCAAGATTCGGCAGACTTGTGCTGGGCATGCATGCACAAGCTTTGTGTTGAATTGCAATTCCTAGTTCCAAAGGCAACGAGACCTCGAGATTGCTTTCCCATGCTTTCCCTTTGAGGTTTCCGTGAATGTCTTCAATACCATGGACACCATCCTGAAGAGCAGCTCAGATTTCAGGGACAAGGCCAAGTCTGGCCGCTAAATGGCCATGACAACATGACAGACGTCAAAGATGAGAAAACCTTCATCTTTTCTTTGGACAAGGAGTTCATGTACGCACAAAGATGAGAAAACCTACTCAAGTCCATTTGTGCATAGTAGCCCTAGACCAGTTCTAATCAAGACATAATATGATATAATGTGTTCTCTGCAAGTTCAGACCGCACAAGCTGTAGAATGCTGGACCAAAGCCTTTCTCAAACACAGCAGCATGTTTGCAATGTTTGCTTGGATTCTGGAAGCCTAAGATCTGTTCTGATGTTGAATCCACTTCTGCTGAGAGAACATGTCAGCACAAAGATTGATATTTGCATCTTGACCGGATTTTCATTTCCCAGGGAGTGTTTGTTCATAGGCAGTTCACACGAACAAATTGACCGCCGTTCCATCAATTTCAGAAAAAGTTGGACAAGAATTGGAACAATCACTTCAGATACTGAATAGGCTTGTTTGAGAATTGGGTACCCCCAAATCATCCTGAATCTCATGGGGTATTATGTTTGTTGTCATTTTCACATTATATAAAAACAATTTTAAACGGACATAATGTATGCGTAGCTATATAATAATAATAATAATTAATTATTAATAATAATAATTAATTATTAATAATAATAATTAATTAATAATAATAATAATTAAGAATAATTATTATTAATAATAGTAATAATAATGATAATAATAATAATAATAATAATATATAAGATTATATAAGCAAATAATTATATATAAGTAAATACATAAATCAATACATAGATCAACCAATAACTAAATAAATGAATAAATAACTACATAAATAAATACATATAAGCATACATAAATAACCCGGCGGACCGGAAAGTGAGGTCGTGAAATACTGTTTTTTTCAAAAAATCATCGTTTCGCCCAGGCGAAAACACAATTCAGCGATCACAAAAACTCTGAAATTCAGACGTCTGAATTTGGTGTTTTTTTAGATAAATGTGTATTTCGCCTAGGCGAAACGCAATTTCTGCTTCAAACAAGTTCAGGCATGCTCAGCTGTCCGCACCGTCATTTTTACATCTCTTGCAGTTTGGACACCGTGGCTTTCGCAAGGTTTTTGTACGTGCGTAGCATCAAGAACCTCAGCAAGTTCACACGAACGTTAACATGCCCCACCCCACACCACCCCACCCCATCATCAGCGTAGCATTAAGAACCTCAGCAAGTTCACACGAACGTTAACATGCCCCACCCCACCCCACCCCATCATCAGCGTAGCATCAAGAACCTCAGCAAGTTCACACGAACGTTAACATGCCCCACCCCACCCCACCCCACCCCATCATCAGCGTAGCATCAAGAACCTCAGCAAGTTCACACGAACGTTAACATGCCCCACCCCACCCCACCCCACACCCCATCATCAGCGTAGCATCAAGAACCTCAGCAAGTTCACACGAACGTTAACATGAACGTTAACATGCACCCACCCCACCCCACCCCACCCCACCCCATCATCAGCGTAGCATCAAGAACCTCCGACTCGAAAAAGAAGCGTTTCGCGACCTCAGTTTTCGGTCCGTAGGCATAAATAACTAACTGACTCACTAACTAAATAAAGACATCATGGGTAGATACATAGATAAACAAACATATATATATATATAAAGAACATACACATATCATAATATTGGTGGCATTCCCCCGCATTTCAGTCCTAAATCCCACTGCAACGCGGTCAGGTTCGCAGTGGCGATGTCCAGCTGCAAGGGGCGGTGTACGATTTGAACACTGGACGTGTGGAGTGGCTGGGTCCCGTCCTAAGCCGTACTATTTTGGTCACCTGTAGCAGCTGTTTATCGAAATTGCCTGAGATTTGGGTTTGTCTGAAAATGTTGGGTATATTCCCAAACAAATAGCCATTTCATAGGGACAATGATCAGCAAAACCATTGGCTTTAGGGGTACACTATTTTCAGACACACCCATTTGATTCATACCAAATGTGACCAAATGTGACCCAAACAAACAAGAACATACTATATAATACTAGACACATGCTTTATGAACGTGGCTCATTGGTGCAGTTGACCTTGAGGCCAAAGCCCCAAGCAGGCAAGCATTTTGTCGAGCTGAGGCGCCAACTTGAAATGGTTGCATTGGCCAACAACTTAATTTGATAATCTAATTTTCATTTCATAATCTAATTTGATACTTGGGATACCTTGGGATACAGGACCCATTTGTTTCGGGATGGTCAGATCACCGATTCAAAGGGCTTTTCACAAGTGCCAGCAGTGCTCTCATAAAGTACATTGCAGTTTCTGCGCACTGAAATTCCTGGTCGAGCACCCTGCTGAGACTCTTCCAAACTAAGAAACAGTATCACGTACAAAGCTAGAATCGTTTCTGTTCGGAAACATCTCAACCAAGCGTATAAAAAGTGGGTATGAAAAGTGGTTCCAACCCAACGCGTTTGACCACATTGCAAGTAAATCGATTCATGCCAATACCAAACTGTGACCAGAATCGCAACCTTACATACCAAATTCACCCTAATTCAGAGGGATTTGACATAAGTCTCCAGCCCAGACACCTTTGCACAACATTGGGATGATATGGGGATGGGTCAAGATTGATCAAGCGAGTACCGGGTGTCACCGTGGTGAAAACCCTCAGGCGCTAGGCCGTTCACCTCCGACACCTGGAACGAAGCCTGCTGCCAGCCTTTGACCTGCAGCCAATTCTTTCACGAGACGATGTCAGATTTGAGAGAAGATCGGAATCACTCCGAATCACTCCGGCTTCGCAGCTGTGAAGATTGTGAAGGCGAACAGAATCATGAGAGCTTGTAAGAAGTGATATGAGATATGCATATAATCTGCATATGATTGCATATGTATATACAGTGTTTATCATCTAAATGGATGTTATACTGTGTTGTACTTACCATACTATTTACACTCTATTGACTATGCTGAAATCCTGTCAAAGCTGTGGAGGTTTCTCTGAATCTGAAGTCGTCTAGATTTCAAAATCATCACGGCGCAGTTCAGTGCACATTTTGTGGCCTCACGGAAGTTTATGACCTTGTCCTTTAACTTTAGCTGCATTGATAGAGTAGTTTACCCTTGGTCTGCGCACTGTGAGATTTCAAACGAAGGATGAAACGAATCCAATTTGTGAACGTCAAATTTCATTGTGCATTGGAGTGGCATATGGCCACTGCGCTCGCTCGATGTTAATTTTCTTCACCGCGAAATGCTTTCTCCAGTCAAAGCGGACACGATCGAAACAAGCAAAGAACCTTTCGTTCTTGAAGGCAAATAACCTGAGATCATAACATACCATCATGACCGAGCTGCACTCACTGAATGTCGGCGATTTTAAAAGGAGTAAGTAACCATTTATTCAGGGAATCATTTCTTTTAGTTATTTTTCTTATTCCTCCCTTCTTTCTACTGTGCTGCTTTTCTGCTTCTTTGCTTCTCTCTGCTTCTCTCTGCTTCTCTCTGCTTCTCTCTGCTTCTCTCTGCTTCTCTCTGCTTCTCTCTGCTTCTCTCTGCTTCTCTCTGCTTCTCTCTGCTTCTCTCTGCTTCTCTCTGCTTCTCTCTGCTTTTTTTTGCTTCTCTGCTTTCTCGCTTTTCTTTTTTTTTGCTTCTGCGCTTCGCAGTTTTTCTTGCTTCTCTGCCTTTCTGTTTTTTTTTTCTGCTTTTCTGCTTTTTTTGCTTTTATACATTTTTTGCTCCTCTGCTTTTTGTTTTTGTTCGCTTCTCTGCTTCTTTGCTTCTCTGTTTTCCTCTGTGTTTTGTTTCTCTGTTTTTTGTTTGTTTACTTTGTATTGCTTTTTGCTTTCCTGCTTTCGCTGTTTTTTTGCTTTTCTACTTGCTTCCTTGTTCTTCTGCTTGATTACAAGTACAACTACAGCTACATTAAGAACAGCACCAGCAACACAAACAATAAGAGCAGCAAAAAAACAAAAGGAACACCAAGAACAACAAAAGCAACAAAAAGAACAAGAACAACAAGAGCAACAAAAACAACTACAGCGGCAACGGAGGAACATAACTAGAACAAAACTGTCTCTGTGCTCCTTGGGCCCCCCTCCAGGTGTTTCTAGTTGATTGTTTAGTGCTTTCATTTTACCTTTATGGTGTCTTTGCTTTGATGTAAAGACCATGAGATGTAAATGAGCTGGTTTAACAACTTAAGGTTTCGCACTGCTTCAAGCATTATCCAAAATGGAAGTCATGCGAAATGGAAGGTTAAACTTCAATCATGCTGCACATATCATCTGCAAAATCGGCAATACCATGTAACTTGAAAGGTTCTATCTTCCAAATGTCGCCTTGATGGTTTTGCCAGTTTTCTTTCTTGGCTTTGCACAGCTTTAATTAAGGGCTTCTTGACTTCATGGCTTTGTTGATGGGTTCCTCCAGCTTCACCAGCCCACAACTAACAGACAACGACCAACCAACAACGGCTTGCAACTAGCATGCCAAATGGAAGATTCCAGCTCCAAAATGCCGCAAATAGCATGGAAAAATGCATAGCCAGAAATACAAAAAAACCCTAAACAAAAAAAACAAAACAATTTCCTACCCTTTTAAAAGTTCCCACCAACATCCAATATCACGAAGGAAAGCAACATATGCAACATGTGTTTACTGGGTGCTTTGATAGGTATGTTAAGGTTATATAATGTCTTTGGATCAAATCAAGATCTCCAGGACCCCTCTGCTGTAAATCTTCGTTGCCCACCCTACAGAGAGGTTTCAGAGGTTTCAGAGGTGGCAAGAAGGGAGAGCAAAGCTGCCTCTAAATTCCAGCGAAGGACGTCGAACTTGATCTATGTGGGCAAAGCAATTGTAATGATCAGGAATGCAGGGAATGGCCAGCCGAACATGACGGCTTGGCATGTTGTAGATGTTCGACTCGATCCTGTCCACCAGCCATCAGTAGGCACTTTTGAAACCCGTGAGGCCAGCCCACAAGTGGCAGTTAGAAATGCACGCAGTCCTGGAAGGGAAGTGGGGTTGTGAGGTTGTGCGACAAGTGAATCTTCGGAGAAACACTATGGAACTGAACTGCAGTGAGTTTCTTGGTCACCCTCACATCAGAAGGCCTATGCAAGAAGTGAGAGGCCGAAGAAAGATGGTTTCTCTATGTTCTCCTCTAATTACCCTAGCAGACATAGGATCTTTGGATGCATCCGGGGTCCTTTTTTGGTTTCCTCGTGCCAAGATCACAGCACGGACCACCTCCCTGCTGCCATTGCATCATCACATGAGAGGCACAACAAATACCTCATTGATCCTCATTGTGCCATTGACAGAATATGACAACCCTTGCGTGGCACCTACTGGACCTACGGTGACCTACTTCATCTTTCAAAGCTCAAGTGGTTCTCTACACCTTTTTGTGAGTAAAGTACCCTGAGATCCTCCGTCAAACATCGTCAAACTAGCATTTCATTTGCAGCCGCATGTTCCTTGAACATACAACGCATGCAAGAATCAACCTTGCAAGAGTACAAAAGGCAGATGGCTCCCAGTCTTTCCCTACATTTTCCTTGGATGGTAAAAGTATAGCAGTCTTCTTATGGAGAATTCTCAACTGATATCCCTTTCTTTCAAATGCTTCGACACGTTTGGTGCACTATAGACGCATAATCATCAGTTAGAATCAATAATCATCAATTGATCATCAATTATCACCAGCTATCAAGTGTCATCCAGTATCTATGGAAGACATTGACCAAGGCTTTCAAATTTTTCAGGTTTCCCGCGAGCTCTGGCCATGCCAGACCTGGAAATGACCGCCTTTGATGGCGACATCTGGCTGCAAGTTGTGGTTCTGTACCTGGACACACGCATACCCAGGCAAACACACAAATAGATACAAATAGGTTCAAAGAAATAACACTTTACTAACACTTTTCTGCTAGGTAGCAATGATTCAATGACAAGAGCAATTTTGCCTCTCTTGAAGTCATGACATGGCATGGCAAGGGCAACCCCCCAACTTCACAGACAAATGGTACAGAACAGAACCAAGCTGAGGTGACTTTAAGTTCGGCTCCGGCACAGGAGACCATTGACGAGGCACGCTTGGACTGATCAAAGTGTTGCTGTAGAGATCAGAACGGTTAGGGGGCAGTGAGCTGGCTGTGTTCAAGAAACATTTCAAGACACCCGGTCAGCAGTGCATAAATGCTGCGAACAGCATCGGTTTGCACAGTCACACTGATGCAGAAATCAAAAAACGAAGTAAAGACTCCACTGACTTTCTCCACTGTTGCTTGATTTTCATTCACTTCAGCCTCTATCCGATTCTATCCTCCACTCTTTAAACAAATATAGTTTCTGTAGCTTTGCAGATCCTTCACCAAAGCTATGAATATTCGGAATATTCCGGAGATCATCCAGGGATCATCCAGGGATCATCCAGAGATCATCCACTGGATCGATGTTGGACTCTGAGGCGGGTGCTCGCCAGGTCCTCCATCAGGCGCTCACAGACCATGCCAAGCGGGAAAGATCTTGGCTGAAAACTTTGATACCAGTGATATAAGTAATGGAAGTGATATCAGTGGTGGCAGTGATGGTAGTGGTGAAATGTGGTGAAATGTGGTGAAAGTGTATGCTTTTGATTCGCCTGGCGACCGAGTGCCAGCCAGCACTTGTCAGTTAGTCGGTCCACTTGATACCAGGTCAGCGAAGAGACTTGCTGGTCCAAGGCGTGTCCCAGCTGTCGACCTGCCTTCCAAGAAGGCCTCGATGCCTGCAGATCGGCGGTGGCTTTGGAGGGACTGATGATTGAACTACGATCCGCTTGCATCTTACATCATCTTACATCATGGGATATATCACTGGATATCAAGATGGAACCAGGTAGTCCAAAATGATCACCATTTCCGATTCAAATTGCAGTTCCACGAGTTCCATGCTCATTTTGATGGCCCACCTAGCAGTCCCTGGTAGGCTTTGAGCTTTCCGCCTGTTCGGCTGGCTGCACCTGTGGCTGGCTTTGTCTTCCAGTGCACCTGGCCTTCGGCTGCTGCAAAGGCTGCGGCAACCTGATTTTTGACATTTCAACTTGACTTTTTCGATCAAAATCCTGAACTCATCCTGAAGTGTTGGTTCCCCAACTTGATTGGCATGGAGCAGTTGAGGTGCTGTTTCCACAATCTTTCTGACTGTCCAACCAAGACTCTGCGCCTTTACTCTACCAGCCTAAACCTGGCTGAAACCACATCAGCCTGGCCCTTCCAGGTGTATGCGTGGGCGGGATAGGGAAGCGACCCTTTTCAGAATGGAGCTGGAGCTATTACATCGGCTTGCAGGTGCAGCTCTCAGCCATTGACCGCGATGACAGCCTGTAGGAAATTGGTATGATATCTGAAGGCACCCCCTCCGATGATCTAGCTTCAGGAATCTACCCACATCCAACCCTCCATTAGGACACTCACACGTGTTCGTATCTTGAATTTAGGTGAAACTCTGTTAGTTTTTATTGACACCAGAAGTGGACCTCACACATCTTGTCGCATTGGCACCAATTGGCCTCTACAGTTGTCTAAAGACCCATGGCCCCTGCTGGCCCCTGCTGGCCCCTGTTGGCCCCTGCTGGCCCTTGCTATCCACAACGCACATGACTGCAGATCATGAAGAGCTTGGCTTCGAATGTGCCGTACAGGAACCTATATGCCATCCAGGCAGAACTGAGCCTCTTGCGGTTTCGTTGGTAGAATTGGTAGGATAGTTGGCGGATGCCGGAGGATATATCTGTATCTCAGATGATGCATGGGTTTGTGATCTGTAGGGTCAAATATCCAGATCTTGCCAATAAATCTCTTATTGCCTTTTTCTCACCAGCATGATGCAGATACAAAGTGTCTGGACTTATGCAAAAAAAATACAGAGACACAGTTATACAAAGTTATACGACAATAAGTTAGTTATATTTGTATATGAATATGATATGATGCCTTTCAAATATTTTTATATACAGTTATACAATTGGATGACTGCCATGTCAGCAGAGCGGCTTGTGGGGAAATGGAAGCTGCCAGGTTCTAACGGATGCGCCAATTCCAACGCCGATTCTGCCTCCAGATCTCACTGTGCGGGAAGTGTGCGAAGGGAACGACTCTCGGCAGCGCTTGCTGTTTTCCTTTGCTCCGTTGACGCTGGTTCAACTCTCCACTGTTCATGACTGTTGGATGGTTTGTTGCGAAATTCCGCTGTTGAGAGTCTGGTGGAAAAGCCAAATTGACCACAAGCGACAAGCAGAACCTTTTGGTTTCGGCAGCAAACACGGCCGCCGGAATAGACCATCGTCAAGCAACCGCAGCTGTTGTTTACCAACAGAACGTACAAGGGATATGTCTTGATACCTCCATAATACTATTCTTTACTAGTGAACTTATGACCAAAATTCTAGCTCACTGTCTTCAACGAAGGATTTCAATGACTGAAAAACGCAGAGATCATTTGAGGTCCGTGGGGAGTGGACCGAGCCCACCAAGCTGCAGACGGCCAAGACTCTGAGCTGCATGGACTGGGATCGTTCTGGACTGGAAATGGGTTGCTTCTGTTCACAGGACTTAAAGGCCTTAAAGATAAAGAATCTTAAAGAGACTTTGCAAGTGTGAATTGTCACAACGGCAGTGGAACTCTTTTTTTTTGCTGAACCGCAAAGACAGTGATCTGAGGGTGGTACTCTACTTTCATGGCGGAGCTTTCGTGCTGTGCCGTGCGAGAACTGAGCGAATGGTCGTCGGCAATTTGGCAACTTGATTTGATTGACGTGGAGTGGACGGAGAGTAGGGGGAGAGGTTCTATTGGTCTTCCCGAGGTTTGAAACTGCAACATTAGTGATTAATGGCAAGGCCGGCCAAAATGATCCAAAATGAGAATCTGCCTAGTTAGCCAGATGAAAATGCAGAGACATGGAGCACACATGAACACACCATAATTTGCTATAGGATGTCTTAGGATGTCCTTGAATGTTTCCACTTCAAGTTTACAATCTTGGCCTCTCCAAGCACCAAGGTCAAGGCACTCGGTGGATGCCGGGCCCTCAATGTTGACTATCCCAAGCCACCGGACAGCCCATTTCCTGCGGCAGTGGAGAATGTGACTTGTTGGTCCATTGGTTCTTGGCTAGTGGTTTTTATCTACATATCAATTTGTTGTATATACAGTAATAATACATAATATATATGGTTTTCTATGATTTAGATAATTTCATGGTTTGATCCCACTCGGGTAAAAAACAATGGCAAGGGCGACCTGCTGGGACCCCTTTTGTATTTTGCACCCCGTGCCTTGAGCACAAACACGCTCATTGTGATTTCTGCTCATGGAGAATAAATGATAGTAATAGATAGTATTAGATTGCGTAATATATAATATATATACTTATATAATATAATTGTATATGTATATATATATACAGTATATATATGTTCTAGGTCTGAGCTTTGTGGTGTACCGCAGTCAGAGACCAAGGCACTTGAGGTTTGGGACTGGTTATTGGCGCAAGGCATCGGTCCCAAGGTGCGACGGCGGGAGGGTGATTTAACATAGCCATGGTATAGATGGCCCATAGAAATAGATGGTTTACCTATAAAAAATGGTGATTTTCCATGGCTATGTTAATTAACCAATGGGAAAATATCATGTTTTGAATTCAAAAAATCTACTTCCGAAGTCATCTCAGAGATCCATTTCTGCACGTTCAGTGGCATTTGCTGTCAGGATGTGGTGGTCTCCGGAGACAGTGCCGGAGGAAATCTCGCATTGTCGCTCCTGTTCAGGTTGCAGGTGGGACACCGGATTTCATCCTGCACAAATGAGACTTGATGTATGTTGACGAGCCTGTGGCTACTCGATTTTGCCCGTATTTTGCCAAGCTCATTTTGAATTGTTACACAGACACTTGCGCATGTGGGTTGGAACTGTGGGTGGGAGATTTTGCCGCATGCATCCGCGTTGCGCTGCCGCACAGATCAGGCCAAAGGAGCTGAAATGCCTGCAGCAGCAGTTGCTTGGCATGTTTGTCATAAAGGTATATAAAGGTCATAATCTGTTGGTTCTGAAACACAATGTGCAGTCTTCTTTGATTGGCTAAACCGATAGGCTGTGCTTTTGTTTTGATCAGCAAGCCGGCGTATCGGGTGTTCACATGGATCCAGTGCGGCTTTTGTTTGGGCGAATGATGTGTGCCGGGGATCTCCGGGGCCGAAAAAGACCACCAGCGAAGCTCAGGTTTTATTGAGCCCTTGGGTAGAAATGCTGCCTTTCTCTTCAGAGTCTTGGAGAGAGGCCTGCCTGCAAGTATTGAACATGTATTGAACATATTGAAACTGAAGGTTTTCTGAGCGCATCATGAATCATCAAAGTTCACAGACCCTTTAGCTTTGTAGAGGGTGACCAGTGACTTACGCCATGAAATTGTAGTTCCTGCACTGTCACAATCTGTCATATCTCATGTTAGTGTACACTCTGAGTTACAGCCCAACTGTTCATCTCAGGATAATGTGCCTTATGACTACATTGGCAACTTTGGCAGCATTGGTCAGCCTGGTTTGTTTCACTAGGTCCTAGGTATCTGGTCAACAGCCCACAAGGGTGTTTTCTTAGTCTAGCAAGCTCAATCTGGGACTGCAGAGTTTCTGAAAGAATGACACTGTCTGTGTTTTACAAGCGCGTCTGCATGTTAATCATCAGGCAGGTGCCTGTCATCTTTTCGGAATTTCTGCTACATCTATACAATTCCATACAACGCCTATATAGTGTAGTGAGTCTAGTGGAAGTATAGTGCATGGCGTGAATGGACTTTGTGATTTGATTTTCAGCCATGAGGACATGTTCCTGTCGCGAAAACATAAACAGTTGGCTCTGTGACGAACAGTCTTGTCTTCAAGGTATTCTCCTTAAGACTCTTTATTTGATGTGCAAATTGTCTTGTGTCCTGAAAGGTCAAAAAGGGATGATGGAGCAATTTGTTGCGATGTACACATCAGGCGGCCATATGGATTCATTTAGTCATTGTGCTGGCAAAGCAGGAAGCACGTTGACACCTGTCCCAAGTGTGTGGAATTCTGAATCCACATCGTATAGATCGTGTAGGTAGTTTGTGGATGTTTGTGGATGTTTGTGGGAAAGGAGACCCAACATTGATCCAACCTGTACTATGCTTTCGCCCCAGGCGCCAGTCATTCGAACCCCTTAGTTGCACCATTGCACGCAAGCACCGAACAGCTTCGCGGATTGCCTCCGTTCTTCGGCAGCAAGGGGTGTCTGTGCGATGCGCTCCTGGAAGGTGGAAAGAGCCTCAGAATCTCCGTAACCACTTCAGTTCTGTCAGTTCTATGTTCCATCTTATTCCATCCTATTCCCGTTAGCATCTGCATCCTTCTGTCAGGAATCTGCTGTGAGTAAATCTCAATGGTAGTACTTAGGTCAGGAGGCCATGTTCAATCGCAAACTTCGTAGCAGTCGCATGACGTGTCATCGTTTTCCTCAGGCTTTGGATCTCAGTGGGAGGAGCAGAAATGTTGCGCTCCTCCATTGAAGGCTTGGCAACGGGGGCTAGATTCGCTTGAGTGTCACGCATTGCGTATCAAGAGATATCAAGAGATATCAAGAGTAGAGTATACTTAAATGGACATCGTATTTCATGCCAAAGCCACAAATCACAACTTCTTGTCAGGTTGGTTTGCCAACTAGCTTTAGCTTGTGGTGTAGGAACTTGGATAAGCCGGTTGCTTGCTAGGCGCTAGGCTGTTTGAAGTGGATGAACCACTGTTTTACACTCTTACACATCCTCCACTAGATCCTGTTGGCCATCAAAACTCAGTTGGTGTCAATACCTTGGATGGAAAGCCATGGAAAATCAAAACAGGTCTTGTACAACAAACTCTTCGGAAGTCTCAGTATCGCTATAGTGGCTGTGGCTCAATTCTGCTCAACCCCTTGGTCGCTTGGTGATCCACAAGCTTTAAATTATTTGGGATCATCCATGAGTGTTTTTCATGGCTACAATATATAATATTATATATATATATAATTAGTTATAGTTACTATATTTCATGCTTTGTACACACACCACCAAAGCAGTGAACGTGCTAGGCTTCGCTTTCAGGGCGCACGAGGCGGGGTTTCAATAGTTGATGTTGGTGGATTTTTGAGTGTACTCGGTGTGGCATCTGCCAGGCCAAAGGCGAAGTTCGTCTTTATGTTGGACCTGGAGCCTCAACATGTTTCACGCAACATCATGCAACATGGTAACTCAATGGTAACATAGGGATCTTGAGATTTGCCAGATATTATTCCTTTTCATCTTGATGTTTCATGCAGCTCTTCAAATTGTATTGTCTGAGTGTCGCTTTTCTGATGGGGATTGATTTTTTGAGTCCTGGTGCCGTACCAAACCAATTCGCCAGTTGGATTGGGAAGATCAACCTCTTGACAGCCTCTCTGCAGCCTGTTTCCTTATTTTTTCTCTTGACCTCAAGTCAATCCTGACTTGGAATTGGGTTCTTGGCGTGGGGCAAGACCAAGGAATGCCGCATGTCTATCAGCATCTTGACAGCATTGAGAGAACTGAAGGGTCCGCATGATCCACACTGGAATCCACATGTAAGATTCTGCTTCTTCTGCTTCATTGGTTTTTGGCGTAGGGCAGGTACGTTGGGAGCGGGGATGTTTCAGAGTTCAAGGCTCTGCTTCTGGGCCTACCGACCACCCAATGCCAGCTTGCTGCCACGTTGCTGCTGGACCTGGGTGGGGCAATGGGACGTGGTGAGCTGGACCCTGAGGTGTGCACAGCCGCACATGAGGCCAGTGATGAGGGTTCCATACTGTAGGATTTCATTTATATATTTTCTATATATATTATATATATATAGATATTGACAAATTTTCACATGTTTTACCATCGTGACTCACTCCAACTCATCAGCCCAGATATGGGATGATATGGCTTGTGTACTTAGAGTGGACCTACATGTTCAGCCATCCAACAACTGGGCAGGAGCTGCCGCACGCTGTGCCCTGGCTTTTGTACTCAGCAAGATCCAGGTCGGAGAGAAACTGAGGATCTGCAAATATCATCAAACACCCATAGAATTCCCAATTTGTAATCTGAAATTCAGATTGATGATATTTTATGGATTGAAATTATATGAAATTCATGATTTTTTCATTGAATTCAAATTGATCAGTGGTTTTTCACTGGTTGAACCATGGATCGGCCATCGACATCCTTTCTGAGCCAGGTCCTGTCTGGGAATCCATGGAGCAAGCGAGGTACTTCGTATGGTCTCGGAAAGTTTGGGGCTCCTGAGATCGGCTCCGCAAGCTCCGGAAGCACAGAGCCTGATTTCGTGAAGGATAATGATAGGAATACATATAGGAATACATGTAGGAATACATGAATTATATTGAATGATAATAATAAATTATAACTATATATATAACCATATTGAACTATGAATTGCACCATATTGCACTAGTTTTCAGAAGCTGTCCAAGAATGTCAGCGAGCGAAATGAGTTTTCGGGCTCTGAGTTTCTCATAGTAGAGCTTTCCACCGAAGTGGTCGCTCAGAGTGACGACGTAGAATCAACGGCCAGGCGGCCAGACACGAACATCGGCGCAAAGACTGTGCTGCCTCTGAAATCCTCTGAATAGATGCAAACTGCTTGCAGACTGAAACTGAGACCAAAGATGTCACTGCGAAGGCAAGAAAAGGTGGCACCACCTGTAAGTAAGTTCAGAACATGCTCTACTTTAAAAGCTGAGACCTATGGGTGCTTGTGTTTTCGAGACAGCTTGCAAAAAGATCACACGATCGTGAATGAAATAAGCATCCCATTTGGGGCTTTTTTAAATTATCTACTGCCAGCATACTTATTCCATGTGCCCTCCGATGCGTGGCAACACTATGATTAGCTGTTGCATGGTGCAATCACCAAGGGACCATCAGCCGATACCAGGACTGGTAAGCTGGGTGGCGTCAGGCCACCGCACAAGCGATTCGCATTACTGGGTGGGATCTGAAGCGAGAAGTACCTCATTGTGCTCTCAGTAGGAACACCTCCAATTGATTTGACTCTCATTGTGCTCGGACACAGCGATGGCTGCACGACGGGCCTAGACACATCAGAACATTCATGAACTGCGCAGGGCCAATATGATGTCTTTTTTGCTTGGACTTGTTCATAAGGCTTGCTAATTCTTGCTGATGGGTAGTTGAGTTTCCTGTGACTATGGTTGCTCAAGAAAGGTTACCATCATCGTTGTTGGTCATAGTTTCTCAATTGCATGCTTTGACTCTCTCTTCCGCGTTTCTTTTCGACTGCTGGTGGCCTTTCCAAGAACTTATCATATGCAAAACACACGCATACACAGGCTTTATACTGTATTAAGTATTAATTAATTGTGATGGATGGACGACCACCTATATACATACTAAAAGATCATGTGTATATTATAATATAATATATATATATATATATATGATATATACATATATATGATATATATATATGTATGATATATATATATATTATTATATATGATATATGATCACATATCCCCACTATATTCGGGTTGAGACTGTGCTTCCGCACACCTCTCAATGTGTGTTGGTAGGGGGGTCTTTGTTGCATTTTGTTGCAGGATGCTGAAGAATGCAGAAGTTGTGGGGGAGGCCCAAAGGAGTCCTGCTCCATCTCTTTGGATTCAGGGTGATTCACCATGATTCACCAGCATCGTCTTTAGCTTCGGCGGCGTGCCGATTTCCAAGGTCATCACCAGCCCAGGCTGTCTTGAGATCACAGCTGGGGAACTCAGTGGACCAATGTCACCTGCGGCATCCTGCGGCATCCTGCGGCATCCTGCGGCTTGCAGTTTCAGTATGCTTCATGTTTCAAATGTTTCAGTATACTAAAGTGACTAAAGTGACTAAAGTGACTAAAGTGACTAAAGTGACTCACGGCTTAAAACGTAATTTCGACATGTTTTTTTTTTGCTTTTCAAATGTGAGTCCCCACCTATGACAGCTTAGCAAGTCCTTTGACAGGATTCTCTCACCTTTCAAGCGACCTTGTGCTCGCACTCAATAGTTTTCGGAAATGGCCGCCGAGTTTTAGGGGGGCCCAGGGCGGTCGGGCGGTCCCCATTGGTCTCGACGAGGCACCTAATCAGCCTCTCCTTACCTTGAGATTCGACACCATACAGCAGGCATCGAGTCAGTGGTTTCTGCATGTTTCTGCACAGTGTGTTGAGAACCTTTGGATAACAGTGCCGAATAGCAGGAGTGATTCAACCGAAGTGGAACGGATACGTAGGTCGCTAATTTATACTCTTGTCGCAATCCAGGTCTTTTTGTGACGTGTGGATTTGCAATTTGTTTTCCTTTTTTCGATATTTTTTCGCATAGTTCTTTTTTGAAGGGATTCAAAACTTGCCTCTAGAATCCTGTAAAGCTCGAATTCAGAGCTCTACATTCACACATTTTCCCAACATTTCTCAACAATGTTGGTGATTAGGGGTACTATCTGGATGTCTCTGACTTTCCCAACTCGACTGTCTACCAATCAAATGCTGCGAGGCTGAGTACTGGGCTGCTCAATTGAGGGGCCTGATTCCAAGTCCTGGATGCTGGGGAGTTGATAGAGGATTCTGCCACATCAGTCAGGTCAAGCGACCAAACTCGCACCATGATTTTCAACAGGATCAAATCTTGCGGGGTTGTAGAATGTGTGCAAGACATTACGACATCCCCCTCTACATGGTACAGAGAAACAATAAGGAAACAATACACAGTCAGAAAATGCAATGGATACCTAGAGCAGCCTATGTTGCGTCCAGGTGCCGCGCAAGTGCTGCAAACCCCTCGAGGCTAGATGGAGGGGAACCACTTTCCAGCTTGGCGCCACATACAGTGCCAAGTGCCAACTGTAAGGTTCAACTCGCCCTCCCAGGTACCAACAGACGATGCATTTTGCATCATTTAGCATTGTGCAGCACCAAGAAGGTAGTCTGCGGTAGGTCTACAGTGACACCATGTACCAGCTTGTGTCATCTTGTGTCTGCCTCGGCCAAGCCAGGCCCTTATTCTGCCAGAGGCAATTCTGCACGAGGCCCCTACTCACGCAGTCGTCCAGGCGGGTTGCAGCCGACAGTGTAGCTGGTCATAGCTAGTCCCATGTAACATATGGATACATATGGGGCAAAGCCATGCTCACGCGTTGCTGCGTTGCTGCACCCAACGACATTGTATATAAATGTAACAGCCTTGGCGAATATTGACGATGTACTGAACGTACTGGCCAGTGAAGCCTCCAACGCACCGAGTCCTGTGCCAGGCTCCAAAATTTCACCATGGATGCCAGGTGTGGAGATTGCCGTGGTTGCGGATTGATTGGCGGGTCGACTTACCTACTGGGCCCTCTATCGGATCATCTAGGATCCAAGTTTCATGAATTGGGCTTGGGTACCCCCAAAATGGGATGCTCAAGAAATTGACGGCTCCACGGCTGATCCCCAAGGCGTAGACACTGGGATCAGCTTCTTTCCACAAGGCCGCAAGTCTTCAAAGGACCGATCGCTTCAGAACACCAAACTTTGTGATGATTGGCTGTGCGATGCTTACAGTATCACCATGTATCATCTACTTGGGGAGTCATTTTCAGTCCAAAATGAAGAGCTCCGACTTTGAAGCAGCAAGAAGAAAGCCTCCCAGATTGCAAGCACCAACCCATCAAACTGTCTTGAAGTGTATTCCTTGATTTTTTTTCAATACACTGGGCAATAGCTATCAAAGATGATCAAAGCTATCTTTCAACATTGTGTGTATCCTTAGTAGCTCCCTATTCCCTGGACTGCATTGAGCCTATAATCGAGCCACCACCACTGCTACCTCCAAAAAGAACAAAAGGAATGGCAAAACTGGGCATCGATTTAATTTAAGCAGTGATGAACGGACATGGGAGAGATAGCAGATGAGTTGCTTCTTTTAGATAGGTGCCAGTGCGAGTTGATCTCAATGAATTGATGTTCGCTATGGTCTCGGCCTAGTTGAGTGCTTCACATTTTTTCCAATGCCCTTTGTGTTTGGACATGTTTGGTATCTGTCCAGCTCATCAGCACCCTTTTAAGGCAGACGCAGTGTTCATGGGATATTGTAATCACATGCTACATGAAATCAGTATACAGTATATCAGTATCAGTATCATACGTATACACTGTAGTATATATATGTATATGTACTGTATATGTATGCTGCTTATGTATATATATATATGTATGATGTATATCAATGTACATGATTATATATATATATATATATATGTTAGAGGCCTACTTCCGCCAGCACGTCCAGCCTCCTCTTCCTGTCACACCGAATGCTGTGGACCGCTATGTCCGGCTGTTGCTCACGGCTGCTGGACCCACCTATTGCAACGAAGTCTCCTTGGGCGTAAAGATATTTGCCCGCAGGGTTCGCAACAGAGATCGTCTATCGCGAGCTCGTGCTTCACCACGCAAATGTGAAAAGCATCTGGGGCAGACTACATTTGCGCTGTGTCGAGGCTGGCAATGAGCTGGGCAACCTACTTCCGACCCACACACGGCACTGGTGGCCTATCGGAGGCCTATCGAAGACGTCTTTATGTGCAAGGTTCTAGCCAGCATCGAACTTACCCTTCGATCAGACTCTGAGTTCCTGTGCATTTCTATCGATGCTACTTTGAAAGTAGCTATGTCCATCAAGGGCCAAGCAAGCTACAGAAGCAGCGCCTCTGTCAGAAACCAGGCGTGCTTCGGAGATGACGAAGCATTGCGGCGGGTTCTCACTGTCAGAGGTCGCACAGGGGCAGTGTTAGCAATGCAGCTAATCAAAGGCGAAGATGCTCCAGAAGTTGCTCTTGCATTGCAGAGTGCCCTCTCGGAGATGGCTCGTGCGCAAGTTCGGTATGTCATGAGTGACTCACCGTCTTTGAAGCTGCTGCAAGCTTTGAAAGCAGTGTTCCAAAATCTATCTGGCCTGGCTTTGGATCCTGTGCACCTGGCCATTGTCTATGAGTACGCGCAGTGGCGCAAACGCACGCCAGGCTCCAAACTTCTAATTCTAAGGGAGTTGCTTCACAACGTGGTTCAGCATGACGCTGAAAAAGGCATGCTGTCATGGGGGCCTTTGTATGATGGTCAGGAGTCCGACCCCTTGTCTCGCCAAGAGGAAAAATGGCGACAGGAAATTCTAGGCTGGACACACACCCAGGCATATGCCAAGCGGGTGATCAACAACTTGGACTCGAATGTGCCAGTCTACACGCGCGTGAGCTTCATTGAAGCAGTTGCAGCCATATGCGCGCTGCACTCAAAGGAAGTCGACCGCAAAGTCACGGGCATGAGCAAGCCCGTGCGCCAGCTGCTTTGGAACGCGTGTTCCCCATCATGCTTGGGATGGTTGTTCAACAACCAAAGGGTGAGGCACTCCCTGGCTCCGGCAGAGCGATGCCTTTTACCTTCTGGCACCACTTCCAACGAAGCTCTCCACAGCCAGATCAATTCGTGGGCGCGCTCAACCCACGAATTACACCGCAGCACTTTGAAGTTGAAGCTGCAAGTGTACACATTGGGAAAGCAGCTGAGTCACTACTTGGCTTTGTGCTTCCCACCTGCGCGGCAAACAGCAGAAAATGTTTTGCTTGCACGCGGGCTGGGTCAAAGCCCTTGGACTTCGGAACTCTGGCAAAGATCTTGCTGCTGCCGCGATGATCCCGCACGGCCAGTCGCAGCTTGGCTCTTTTAATTGGTTGTCATGTTTGATGTTTGGATGCGTGCTCTTGTGCCATAGAATCGTATATGGCTGTTGGTTCTCGTGGCTGGCTGTAACGAACTTCTCAGGAGAAGTGCCAAGTTCCTCTTCATCAAGAGCGACTCACTGAGAGCCGGCGTGTCCGTCAATGGACATTGAAACAGCCAGACCGTCCTACCAGGAGACAGAAGTGTAGGAAACGCACGCCGCTGACTGTGCCAAGAAAGCACAGCGTGCGCAGCGGTGGTGTCAAGCCCACTAAGTAGGCTTTTCATCAGGCAGCACTCATTCGCTTTGAAAGAGACAAAACCATAGTATGCTGTGTTTCCTTGCTGTGAACCTGTGTGTTCTTGTCCGTGTCGCTGAGATGATGACTGAATTCTTTCATTGAAACGCACAGTTCATCGCAATGTCTTGCAAGTCACGAGGCCAGACCCACCACCTCCACAAGTTGGTGATGCTGCCGATTGCGTTGCGTGCTGGTTGCCCAGACTGCAATGAAGTTTCGATAGTTCCGTGGTGTGTGAAGTTTGGGCTTGATCGTTCTGGTCCTTCTCATTAAGCTCGCCAGCATAGCGGCACTGCGAGGTCATAGTGTTCGGATGGTGGCACGCTTGCCATATAGGGTTCGGATCGGTAGGGATCCAGAGAGCTAGCAGCCTCGCCAAAGGCCTAGATTCGGGTTCGTAGGTGTTGGGAGAGCCGGAAAGCTTGCAGGAGGTGGATGCATGGTCTGGCAGTCATCCACCGACAAGACATCGCCTTTCCATGGTGATATGACGAAGGGACGCCTTTGTCGCGTACGTGCTTTTATCCGACATGGCGACTGGCTAAGCCTAGAACCGCATTTTCGATTTCCGTGCTTGCTGCGATGTTACATCAGGATGTCCTATAGGCTTCGAAACCTCAAGGCGGCGATTATTCAATTTTCTATAGTTCCTCAACAAAAAACATACAGCGTGTGGCGTGTGTCTGTGTGGACATCGTCGTGTTCCAGAGAATGCGTTGTTGAAATCTAGAGACCTTCACCTGGCAAGTAGAATAATAACTAAAAACCTGTGATCCCTCAAGTCTTAAATTTTGACCCATGTTCATTTGTGAGAACATTTGTTTTCAGAAGTTTCGCTGATTTGAAGATGCAGAAGGGTTGTGTATATTTGATACACAAGTGTGCGAGTGTAAGCGGCCCAAAAAAGTGAGCTGCAGGTGCCAGTATTGTGGTTTCAGAACCCCGTCATTCTATACATAAAGGTCCCCTCCACATATATATATGTATAAATATGTACATATTAATATATAAATATCTGATGCAAATTCCTTATCGAGCTATATCACGATATCGGTGTATCATATTCCTGCATGATACTTCTATAGACATCAATGATATCCTGCTTTGGCACCGATGCCAATGTTTGGACAACCACAGGAGTCGCTTGGATCTGTCCGGGGGCCCAGGCAGGTGGCATCAAGCTGAAGGCATGTTCTTCTTTTATTCTGCCAGGTGGACTTATCCAATTTCCAAAAACTGTTCCAAGCCATCCAATTAGCTTTCAATTAGCTGCCACATTTCTTGTATAACATACAGGATTTATGTCTCCCAATGCACCTTGTGTGGCTTCGAATCATGCCTTGACGAAGGTTGGGATCCTATCGCTTTCTTTTCAGCTTCTCAAAAGCAAGACTCATGACATTGTGATATGTATATAAGCAGAAAGACTCAATTGCCCGGACGGCGTGGACTATCTGGAGTAGATTATGAAGTGCGCATGTCTCAAAGTTATTCGAAATCATGAAAGCCCTTCGTTTCCAAAGCCCCCCTGCCACAATGATGGCCATTGTGGAGCCGTTGAAAGGCTCAATTGGTTCAATTGTGCTATCCTTTGAGTTCTAAAAGCAGATTCATTGGTATCTTTCGTTTGTGACTCCCACATCAGGAAGCAATTTGCATGGCACAATAACAGGCTTGTGATCAGCCCTTGGTCCGAAAGCCTCGCCATGAAGTATCTTGCGGGATCCTCTGGCAAGCTACGTCCGAGATCCCAGGAGCCTGTGTTTGGAAGCTAATTAATGGACCAAACTTTTTTGAGTAAGCCATAGCTCCATAGACTGGATATGATTCGATGGGGTTCTGGGTGTCTGGCATTGGCTTCCGCTATAATTACTAGCACATTGTTTTCTTGGCTTCGTTTTGGGAGGCCTGAGTGAGGTTGTGGCTGCTTCTATGGTTGTGCCATAGAGTTTATATCAATCTTCACGCCATTTCTGCATATTTTTCATATTTCTCATACTTTTACCCTATACTTAGACCGTTGTAAACGCTTTGCAGCAGTGCATAGCAGTGCTCAGGGCATGTGGCTCTGGTTTTTCGCCATGGAGATCGAGCATCATCAGCTCCAGGTGCAAAGATGAAGTGAATCTGCAGGACCTGTCGGATATGTTGGATGTTCATTGGATATTCATGGGATACATGATACATGATAGACCCATTGTAGGATTTTTGTTGGATGTTTATTACTGTTTATTGCATGTTCGATGGATATTCGCCTATTCTGTCTCCCCAAATTTGAACATTGCAATAACTGCGAGAAGCACATCGTCCAATCCCTGTGGCAGGTGCTTCAGGTTCTGCTGAAGCCGAGGCAGAACGTGAAGCATGGAGTTTCTTGGCATGCGTCCGCTTGTCATGGAAATGACATAAGAAAACGCTATAAACATATATAAACAGGTAAGGTCTTGATTTAATCAGGACATGAGTTTCATTGAGTTTCAGTATTCCGATGCGTTCCCCGTATTTTCTATCCTGGTTGTTTTTGAGTGATCAGTTTGCACTATACATACTATACGCTAAAACTGAATGGTTCGGTTGGTCAGAAGCCGCTCTCCCACTCGAATTGTGGTACCCTCCCACTTGGCACATCTTGGCACTACGTTCTCAGGCAGTGCTTTACCATGCGCGAATTTAGCGGATTTCTTAGACCAATCCTTTCCCGTCAAGAGCCAGGCACCCGGGCAGCTCGTATTTAGTCAATCCGCTGAGTCTGAACAACTCTGAACAGAAATTTGAATAATAACTTTAATTTGATGTGAATTTTGATGTTCCAGAACTTCATGGTATCTTCATGCTCGTGGTTTAGCATAGTTTCTGTATAGTTTCTGTATGGTTTGCGTCTTTCAATCCATCACCCTAAGATCACAATTGGCTGGCCATGGATGCCACGGATGCCACGGATGCCATGGCCCAATCGGTGTTGTGCTGCAGGCCGCAGTGCCCCCATTGGGAACCGATGCCAAGCCTTTCGAGATGTTCCTTGGCTTAGACCAGCGCTGTACGGTTCTGCAGGATAGCTTTGTAACGTCTTGTAGTCACATTGTAGTCACCCTGCTGCCCAAGATTTGCCCAAGTATATTTGGGTTTGTCTGAAATGGAATACCCATTTGAGTCTCATCAATTTCAGAAGGTCAACATTAGATACTGAGTATTTAAGCGCTTACGCGCAACAGCCGGCCAGGGGCCCAACCATGGGGGCCGTGGCGGCGGACGTAGGTGTAGTGGTTCTTGCAGGGACCAAGACTGGCTAGTGCGGTTGTTGTGGTTGTTGTGGTGGTTGTTGTTGTTGTTGTGGTTGTTGTTGCTGTTGTTGTTGTTGTGGTTGTGGTTGTTGTTGTTGTTGTTGTAGTTGTTGTTGTTGTTGTTGTTGCTGCTGCTGCTGTTGTTGTTGTTGTTGGTGTGATTGTGGTTGTGGTTGTGGTTGTGGTTGTTGTGGCGGTTGTGGTTGTGGTTATGGTGGTTCTTGTGGTTCGTCGGACGAAAGAAAGCGAAGCAAGAAAGCAAAGGGTGCAAACGTGTGGGGTTGGTCGGTCGGGGTGTGTGCGTGAGGGTTTGGGGTTAGTGGGTTGGGGTTGGGCAGTGGTGGTTGGCAATTTCGGGTGTGGGGTTGGTGGGTTGGGGGGCTATGTTGCCCCGGCTTGAGGTTATGTGGGCCCAGCTTGGAGCTATATTGGCCCATCTTGGGGCTATGTTGGTCCATCCAAATTGGGGTTGGTGGGTTGGGGTTGGTCGGTCGTAGTTTGCGCTTGAGGGTTTGGGGTTGGTGGGTTGAGATGGTGAGTGGTGGGTTGTGCTTTTGGGTTTGGGGTTGGTGGGTTGAGGTTGGTTGGTCGTGGGTTGTGCTGGAAGGTTTGGGGTTGGTGGGTTGGGGTTGGTCAGTGGTGGTTTGTGCTTTTGGGTGTGGGATTGGTGGGTTGGGGTTGGTCGGTCGTGGTTTGTGCGCGAGGGTTTGGGGTTGGTGGGTTGGGGGGCTAGGTTGCACCGGCTTGAGGTTATGTGGGCCCATCTTGGAGCTCTGTTGGCCCATCTTGGGGCTATGTTGGTCCCTCTTGGGGGCTATGTTGGCCCATCTTGGAGCTAGGTTCGCCCTTCCTGACGCCTGGGTGTTGTTGTGATTGTTGTGGTTGTGGTTGTGGTTGTTGTTGTTGTTGTAGTAGTAGTAGTAGTTGTTGTTGTTGCTGTTGCTGTTGTTGTTGTTGTTGTTGTTGGTGTGATTGTGGTTGTGGTTGTGGTTGTGGTTGTGGTTGTTGTGGCGGTTGTGGTTGTGGTTATGGTGGTTCTTGTGGTTCGTCGGACGAAAGAAAGCGAAGCAAGAAAGCAAAGGGTGCAAACGTGTGGGGTTGGTCGGTCGGGGTGTGTGCGTGAGGGTTTGGGGTTAGTGGGTTGGGGTTGGGCAGTGGTGGTTGGCAATTTCGGGTGTGGGGTTGGTGGGTTGGGATTGGTCAGGCGTAGGTTGTGCTGGAAGGTTTTGTGCGTGAGGGTTTGGGGTTAGTGGGTAGGGGTTGGGCAGTGGTGGTTGGCAAGGTCGGGTTTGGGGTAGGTGGGTTGGCGTTGGTCAGTGGTGGTCCGTGCTCTTGGGTTTGGGGTTGGTGGGTTGGGGTTGGTCGGTCGGAGTTTGTGCTTGCAGGTATGGAATGGGTGGGTTGGGGTCGGTCAGTGGTGGTTTGTGCGTTGAGGTGGGTTGGGGTTGGTCAGTGGTGGTTTGTGCTTTTGGGTTTGGCGGGTTGGTGGGTTGGGAGTGGTCGGTCCTAGCTCGTGCCGTCTGGTGTGGGGGTGGGCCCATCTTGGAGCTACTTGGAGCTATGTTGGCCCATCTTGGGGCTACGTTGGCCCATCTTGGGGGCTATGTTGGCCCATCTTGGGGCTAGGTTGGCCCATCTTGGGGCTATGTTGGCCCATCTTGGGGCTATGTTGGCCCATCTTGGAGCTATGTTGGCCCATCTTGGGGCTATGTTGGTCCCTCTTGGGGGCTATGTTAATGTTGGCCCATCTTGAGGCTATGTTGGTCCGTCTTGAGGCCCATGTTGGCCCATGTTGACCCATCTCGAGCCACAAGATCCGAAAAATGGGAAAAAAAAGGGAAGAGCAAAATACCCTGTAAAACGCAGGATATTTTGGCCTGACCGGGTGGGTCGGCGGCAGGGGCGGCGGCCCCTCTCTCCTACGGAGAGGAGAGAAACGCCTTCGGCAAGGACACGGCCAGGGGGCCCCTGGCCGGATTAAAGGGCTACGCCCTCTGCCGCCGACCCCTGGACACTGGAGGGTCATGCCTGCCTCTGTGTACAGTCAACATCACAGTTTATCATCGCATATATTTTGGGCATCGTGGCAGCTGAAAGAGTGCATCAACACATGTCAATGACTTCTTCTATCTTCCAAGCCTGTAGAGAGATAGAGAGAGGGTCATGGCGGCCTCTGTCTGTAAAAAATCTCTATTTTCGCCATTATCAGTAAAATCCATGAACTGAGATGCATCAATGACCTTTTGCACCCATCAGTGAGAGCTGTTTTCCATCAAAGGGTGGTGTAGCCCTCCAAGACATTTTTTTTGATGGATAGCACCAACAAACCCTTCTGATTGTCTGTGTTTCTGCCAAGGCTTCATTATAGGAAGCTCTTTTCCTTTTGACCATCATTGTAGGAACCGTTGGAACCTGGTATGAGATCTACTACGGTATCGATTTTGGATGGCATTTTTTTTTGGCGGGCTATTCAGTACTGGGTGGATGGGGATCTGTATGAATTCATCAACCTAAAGAGTTCGGCTACAATTGGGATAGCCACCCCAGCTACCAACTGCCAGCATTGCAGTGACGGAGAAGGAGATGAGGAAACGTGATCAAAAGTAAAAAAATGAAATCCACATGACTGTGCACGATGCCATCATTTTGTTTGTTTGGTTCTATACGCCTATGATCCTTATCTATATTCGGGGATTTGGATGTTTTTTTCTGCTGACCGAAGCCAAATGGGCCGTGAATAACGAGATGTGATGGATTCATTCTGGTTTGAGTTTACGGGACGGTTGTGGGAAACCAGGTTCACGAAGTTCTTTCCAAATAGAAGGGGTTCGTTTGATGTATCCCATAAAAGAATTCCAGGAAGAACCGTGCCCGCGAAGGCCGGGTGTGAAAATAAAGAACGGCAAACAGATGCGCCGGTACCAATGTCCATTCTGCCAGCAACATGTGAACAGCACTATAGCGAAAGTGGGCGAATTGATCATAGGTATGCGTGCGGAAAAAAGTTCCGTGTCGCTGGCGGCAATGTCACCGGCCGCATGCACAAGCACGCATGCCCAACCTGCGGAACAATTGTTTACTCAGAACAGGAAAGGGGCCAAATCAAAGCGACGCACAGAAACAATGCCGGACGCACATGCCGCCGGGAAAGCTGGTACGCGACGACACCGCTACACTAACAACAACTGCCAACTGCCCTCCTACACTGCCAACTGCCAACTTGCCTGCGTCGTCTTGCAGCTGGCTTTCGTGCTGCACGGCTCCGGTCAAGGGACCCCCCGCAGGGCTCAAACACCATGGCAGTGAAGGACGGAGCGGGCCCGCGGCCGGCAGCCCAGACTGCCAAACGTTGCTTTCTGAACTGCCTAGAAACTTTCAAACCTTGCTTTTACCTGCCCTCCTACACTGCCAACTGCCAACTTGCCTGCGTCGTCTTGCAGCTGGCTTTCGTGCTGCACGGCTCCGGTCAAGGGACCCCTCGCAGGGCTCAAACACCATGGCAGTGAAGGACGGAGCGGGCCCGCGGCCGGCAGCCCAGACTGCCAAACGTTGCTTTCTGAACTGCCTAGAAGCTAGCTTCAAACCTTGCTTTTACCTGCCCTCCTGCACTGCCAACTGCCAACTTGCCTGCGTCGTCTTGCAGCTGGCTTTCGTGCTGCCTGCGTCGTCTTGCAGCTGGCTTTCGTGCTGCACGGCTCCGGTCAAGGGACCCCCCCGCAGGGCTCAAACACCATGGCAGTGAAGGACGGAGCGGGCCCGCGGCCGGCAGCCCAGACTGCCAAACGTTGCTTTCTGAACTGCCTAGAAACTAGCTTCGAACCTTGCTTTTACCTGCCCTCCTGCACTGCCAACTGCCAACTTGCCTGCGTCGTCTTGCAGCTGGCTTTCGGGCTGCACGGCTCCGGTCGCTGCCAAACGTTGCTTTCTGAACTGCCTAGAAACTAGCTTCATACCTTGCTTTTACCTGCCCTCCTGGCTTTCGTGCTGCACGGCTCCGGTCAAGGGACCCCCCGCAGGGCTCAAACACCATGGCAGTGAAGGACGGAGCGGGCCCGCGGCCGGCAGCCCAGACTGCCAAACGTTGCTTTCTGAACTGCCTAGAAACTAGCTTCAAACCTTGCTTTTTCCTGCCCATAGTGCCAAGCGTCCTGCGGGCGGCCGTGCTTGTCCAATTTTCCCTCTTCGCCCCTTGTTGCTAGTAAGGCCTCCTCTGACGCGCTCCCCCTGCTGGCGGCAGGGGTCGGCGGATATCTGAGTATCTTGTTCCTCTGATGTTGATTTGATGTTGATGTTGATTGATGATGTCATGATTTGGGTACCCATTTGATCCCATTTGCCTATCAGTCGACACACATTTGCTGATTTGGCGCGGAGTTAGGCTGACCACCCTGGGGGGCCAGCAGCTCCAAGACTTTGGGCAGCAACTTCGTCAATGCTACGGTCTGCTGCCTATGGAGGCTGAGAGCTCAGCATAGGGCCAGAATGGGCCATATGGCCAGAGATCTAAGACTTTCTAAGACCCAGGAGTCCAGGAGACTCAGATGGGCAGAATCGAATTTTGTTGGATTTTGTTTTGTTCACAATCTGATTTGGTGGGTAATTACTGAAGTTTTCGGCCAGCACTGATTGCAATGGTTCCTCTTTAACTTGCCTCATCCATCTCCGACAAACCCCTTGGCGGAGGTTGCAGCCAGCAATTTCCGTCGAACGCAGCAAAGCGCGCAGTTCTTCTTGATGGGTTACAGTGGCCTTACGGCGCGGAGCGGTCAGTTGTGGTGGCATTGTTATCATTGTTCATCGATGCCTAGTCAATACATGGGAGAGGGTCCTTTCTTTCAATATGTTTACTTGATAATTCTTCATCCGTTTGGGAGCTGAGAATTTTCTCCGGAGGCATCTGCGAGTCCCAATGCCCAAAATCTGGAGCGCGTGTTGGTTCGCAGAAAAGAGGAGCCTTTCTGCGGTGTTGATATTCGTACAAAGCTGAAATGTTTCTGAAGATACCAAAGTGTGGTAGATGTGGTACATTTTCATACAGTGTCTATGTTTTGAGTGTTTTAGTTGCATGACATTTTGGTAGCCTCCATCCCTGGAAGATTCGCAACACTTTGATCGATTCTTGCTTTTGAGCTATTCGTTGTCCACCACTTGATTAATTAAACCACAACTTGCCACTCTCGTAGGACTGCGTCATCAATTCTTTCGACAGTGACTTTGAGAGCACCGAGAAGCCTGTTTTGCTTTCAAGAACAGAACCTATCACGACATCGCGACATATCACTGGATGCTCATGGCAAATTGAACAAAGCATGCAAGAGTCGTAGTGTGGGAGGGAAGCACACCATTTGCATGATGCACTTGGGCAAATGCCGTGTTTGGTCGTCGGAGATCTCTTTTTGTGGCCGCATTGCTTTAAGATTGTGCTTTAGTCGTGATTTCAACGGCATCTCGACGCTGCGAACCGAGGATACATGCAAGAATTGATGCAGCGCCTTAGAAGTGACCCACCGTTGTTTGTTTGTTTTTTTCCCGCACAATGGTGAGGGGCATTTTTTTAACAGTTGTATTTGTATATTTTTTCCTTTCAACATATCATATTACAGTATGTACATACATAACAGCTGGAAACGATGTTGCATGGGTTTTGACTCATATATATATATATATAGATGCATGCAGCAATTTGAGGTTACGTTTGCAATGACATTAATTGGTCCAGATTGTGATTTGTTCAACTGGTTTGCCAGAATATCACGACCATGTTGACCCGTCTCAGGTATTGAAGCGGCTGAGAATTTTGCCGCCCAGGAAGAGGCTTGATGTGGTGATTTCAGCACCAGTCGTTCTTGAAGGCAGATACATAACGCTACATGTTGAGGCCAATTCTAGGGTCTAGAGATTCTAGGTTCTAGTTTCACGATCATTTCTTACAAGAAGTCTGGTTTTGAGCGAGAAACCATGTCCCTAGAAACTGTTCAAAAACTCCTTATGACATCTTATGACTTTATACTGTACAATACTGTAGAATATATCTAAATAATGCTACACTATTTAGTGATGGTAGAAGGTGTTAGAGCAATGGCAGTGGAGTCAACGGACACTGAGAAGAGAAGGGGCCGACAAGACATAGGTGCATGCGATATTATGAACGATTTAGTGCGTCCGCTTTATTTGCTCCCCAGTATGTGCACACTCCGGTCCATATCAGGCTGAAAGAACATCCAATTCACGGACATCGGGCACGAGACAAACCCCAAAACCGACAAGGAATGAACATAATTTGTTGCATCTTGACTCATCTTGTTGAACCCATGGCAGGCAGATGGCTTACCCGATGTCAAGGAGCAGTTGAAGTCAATGCCGCTCTTTGGTGCAGATGGCCATATGCCTGGACGCTTTTGTAACTTGCCCGCAGCTTCGCTGCTAAACGAAAGCAGATGGAGTTTGGCTTTTAGGACTTAAAGGCCCCTCAAAAAGGCGGTTCGAAGTCCTGATGACGCCTGATGCATCCTGACACTCATTAATTAATTATCTTCAATACTGTGCCTGTAGGATCCTGTAGGCTCAGGCTCAGGCATAGGATTTGCCAGTCTGGCAGTTCGCTGAGTGCTTTGAAGGCAAAAAGGAGAGTTCTATCTTTCGAGGTCCCAGCATGTCGCAGCTAACTCCCCGCTTCATTGCTTTAGTCACCAAGCAACCTGACCCTTTTTTGAAGCCAGTAGTGTTGAGTCTGCGTTGAGTCTGCGTTGAGTCCGTTGATTCGATATTCGCCCCATAGACTCCTCCCTTTGCCGCCAAGCCTGGCTACATGCCTGGGATGTGCTGACGTGTCTTCGTGCACATGAAGAGCTCCCAAAGTTGGAGACCCTCCATGCGCTGATGCACCTGCAGCCGAAAGCAGCGCAACATGTGCTGTGGCGCTTTACCAAGTACTATGAGGACTGTGAAATCGGGGTTGGACATGGTCGGACCAGATTCCTGATGATTCCGGTCAGGGGAAGTAGTTAGTGCGCACCGTGTGCACCAATTAGTCTGTGTTCACGGCACCCTTCCAGGACCCAGAGGTGCTGCGAATGACAGCTGGCGACCTCTTAAAAGAAGTGAGCACTCAGAACCATGGCCAAGCGATGGTGGAGCTTTTGCATGGGATGGGCATGGAGTAAGGATGAGTAAGGGATATCGAGGGATTGTTCCCAATCACCTGGACCTAGAATGTGCTGGTGTAGCCTTCAAGGTTGCAAATTTGGAAGCGGTCCATTTAGCAGTGTTGATATTTGTGTGACATCAAAACTTGACGCCCATGGGTGTGTGCATCATATCTAATCGCAGACGGCAGTGTCGTGTTTGCACTGTTTGATCCTGGTCAGTCTGAAAGACAGGGGCTCCAGTGGCATTATCAACGTCCTCAACGTCCTGCAATGACCCTGTCTTTGTGGCTCATAGTTGTCATAGATCCCCAACGGTCGCACTAGTCGCACTCTGAGGATGGACAGATGCACTCAGGAGGACAAGCCTACACAGCTGATGGTCATTGGCCTTACATGTTGAAAGCACGAGCAGGGGGGCATTAAGCATACAATACTGCGATTATTACTATAGCCATCTATAGCCTATAGTTTTGGAAGAAAAGGCTGCACAAACTCTACAGTAATCCAAGTAGATCCAAGTAGACATTCCACAACCGGATTGTGACAAGGTTTGGATGCCTACGGCTCAATCCCTTTTTTGTTTTTTTCCACATTTTTCTACCATGTTTCTGCACGCTCACATTTGACCAAGGTCTATAGCGGGCATGACACTACTGTGATGCCTGTGCTCAAGGCGTGGTATTTCCCAGGAACGAAGTGACACCTTGCCAAGACAAGTTGTGAGTCCTGGGACTAGAAGTGTGTCCATTTTACTGCTGGACCTTTGCCACGCATCAATCCAATCCAAAAACTCAACAACTGGCATATTCCCCACTTATTTATACTTATTTTCTAATTTACTAAAGCCACCTATTCAACTCCGTTTGAGTTTCCTTTCCATTGTCTTGTCCATCACCTTGCTGTTGAGACACCAGGCCTTGAGTCTTTGGGACGGCAGCTGGCCGCCCTTTGCAGCGGAAATCCGACTGGAGCTGTGGAAAGTGACGGAGGCCACCAGACTTCCCATGACTTCCCTGTCACACTTTGCTGTTTGTCAACGGCTACATCTTTTGCAGCTACATTGCAGGGGCATTCGGTGGATACTTGGCGTGTGCGTGCGGTTGGCAACCAGGCCTGGCCATTTTCTCTTGAATGTGATGCTCTCCAGTAATGTATAGTAATCTCGAACATCGTGCTGTTCAGATTTTCTCATTTCAAATACAGTTTTCTCATGTTTTCTCAAGATCAGATTTTGTTGCGGTCTCTGACAGTTCCACTGATGTTGGATGCAAAGCTACAAACTAGGACCAGTTCCGTCACAGGAAATTGTGATTCCTTCCCATCCTAGAGCTCCATGGTGTTCACTCTGAAATACGGTCACATGAATTAGTGCCACCTGGGTGAAGCGGCACCAAGAAGAGGAAGTCATGAGACCGACTCTCCGCAGGTTGGCGATGGGGTCGCTCTTTTCTGACTCTCGTCTCATTTCAGACTTTGCCATCTTTGCCTGTCAGCAACACCCATGTGACACCCATGTGACACCCATGTGACACCCATGTGATCATCGTTTGCAGAGCTGAACATCTCGGACTCGAAGCGCCAAAGCGCCCAGGTTCGCTGCGGGACTTCCAGCTGAGAGTGCAACAGGCCAGGTTTAGCGAATGATGGCATGAAGATAGCATGACATACCAGTCGACCATGGAATAGTATGGTAAAGCATGATAAAACCAGATGTTTTTTTTTCAACTCGTAGCATTAAATCCGTGAAATGGCTGCAAGATTCAGACTGGCAGAAGTTGCTCCCAGACACACCAGCGGTCACATCAGCCGCTGAAGGTTGCCTCTGGTGCTGGTCCAATATTGCCTCCCAACCTTTGGTGCCCGGAAGAGTGAAGCTGCTGCGTGTGGCCGTGAAATCCGTGGTGCTCTTTTGAGAATCCTTCATCACTCCGGGTTTTTTGACCCAATGAGGGCGTTGCTTAAAAATTGATACATGTTCTTCAACGTTGCTTTATCCTGCTTCTGTTTTCCCCCCGTGAAATATTGTAGAGGTGCATGTTCAGGATTGCAGGATTCTTGACAGGCATGCCGTGCCGTGTGTACTCGCTGCATTAGGTTGATTCATTGAGGACTGATTCGCTCGGAAAAATATTGCCTTGCGGCTTGCAGTGGCCTGGGTGGCACTTGGTGGCTTTTGCAGCTTGGAAGCTGCTGGCCAGCCCATTCCCTACCTATCCCTACTCTCTTAAAAATGGAATTTGAGGGGGGGGGAGTCGTACTGAAATTTCATTTTAAAATTCAATTTTTGCAATCATGTTTTCTCAATGATCAAAATTCCTCATCATTCCATGTCATTGGCAAGCAGGTGAAAATTAAATACTCGCGCTTAGCAGTATTCGAGGGGTTGGATCACTATCCCAGGGTTTCCAAGCAAAGGTTGGTTTTGTCCCCCCCCGCCCTCCCCCTCTATAGGGGTAGGGATCCCTACCTAGTTATATACATATTACATACATTCAACATGGCTCAATACTACAGGATCAAGTGTTGCTGCTTCTGCCAGGATCTGGCCAGATAGTCACACCACTTACTTGTACCGGATACATACAGAGAGGTTCTCCTCTACCCAACATGTGGAAACACCAAAGTGGTGTTGGTGTTGTAGTACTACCCACAGTTGGCCCGACAGAGGTATCAACTTCTCAACGGAACAGACATTCACGGCATTCTCGCCCTTACAAGGCACTGGGAGGGCCATATCAAGGCAAATAAAAGTTTATAAAAGCATGGTCTTGTTGCCAGGGTGCAGAAGCAGCATTGCTACTGTGCACGATAGTGGGCAGACAGCTTTCAAAAAATATGTCTCGGAGTCACAAAGTCCGCACAATCTGCACAAGGAACTTCTTCTTTGACAAATATTGCAAATGAGAACGATCGGGGGTTGACCACCACTATCAACATGCAAGAATGAGTAACGATATGTAAGATATGTAACATTATGTACCAACAGCCTGCTTGTTCCCCAGAAAGGTTAGGCGGTTGGGATTGCTTTTAGGATATGAAACCCAATGATCCCAAGAAACAATTGCATGAATTACCATGACAACAACCACTAAAGGAAATTGACGGATTTGGTAGTGGTTATATATAATTATATAATTATATGATCTTATATGGTTATATGAAGTATGAAGTTATATGATGTTATGTGGTTATATTCTGAAGGTTATTTTCAATAACAAGACTAAAACATGACCAATCTCCAAGGGTTTTCGAGTGGCCCATGTCCAGGCACGTCAGTGCTCCGAGGCAGCTGAGAAGGGGAAGGGGATAAACACCATAGACCGATAGTTCTGCTTAAAGTATTGTGTAATATATATATATATGATATGTATATGTATATATATGTATATTAGATACATGTATTCAATTTTGTTATAATCCATAAAAAGCCTAATGATGGGGATACTTATGAACAAACGAGTACAATTGGAAAGGATATGGAGGGGCCTCATTGAGGGGTATTTTTTCATGGCTCAGTTGCTGAAAGCGCTTTCGCTCCGACATGTGATTCCGCTTTCAGCCTCAGCAGCTCGCGATCCGGGTTTCGTTGGGGATACGCATTGAACTAACCGTTGATTATGCAACTTTACGAAGAGAAACATCAGAATACGGTAATGTACAGCGGGGTGGACCGCACGCCAGGATAGCACCAAAGAGAGCTCAGAGGAGCCGAGTGCTGAACAGGGCCAGTGGTTCCTTACAAAACACGTTTCGATGCGTTTCGTGTTGACTCTTTGCCCAAACCTCCAACGGACCTGGGCCAAAGTCCAGTGGTACTGTTCACAGCATGGCACTGAGATGCACTGATCGATGCTGTCCAAAGTCAAAACTTTGTCAACTACACCTCCTTTATCCTCCTTTACATTCCTTTACTCACTTGCAATGTAATTACTATAAGATCGTCATAATGAGACAAGAATATCGCGCAGAGTGCAGGTGTCTTCGTGAAAGAATCACCTTATTGCACTTCAAAGCGTGTGAATTGCACCATTGATCATGGATGATGTCAGACATTGACCTGGCTTTTCATTTCTTTTGGCTCCGGCCGCCCCACGGATCCCATCAGATCTTCAGCCATGCTACGACTCTTGTGGCAAAAGTGTTGACCGCTTCGCTGGCTGTTGCATGCGCATTAAGCTGTGTTGCGGAGATCGCTTTGTCAATCAACAGTGGTACTCGGAGCTCAGTGCGATCCAGGTGCCTTGCTTTTGAGTCCCTCCAAACTGTGTTTCAAGTGTCACCCACCTAGGGATCGAATTAGACCTTCTAAGAAGCTTGCAGTTCGATGTCTGAAAACGGTGGTGGAAGTGAAGAGCGAGGTGGTGCTTGGTCCAATGTTCCCACCTGGGATGGCAGCCCTTTGACGTGGAGGCAGTTCAAAAGGGAGATGAAATGGTGGGTCAGCAGTTTGGACCTGGCATCAACAGCCAGGTATAACTTGGCAGCAAGATGGTTGATGAAGCAGTCTGGCATTGTGCGCCAGCGTGGTGAGGAGTTCGACCCGGACGAGCTGAAGCACCAACCCCAGGTTGAGGCCCGGGATCCTGATTCTGGTGATATGGTGGTAATCACTCCTGTTGACTATCTCAGCGGTTTGAATCGTCTGTTGGAAGCCCTTGAGGGTATCAATGGAAAATCAACACTGGATAAGCGCGGTGAGCTGAGGAGTCATTTTTACAATCAGTTGCATCGGAAGCCATGTGAGCGAGTCAGCGAATTTTCAACTCGCTTTCGCACGGCTGTGGCCGATCTGAAAAGTGAAGGAGTGACTTTGCCCCCATCTGAATTGGGATGGTTTTACATGGAGAAGCTTGGTTTGGATTCTTTGCGTAAACAACTGCTTGAAACATCCTTGCAAGGACGTGATGAATATGACCACATTGAACAGGAGTCCTTGCGTCTTTTTCGAGACCTACATCAAGCAGACCCTCTGTTCAGAAGACTTGGCAGTGATCGCATGGATAACAAGCCCAAGCTGACAATTAGACGTATGTTTGGATCTGGCGCTACGCCATCTGGTTCGAGTTCAGCTGCATCTTCAAGCTCTTTTCGAACGTTGTCAGATGTGAGCCGTCGATCTGGCTCATCCACTCCGGCGAAAAGGGTCTATTTGACTGAAGTGCCGGAGGATACAGTTGATGAACCGGCGGATGCTGAGCCGGATGGTGCTGAGGAGGAAGCGGAATCATCCTTAGAGGCTGCAATTCAACGAGAAGCTCAAGCATTTGCAACAGAACTTGAAGATGCGGAGCAGGATGGCATGGACCCTGCGGCACTTGAGGCTTTGGAAGCCAACTTTGAAACGGCAGCGGAAACCCTGGTAACTATGAGGGAGGCTCGGACTCGTCTTCAAGAAATTCGAAAAGACCGGGGATACAAGAAAACGGATGGGAAGCCTGGCAATCCTTCCAAGAAGAACGCCAAGCACCCATGTTTCGATTGCGGCCTTCCAGGCCACTGGGCAGGTGACAAAGAATGTCAAAAACCCGGACAGGGACTTGCGAAGAAAGGCGTGAAAGCTGCCATCAAGCAAGTCCGCTTCACTGAAGTTTGTGCGTCAGATGTTGATCCAACACCTCTTGTGGATGATGGAGCACCGATTCATGAAGCTTCCATGGTTTTGCATTCCCCTGGACTTAGCCTTGACCAAGCATTGCATGCCAACATCTACGGCACCAGCCACCCAGTGATGTTGTCCGATGCCAGGAACATTTCCAAGGACAAGATGCTCGTCGGTGCTCTCGACTCAGCTTGCAATCGTACTTGCACTGGGCCAAAGTGGTTGGAAGCCTATACAGCCAGACTTCGTGAGTCAGCCCCACCTTTTGTGACTGAGCTGATTCAAGAAATCACGGAGCATGAGAACTTCAGGTTCGGCAATGGTGGAGTGGTGCCTAGCACTCATCGATGGCGAATCCCAGCATGTGTGGGTGGTCGTGTTTTGCTGATTTGGGTGTCATTGGTTCCAGTTCCATCTCTTGGCCTGCTTTTGGGTCGTGATTTTTTGGAGTCAGTTGGCGGAGTGCTGGATTTTGCAGACAAAACTATCAGCTTCAAGCACCTTGAGGCCGAGACCCAACGTTTGGAGCAGATGTCTGCGGGGCACTACATGCTGCCTCTTCTTGCAGAGCTTTGGCCGAGGCTCCCAGTTTTGCGATGGAAGCGTTGTGGTTTGGATGGCATCATTGAATTGCAGATGGGTTCAAAAGATTGGTTGCATCGTTGTTTGACTGACAAGAGGAATGAGTTGAAGACAACCAGCAAACAAGTGAGTGACCATTTTCTTACTGAGCATTTCAATGAGAATGTTTTTTTTGGACCTCCGGCTCAAAGCAAGACTGCGGACGTTCACATGTCAAGCAGTGCATTCCAGACGCATATCGTGGAGTCTTTTGGTGATGAGTGCCTCAGAAGCCCAATCAGCGCCTCAGACATGGCTGTTGGGCCCACTAGATGTGAACGAGACAATCAGGCACCTGAGGCCAGCGGCAGCAAAGATGTTTTACGAGGAGACAGGGTCCTACGGCCAAATTTGGTACCGTTGGGAGAAGGTTCATCCTTCGCGCCCAAGAGCGTCGAGCCTGGCACGAACAAAGTTTGCTTTTGTGGTTGCTATCGCGCTCGCAGCTACGTTTTGTGCCTTTTCCATACCCTTCCATCGAAACTCCAAAGCAGTGGGAGGAACAGGCTCGTGCTCAATGTCAAGCTGGAACCCTCATTGGCTCTCATTTGCAAATGGCCTTGGACAAGAAGAGATTCAATGCCCAGAACTTGCAAGCCTTGAGCCAGTTTCGCAATCGTTGCGGATGGAGGCTGGCATTCCTCGAAGATCC